AACTTCATCTACACGCCTGGCTTCTCTCAGGGTTAGCCTCAGAAAGAGAGGGTTTTCTGAAGGAGCAACAAAGCATCTCACAAAGTCTGTCAGAGACTCCACTAGCCTTGTCTATGATGCAAAATGGTCAATCTTCTCAGATTGGTGTAGTGAGCGGGAAATCGATCCTTTCCAAGTCACTATACAAAAATTAGCAGACTTTCTAGTTTTTCTTTTTGAATTCAAAGGATTGTGTCCCTCTACTATTAAGGGATATAGATCAGCTATTTCAAGAACTATTCATATTTCTGGTGGTCCAGATTTTGGAAACAATGCGCATATTTCTCTTTTGGTTCGTAGTTTTAGTCTTGAAAGACCAAGACAAAAAACTTTGGTTCCTAAGTGGGACCTTGGACTAGTTTTATCTTTTTTTAAAACTTTCTCCTTTTGAACCAGCAGAAAAAATAGATTTAAGGTTTCTTTCCTATAAATGCTGTTTTCTTTTAGCTTTGGAATGAGAAGGAGTGAAATCCATAACTTCTCTATTTCTGGTGCTTGCCTACGATTTAACAGGGATAAATCTTCTGTTACTCTTTTAACTGATCCTGCTTTTTTGGCAAAGAATCAGATTCCAGATAAGGGTGCAGTACCAGTCGTGATTCCTGCACTCCCTAGCGATTCTATTTCTGTACTTTTATGTCCAGTAAGAATCCTTTCTATTTATCTGGATAGAACAAAGAGTTTACGTTCTGTTTCTAACTCAAAACTCTTTATTCCTATTAAAAAAGGAATCTCAGATCTTTCTATTACAACTATTTCTACTTGGATATGCAAATGCATATCTTTAGCTTATGGTTCTTCTAGGGCAGAACTTTTGGATATTTTTAATGTTAAAGCTCATGATGTTAGGGGTATCTCTACATTCTGGGCTCTGTTTAACAATGCATCTTTAGAAGAGGTACTGTCTGCAGGTTTCTGGAGAAATTAGAACTCTTTTATCTCTCATTACCTCCAATCTATGGCTACTTTTGCCGAGAGTTTATACTCTCTTGGACCTATAGTTTCAGCACAAAGATTGAACTTTCCTCCTGTTTCTTCTGTTTCAGGGGATTCAGCTTTACGTTAGATTCTGTTACTCAGAATTTATGATGGTAACGTATTTATAGCTATAAAATAATCAAATTTTAAAGTAAATTTGGATTTTATTAGATAAATACTTACCATCATAAATTATGGGTCCCACCCGCCTCCCCTTCATCCCCTTTCCTTACGTTTCTGTCTTGAGGAAATTGAATGGGAGATAATGGGTACACAGGGGTTTATGTCCGGACCAGTGATAGTACGTTTATTTTTAGTCGGGGATATTCCATCTGACCTAATGACGCAGTTGGGGTCAACTCAGAATTTTTGATGGTATGTATTTATCTAATAAAATCCAAATTTACTTTAAAATTTGATTATTTTTAAACTTAAGCACCCCACCGCACTGTGTAAATATCCGTGTAAATATTTGATCAAGCATTAAACTCGTATATCCCAAGTGGGAGTGCTCCGATATATAACGGAGGAAACTACCTGTACAGAACAGAACATTGTCATTTGAACTCTTAATATTTTCAACAATACACGATTTTAATTTTATTTTTTCAAAAGTTATTCCTCTTTAATATATATAATCTGGGAAGATTATATATTATGTCCCAGCAGAGACATATGTATATATGTCTCTGGTCCCAGTTATAATTTAAAAATAATGCGAATAATCATTTCATTTAAGTATATCTTGTTTTATATGTCTCTGATTATATTCTTCATGGAGAAATTTAAAGTGACTGCCATATTAAATATCGAAACGTGTGCAAAATGTTTTTTTGAAACTTATTTAGATACCAAAACGATGTCCCTCAACACCCAGCCATCATTTGATATTAAATTTTTGAACTAAAAAAACTCACTGAAAAAGATATAATCATAAGCAAGTCTCATCTTAAATTGATTTTGATAAACATTATATGATATTGAAGATACTGAAATGATTGTAGCATGATAGGGTAATTTTCATTTCCATAATTTCATTAAGTTGTTATTTTGATGTCCAAAGTTAGCGAATTGTTCATTTTCAAGGCAAATTACATAAATTTAGAAGGTGCATCTTTTTTTTCATCTTTCCTTCCCTGACTAATGATTTTTATATGACTGAAAAGAGGACGTTCCATTGTGTGGCATAGTGTTTTCTTTTCTAATTTTATATATAGTTTTCAGAAAAAAATCATTGAAAAATGCATTGTTTCAAAGAATTCAAGTTTATATTTTATTAAAACGGGGTTTATTGTATTTTACAAACATACATTTTCGGTACCTTGATATACAAATACGTATTATTTACCATTAAAGACAACAAAATGGGGAATAAATATTTATTAATATTATTGCATTTTTATGAGTTTAGTTAACTAACAAGTTAAAATTATGTATATATTTTGTTTATTGCCTCATGTGAATCCTGATAATTGTTACCCAATTATTGATTAATTTCAGATCAATACAGCACTATGTTGAATAGATCTCAATTGAACCATTCTTTTATTCTATATGGATTCTATTTTTCATTTTTGAAAGAAAATTACATTTGATTCATTCATAAAATTCTTCTTTGAGACACAATTTTCATTATAACTTTATGTAGTGTAGATAAAAAGTATAAAAGTAGCTCCGGAACAATGAAAATCAATTATTGTTGAATTCTACTTGACTCTTCAAGTCTTTTTATGTAATTATAAATTAAAAGTCTCAGCTCTATATCAGTTATTTTTTCAAGATGTTATCCAAAACTGCCAAACATTCAAAGTATTAGAAAACAGAAAATAAGTGCCCTGATAATTAAATCTGAAAAATACTTAAACATACAACTCATTACCGCCAAGTTGGCCAGCTATGAAGTCATTTTGTTCAGTAGTACTGGAGAAATTTGTTACAAAAATAATAAGTGATTCAACACATTCGAAAATTAAAAACATCAGTAAAGGTGTCACAAGCTACAGCTCATAGCTATCAAGCTGCTGACTTAAAATCTGAAGTTGTTCTGTTCAAAAGTACCAATGAAAAGTGTGTTTAATATATTTGTTGTAACCAACAGAATAGACATGGTGAATGCAATATAGCCCCAACTCCTAGAGGTGGGGTACAGTTTTTGTTTGTTTGAAATAGAGACAGATTTTGACATTTTGAGATTAGCTATATAGTGGCGTTCAGTTTTTATTGGTGGAGGATGCTGGAGTGCCTGGATAGCACTACCGACCTTTGGCAGGAAATGGGAAACATGTTATTATGTTCTACTGAATACAATATCATCAGAGCTGGGAATTCGAGCCAACACTCATTAAAGTTTATTCATTTATCCATTGACAAGTAACATGTTTTAAATTTGTTTTGCATTATCAGTCTAGACTTACTGGTCATTTAATTATTAAGAATGTTTTCCTAGTCATATTTACTTTAATATGCTCATCCTCACAATTAAATACTGTAAGTTCAGATTTTTTTCCATGATATTTTCATTATTGATAAAGATGTGAAGGGATAGGTGTCACAATAATAAAAATTTGTAAGGGTTCTGCGGAACCCATTGTCTCGCCTACTTTTGCTGTTGTCTATGTTTTCAGTGTGATAGGGGAATGCACATAATAGATTTACAGTTAATGAAATAAAACGTTTGAAATGTATGAAAAAAGTTATGTTGGTAAAAAATGAATACAGTATGCAATCAAATCTATAGATTGTCTGGAAGACAAAAGTCGCAGGCTCAACAAAAATGGGGAAAAAATTATTAAAAATTTTCCTCTAGATACTATCTTTTGATTGTAAGAAGCATCTGTCCAAGTTTGGTAGAAATCCAGGATATTTTAAGAAAGTTATTAAAATTTTAAAAACTTTAACCACAGAGTAAAATGTTGTGTTAACTGGCAGAAAAACTAAGTCCATTTATAAGTAAAATACGGATAAACAGGATTTTTTTTTTTACAAAATTTACTTCTGGATACTATCTTATGATCATAAACAAGCTTCTGTCCAAGTTTGGTAGAAATCCAGGACAGTTTAAGAAAGATATTAAAATTTCAAAAACTTGAACCACCGAGTGAATATTTGTGGACCCCGCAGACAACGACGAAATGTAGGATCGCTATGTCTCGCTTTTGCGACAAAAGTCGCAGAATCAACAAAAACTCAAGATTAGTATGAAATATGTTATAATGTGGCTATATATTAATTTTTCTTATGTTGTGTTGGTGTTTTTACACCACTGTCCAAGATTAGGGGAGGGTTGAGTGCTCATAAATATGTTTAACCCTTAAACATTCTGCATGGGCCTGTATAAAGCCAGGAGCCTAAAATTCAGTTGTTGTGGGTTGCTATCAGCGACAATTATTTTTTTATATTTATTGTAGTATAAATTAGGCTGTTTTCTCTTTTGATTTATTTCACGTATTTTTTATCCCCAGCATTTCTTAGTTTACTATACAGTAAGGGTTTTGCTCATTGTTGGAAGGCCATGGTGGTATGTTATTTTCACATCTTTGTCCTAAGGTCTTCATGAATAGTTTGTCTGCAATCAAAATACATCTCCATTTTTTTTTTATTCCTTTTCTTAATTCTACACAACTAGCAGTCAAAACATTGTTCAGATGTCATTACCCATCATGTTTGATTGATTGGTGTTTAACGCCCCTCTCAACACTATTGTGCTATTTCGTGGCTGTCAGTTTTTATTGGTGGAGGAAGCTGGAGTCCCCTGAAAGAATCATCGACCTTCGGTAGGAAAACTGACAATCCTAGTCAATTAAGATTGGAGTCGAGTGCGCCTGCCCTGTGCGGGATTCGAACTCACAACCTCAGTGTTGACTGGCTAGTGATACTAGACCACCCGGCCACTGAGGCCATCATGAAGAAATAAAAAGAGTTAATTTCATGAAGAAATAAAAAGAGTTAATTTTTTTTTAAAGTTTATTAGACAAGGTCAGAAAAATAGTAAAGTTTTATTTATACTAAAAAGTATAAAATGTATCACAGTCCTATTTTTTTTAATTTCTGAACCATACATTAAAAAATAATTATATAAAAATATATCTATGTAAAATTGTATTTTGCTGTAGTACATGTATATGAAAATTAAATTAATTTTGTTCATAAAACATTAAATATATATATATACAAAATATATCAAATAACTTAATTGAATTTGTGGACAGATATTCATCACATAAAAATACCCAACTGGACGGATTTCGTTTATCTCAAAATATAAAATGTCATTTTCAGGAAAAATAAAAGTCAAAATATCATAATATCCTATCAAGAAAAGAAAATTTTAAACAGAAATTTAGATAATAGACAGAAATAATAAATAAATAATATTTGTCCATGTTCAGTTTCCATTGTCCATTAAAATGAATCAGTTGTGATGAAATTCCTCAAAGTATTGGTGTCATTGTTCCGTCATATACTGATATTTTACCAGGGTCTGCCGTGGACGTCTGACTGTCACTGACACGATATGGAGATTTACTTCCAGATGACCGATCATCCTCAGATCCATTAGAGGGAGGTGTATTTTGGCCTGATGGACCTGGGGATCCTCCATTGGATGCTGGAGCCCATCGGGCAGCATTCTTGGACATGGGTTGTGGTGTGGAAGTACCAGATCCTGAGGACCCTGGTTTAGGTCCATTATTTGACATGGCATCAAGGTCTGCTGACAGATTGGGCTCAACAACTTCAGATGGATGTGGAGCAATTTTTGGACCAGAACTAGCTATCAAAGGATCAAATGAAGACATCATATGACGTTTCTCAATTTTCCAATCATCTTTTGGAGGGAAGTCCTGAAATGGAAAAATAATATTTTTAATTTTTAGTTGCAGAGATTATTTGGTATATAAAGATTTAAAGCCCAAATAAAAATAATAACAAACATAAAATAGATCTTTAATACAAGTCTGATACATCAATCATCTGTAATCTTAAGAATGTCAAAAATCCTACTTATCTTTAAGATTATTTAATGTGAAAAGTTATCATAATATACTAAACTATTCTTGCAACATTATTACAAAAGATTCATGTTAAACAAGTATATCACATAAATCTTGATAAAAAAAGTGCCAGCAGAGTAATTCACTGACTATCAATCCTAATCATTTGTGAAAGTTTATAGAAAAGCTATTAATGTATATAAAACTGACAACTTTATCGTAAATCATTATTATACATTCTTCCATTTGTCGAAATTAGAAACTTATTATTGAGCTGATCCCAGGAGTTTTGCCTTTTTACTATACAAATGAGCCAAATCATTTTTTTCAAGCTGTAGTTTGAATTCTATTATTTTTTCTATGGATATGATACTTATAAATCAATTAAGTGCAAGAATTGTCCTTCAAATCCCTTTTCGTTTGATAGGCTTAGTGATAAAGTTATAACTAGTCTAATTTATTGATCATTTATCTATGTATCTTGTGATCCCACTGAAAGTTGGGTATTTAAAAAACACCTGAACACTGCCATATATTAAGTTTCACATTTCAGAAACTTCTTTTAGTGATTGATTTTTTTATTTGACTATGTTTTGGTTGTACATCAGGAAATTTGATTTTGATAGAGCTTTGGTAGCATCTTTCAAGTTAAATTTATTCACATCTTGCACACTCAGGGTGATTAAGAGCTTGATAGAATACAGAATGGAAATGGAGAATGTGTCAAAGAGACAACAACCTAACCAAAGAGCAGAAAACAGCCCAAGTCCTACAATGGGTCTCCACAGCAGTGAGAAAATTCAGCACCTAGAGGCGGGCTTCAGCTGGCCCCTAAACAATAATGTATGATTGTTCAGTGAAATGGACGCCACACTAAACTATGTTATATCTAAATGTATTATGAAAAGTGATTTGTACATCTGAATGCTTTATGAAAAGTGACTTGTACATCTGAATGCTTTATGAAAAGTGACTTGTACATCTGAATACTTTATGAAAAGTGACTTGTATATCGGAATGCTTTATGAAAAGTGACTTGTACGTCTGAATGCTTTATGAAAAGTGACTTGTACATCTGAATGCTTTATGAAAAGTGACTTGTATATCGGAATGCATTATGAAAAGTGACTTGTACATCTGAATGCTTTATGAAAAGTGACTTGTAGACAATGTAGGTTAGAAAAATAATAGAGAAACTGAACATGGACAGTGGCCGAAACATCTTACTGTAAAAAAAATATATTCAACCTGGAGAGAACACTGCCCCAAAACCCACTTTTATTTATACTTATGCCACTTTGTCATTAGATATTGCTTGTGGTAAAATCTCTCAAAACACAGGCTTTAATAATAAATGATCATAAACATACAAATATAATACAAAACAAAACAACAACTTACCGTTTTATCTGGATTGTTAAAATCTGCAAATAAAATTGAAAAAATGTTAAAATAAACTAATTTATAAATCTATTTCCTTCTGAACTACTGCATGAAACAAGTAAATAAATTCTAGCTGTGTTTATTTGTGACTTCCAATCAATATAGTATACCAATAATATATTTTAATGTTCCAGCAAAGTTCTGAAACTTATATACAGAGAAGTAATGTAACAATTGTGATAAAAGAACAAATTGTGATTAAAAAAAACAAAATTCCATGATTCTACATTTTCAATATAAAATACACAATAAACTATGTATACTTGTAACACCATATCCAGCTTTTTAAAAACTTATTGCATGAGACTCAGATATTCAACCATGTCTCAATTTTAATGTGTTTCATTTTTCATGCCATATCAAAGGAAATCCTAAAGAAATTATGCAAATGGTACATTTATTTGCATTTCAATAAACCAAATATGGAGCACTTTTTACACATATAATACACATACCAAATGAAGGGTTGTCAGCTGACATTCGATCCGAATCACCCATGAAATCCCCAAGAGAGGCTTGTGATCCATACGAGTTGGCGGTGTCACCACCTTGACATAAGATGTACTTCTCAACCCATGGTATATGACTCCTGAAAGTTAATTAATGTATCATTTATTAATTTTCAGCCATAAAAAGCAGATGCACCTTATGTGCAATAAATGAAAACTTCACAATAAAAAAATGAAAGAACAGTTTTAGATATATAATAAGGTGTATATGATATGGCTCTTTGAATATCACACACAGTAACAACTCTCAACCAATATAATCCCTGGAGCAGAGCTCTTGGATTATATGGGTATCTCAGGTTGATACAGGTGAGATATTTAAAAAAGCTTTATGATATTCTCTAAATAGCGCAATATTTTACTTTTTAAATAATCATTTCAAGTTCGTGTATTTAAATTTCAAGAAAATTCTTTCATCATTTTGTGATGATGTTTCTCACAACTTTGACATCAGTATTTTGTATTTGTATTGTCAAATTAACAGAATCGTATAAAACAACTTTTGTCATAATTTGACTGATCTAACCAATAGTATCGGTAATCAGCTGTTGCCCAAAAAAAAAAAAAAATTCTAAACAGGCAATGAACATGAAAAAGATTATCTTTCTTTGAAAAAATCTGTTTGAGTAATGAATGCACTTTGTTGTTTCTCTTAAAATGTTTGCTATTTTTTTTACTATTTATGGAAATACTATGCTCATATACCATATGCATGTAACAAGAATGATTAGGATCCACATTTGACAATCAGATATAGAAATAGATTCACTTTCATTATAGATGTTGAAGATTTGAAGACATATCAAATACCGTATAGTGGGTTATTTTCGTGGGGTGTTAATTTTCGCTGAAAGAACAAAATCGCCAAAATAAATTCCGCAAATTTAAAAGTCCACATGCAATGGTATTGTATAAAAGTTTTGAATCCGCCAAAATATTTTGTATACCTTATTCTATGAAAATTGCGAAATATTACACCCGCGAAAATAACCGCCTATACCGTAGTTATAAAACAGAGTTAGTTCTAATAACAAAACTCCTTTTCCAGAACAACTTCATATTTAAAAAAAAACCAATAAAACAAAATCTCATTAGTTGTGTTACTGTCACATTGACCTATAACCCACATCTCTTTTTATTTACATTTATTCTCATACTAGGAAGTCTTAATGCAGTATTATTGTTTTTTTAGACAGATCGAAGATTATGTTGAAGAAAAATATTTCCCCAAACCACACCTCTTGCTATCACTGGTAGTGGAATAAAAATTTCTTTACAAACTAACTGAAATCACAAACAAATAATGGGAGATAACTCCCACAAACTATAATAAAGAGGCGATACTTACTCTCTTCTCTTCCATCTGTAAACTATTAACAGTACGATCACTACAATTAGTAATATGCCAATGATGATCAGGGCAATCATCCATGGACGCAACAAACAGTTTGGATTATCTTCAGGACATGCACACTCGTAATAATCAATGTAGTCATAACATGCAAATGGGTCTGGACAAGGGGAGCTAATACACTCGTTGATATTCTCTTCACAATGGATACCAGTCCAACCAGAGGCACATATGCAGTTGTAGTTGATATCAAAACTTTCTGAAGCCCTACGGTAGTGTTCACATGGATATGATATACTGCGATTCTTTGCTGAAACATAAACATTTGCATTTGAAAATATGCAGTGTTATCATACAGAAACAAACATGTTCAAGAATGGATTTAAGAAAATTAAATTAAAAAGAACCATCTTTTGAAATCATTTAAAACTTTATCATATAATATTTACAGTAGGTGTTCAATTAATAACAATGCTGATCTTTTATTGGCAGAAAATAAGAATACTTTGAATTCCCCCATTTTTCTTTCATATAAATATTTTGGTAAACCTACGTTCACATTCTCCTTCATTGCGACATGGTGACTCCATCACCGTGAACTGTATGGTAACTAGACGTGACAAGGCACCATTAGAGTCTGAGAAGTAAACTTTAGCCTCATCATAGCCTGAGAAGGAATAGTTCTGTACGTATGCCAATTTCATGTAGTTCCATTCATGCTCGTTTACTGGCTTCAATAGTGAGAGGTCACATGGGAACATCAAATTATCCTGTAAATGTAGAACATGTTGAAATGAACAATTTATTATGTATACATTTAGGGAGCTACCATTTGATTTTTATGGGGAGCTAGGATGAAATTTGAAAAAAAAGGCAGGACAGGAGTTTTGAGTAAAAAAAAAAAGGCAGGATGAGCAACTTTGCAAAAAAAAAAAGGCAGGATAACAATTTATGTCAAAAAAAGGCAGGATAAACTAATAAAAAAAAAGGCATGACCAAATAGAGTGAAAAATAAAAAGGCAGGACAGAGATTACACAAAAAAAAAAATGCAGGACAAAATTTTTCATCCTAGCCCCCCCATAGAAATCAAATGGTAGCTCCCTTATATACTGTACATTCACATTTCTTTTGCATGCATTTATTATTGTGATTATTGAACAAAGGACACAAATTCAAGGTCAATAATCCTTGTCATTTCAAGAAAACTGCATACAAATATCGCTATAAAATTTTAACATAAAAGTTTTTATTTCAGTGACACCTTATCCTGTGGCAATTTTCGCAATTATAAAAACATTGCAAACATTTGTGAATTTACAGTATGTTAATCTTCAATGACTGAAATAAATGCAAGGTAAATTCATTGGTCTATGTATATGTTCTAGAAATTCACTAGCAAAACTGCAAACCTACTTTTCCACACGTATAATCCTTTTAATTAAAGCGTAAGCAAACTAGGATTTGGCATTTTTTTCAATGTATTCAGACAAAATGTTTTTGTAATGTAAAATCTTAAGGTCTGTGTTTCACAAAAAATTTTGAAATAAAAACCCTTACAAATCATGAAGAATTTCAATCAAAACTTTTATGAAACCATAGCTATTATTACTGAGGGTGGTAAAGGGGGGTGCTTGCACGGAAAAAACGTGAAATAAGACATAATTTCACGTTGAACGTGAAATAATTTCTGTCATGAACGTTGCACGAAAAATAAAGACTGTTGTGAACCTTTTGTCACTGAGTCACTGTCTTCTTGTATATATAAACTCTCTGTTTTACTTGTTATTCCCGATTTAGTATACACATTGATGATGTAAATGGTTTACGGCTTTTAACTTGAAAAGTATTTCTTGACGATCCCTGCCAAGTATTTGAATTTTATTTGAAAAATACCGAGCACGCAAAATAAGCATTTGAAAATCACGATGCACGTAAAATTAAATAAGCAGAACACGTTGAACGAGGCACCTGTCTTGCACGACTGAACGTTGAATAAAAAAGTAAAAACACGTTGAACGTGAAATAAAAAACGGCGATCACGTTGCACGAAAATAACCCTTTACCACCCTCATTACTGAGAGTACATAATTAAGAGTTTCAATATTTATTTAATCTCTACTAAAATGAACTTACAGTCCTTTCTGTTACATTTGGACATGGATTTGCAATGGTGGGTATACTTGTTGAATTGTCTGTGATATTCATAACTCCACCGACTGGTTCCTGGACATTAAGCAGTAGTGTATCCCCTGATTCAACATCATAAGCTCCTAGTAATGCATACCATGATGGTGACCAGACATGTTCATTCCAATCATTCTTCTGTTCCAGATAAACCTGTAATTGATAAATAAGACTTAATCTATACTTAAACCACAATCACATCCTTTTTTCCACATATGTAACCTACCAAATTAAGACTTATTACAGGGTTTGTACTTACATGAGCAACACGACAGGTGACACATGGAGAGCAGGGTCTTCTTACCGTTTCAGAGATTCTGAGATCACCTCTGGTTTTTGGAGGGGTTCTATTTGCTAAGTCTTTGGTTTTCTTTGTTGTGTTTTGTATAATGTTGTTTGTCGTTTTTAGTTTTTTGCCATGGAATTGTCAGTTTGAGTTCGACTAATGAGTTTGAATGTCCATTTGGTATCTTTCCCCTCCCTTTTAAAGTCCAATAATTAATTCTGACATTAGGTCAATATTTAAGTCTTACAGAATTAATCTTGTAACTTTCAATACATCAAATCAATGAAATGACCAAGTTAAACCACTGATTTTCAAGATGTTTTCTGTTCGTTTTTATTTTTTTACTTTTCTGTTGCGCAATAATGAGTAAATCGGTTTGCAAAATTATATATTATTTTACATGCCTTTATAATTTTTGTTTCTATATATGGTAACAATGACCTTGATTTTTGACCTGTTGACCCCAAAAACTATAGTCTTAATTCCCATTTGTTTCATACACAAGGCCAGATAAAAAGATAACTATTCTTAATAACAATTTTTTTTCTGGGGAGAATATTTATAAAATAAATCAATAAATGATTTGCAGCATTTTTAAAGAAACTGGTTCTTCCTTCTAGAGTTGATTCAAAACAAAAGGGCACTACAGTTACCTGGCAACCACACTGGGTTACTCAGGGGAGACAACTTACCAAAACTGGTTCCGTAGGATCTGCTGGTAGTTGTGATTCTCCTAATAAAGTGAGGAAGATAGTTGGTGGATCTGCTATATCTGTTACATTAACAGTCAGCCATACTGTTACATTATTTGGTGGAATAACTGGATCAGTTTGAACTTCCTGTAAGATGACTGGGAATGTCTGAATACCCTGACAGTTATCACAAGGTGTGAACAGCAGTCTGAAAAGAGAAAAACAAATCAATACACAAAAAGTTCTCACAAATGTGTACAGCAGGCTACAGAGATAAACAAAATACAAGTATTGATTATTTTAGAAATGGAGTTACTTTAAAATTATTTTTTGGTATACCATATACCAATAATGTAAAATCTTTGATTCCTAGAACTTCAATTCAGCATTGGGAGATCAAATGTCAAAAACTGTATTTTACAATATTATGCTGCCAGTATCATGATAACTTACATTCCATCAACAGACAGGATTGGTGTTCCCATGGTATAGTTAGTGTAGTTACCAACCAGATAGAACTCAATTGTATCCCCCTCATCATCTGTAGCTTCCAACTGGTACTGTATTGTACCTGAAAATATACAAATAAATGTACAAATCATACATAGCTTTAGTAGCTACCAACTGGTACTGTATTGTATCTAAAATTATACAAATCACAGATAGCAATAGTTTATTTGAACAATTTAATAATTTTATGTCATTATAATACATCTTTTTATATCAAGGTAAACATTTTTTTTAAACTACCATAATGAGCCAAGGCTTCATGTTGAAGGCTGTATTTTTACCTATAATTGTTAACTTTTTATACATTGTGACTTGGATGGAGAGTTGTCTCATTGCACTCATCGATACCACATCTTCTTATTTATATTGACAAAACTAATGAAAGCGTTTCAATTTTCTTAAGTTCAAGTGTTTGCTTGTTTGTTAGTATTTAAAGCTGGTTTCAGTGAACTTGGCAGTATTATGGTTGCCAGTTTTTATTGTTGGAGATACTGGAGTACATGAAGATAACCACATCATTTTGGCAGGAAAACTGGCAATCCCTGTCAATTAAGAGTTGAACACACCTTGCCACAAGAACTAATAACATCAGAGTTGAACGCACCTTGCCACAAGAACTAATAACATCAGAGTTGAACGCACCTTGCCACAAGAACTAATAACATCAGAGTTGAACACACCTTGCCACAAGAACTAATAACATCAGAGTTGAACGCACCTTGCCACAAGAACTAATAACATCAGAGTTGAACACACCTTGCCACAAGAACTACCTTGCCACAAGAACTAATAACATCAGAGTTGAACACACCTTGCCACAATAACTAATAACATCAGAGTTGAACACACCTTTCCACAAATACTAATAACATCAAAGTTGAACACACCTTGCCACAAGAACTAATAACATCAGAGCTGAACACACCTTACCACAAGAACTAATAACATCCAAGTTGACAGGCTAGAGATCACTGCAGATCAATTACTTAGACCACTATTCAACTGGTTCATGTAAAACAGAAAGTTGCATTGGATTTTGATGGCCTCTATAAGAATATTTTCATTATACTCCACTTGTGTTAAGCTCACATATGGACTATTAAGGGACAATAAGTGAGAGAAAAAAAAACCTTTTCAAGTTTGGATTTAAAAGTTGAAAAACTTAAATGGCACTATCAGAGAGAAGGGGCTCCAAAAGCTGTCTAGAAATTTTTTCTAAAGACTTTTTTGTTTCCCATTTCTTACCTGCATCTTCTGACATATAGATTACATCTGGTACTGTAAGTTGGGGTTCTGAATTTGTAATGGATGCTTTGGCACTTGCCAGAGAAAACATTGTCTCATGTTTGAAGTATGGATCATTGACTGCACCTTCTGTTAAATCTCTCCAAGTGTTGCATACCTGTGAACATAGCAGAAAATATACAAAATTACACCTTTGCTGAAGTTCAGGAATATATTTTATTAGCATAAGTCAAATGAAACCTTAAGTATATAATGGAAGGAAAATGTACCCTGAAATAAAAAAGTAACACACAGAGATAACCATTGAAATGGTACTTGCTTTTGGCAGTGTAAAAATGAAGATATATGTTATGATAGTCAATGTGATAATAATAAAACAGAGATCAAAAGGACGAAAAAAGTACATAACAACATTCACAAAGCACATTATTGCCTGCAGCAATTAACAAAACCTAACGCATCTTGCAAATCAGAAAAAGATGACCTAAGAAGAATATGGCTATCATTTTTGAGACCCCTTTTCCTAATATAAGTCTTCACATATATCTGTAAATATACATCATTGGCTTTAAAAAATTTGGCTTTGAGCCTTCTTGATGAAGGTAAATATAGGAAAACGCATTAAATTAAGAAAGTTTAATTTTCATTGGAAGGCAATAACAAGCCTGAACATATCAACTTGTCTAGAAGTAATAAATCAATACAAATATAAACCAAGAATGTTGATGATAAATCTGGCTAATTGGATAATAAATCAATACAAATATAAACCAAGAATGTTGATTTTAAATCTGGCTAACAGGATAATAAATCAATACAAATATAAACCAAGAATGCTGATGATAAATCTGGCTAACTGGCTAATAAATCAATACAAATATTAACCAAGAATGTTGATGATAAATTTGGCTAACTGGATAATAAATCAATACAAATATTAACCAAGAATGTTGATGATAAATCTGGCTAACTGGCTAAATTTCAATAATCAGCTAAAGAGAATAATATTACAAAATAGTAAAAAGTTTTAGAAAATATCCTTTAATAGAGATCGTAAAGAGCAGAAAAAACAATCAAAAGCACAAACTCAACAGCCAAAAATTAATAGGACTGAACTTCTCAAGAGATCAGATACATAGACAAACTCTACAAATATGACAGAAATAAAATAAATATATAAATACCTTGACAGTGACAGTACCATCATTATTGAAGACCTCAGTATCTGTTTCATTACATGTTCTACTAGACTCCTCCCACACTTGTCTCACTGAAACATATAATATAAACTATTTCTAAGAAAGGAGGATAGTTTAAGACCATATATTTTTCAATGTTGTTTATTTTTGTTTGTAAATCTATTTTCTTAAAAGTTGCTGTAATCTGCTGTACTGTCTAATATTTTTGGTATTTCTGTAATACTTTTTATACTTAATTTCATCATGCACAATTGTTTTACTCATCTTGCTGTTGTATTTTAGCTTCTTAGATATCATATTCTTTAATGCAATTTTCAAGTGAAGTTATATGTATAATATTTCTAAGGAAGTAAATTTTCATTGAATGGATATTTTTATGCCACATCTGACGTCAAACAAACAAAGGCAATTTTTTCAGAACATAACAAATATGGATAATGTACTAAGGAGAGCTCAAAATTAAATGCCTAAATCTTTTCCCTAAACCAAATGGTTGATTGACTGTTGTCTGCATAATGTCCAGTGGTAAATATTTCAGGATGAGATTTAAATGAACTTAAGTTGAAGTATCTAAAGTAAAAGAAAAGTGAGCCACAATTCTAATTTTACCTGGATTCCAGTGTGTCAATATTGTCCTATTGCCAGAATCATGGGGTCCTGGTCCAGCAACATCACTGTATGTCATCAGAATAGGTCCAGGCATCATAATATGTCCCACAGATACAAAGGCAAAGGCAAATTCACTTCCATAGAATCTAGAACAGAAAATATCGACATAATTAAAAGGCAAAAAAAAAAACCTTCTCCGTAAATGATAAAAGCTGGTTGAGACATGTTTAACTGATAATTATACCATCAGTACAACACAACCATATAGGCTTTCAAATCATATAAAATTTACAATGTATACTAAAAGACAAAAGGAACACACCATCACCATTAAGTGATTGAAATGAGTCAAAATTTTGACAAAACATTTCTGAAGTCAGAAACACCAAAGTCTGTGAAATGAGAATTTTCAGTTTTAATTTCCAACATCCCAATAAACGCATTTTTAACTTTTAGTCTCACAATCATACCTTCCAAGCAGAGTTCTATCCACTAAATCAGTTGTAGTAGATGGATCAACAATATAAGGAACAAAATCTGTTGATGCTGCAGAGTCATAGGTTGCTGTTAACTCGTTTTGTGTAAGGATTGTAAAGGTTGTACTGTGTCCAGAAGTCAAATCTAAAATAAAACAAGAAATCATATGTGGTGATTATCTAAAAATACTGTCTATAACAAAATGTACAAGCAAAACTTTCTGACATGTACATTTATGTATGATTGATTGATTGTTAGTGTTTAAAGCCTCTTTCAGAAGTCTGGTTGAGGGGAAGATTTGAACATGTCTGTTCTTAGCTATTTTGAATTTACATTTTTAATTGAGCACAATAATTGTATTTCAAGAAAATATTTAAGAGTGCAAAAACATATTTTTTTAAGTCAACTTAGTGGATTGACTTTTTATACTTGCTATGCATATTAGAGGTGGCAATTGTTACATCAAAAAATTGTTTTGTCCTTTTTTTATCTTGCTAATACTTACTACTTGGTGTAACAATGACTAAATCATCTCCTACAGCTCTCTTCTTCCTTCTACCAGAACTTGAGGAGACTGATATCGTAATGGCCAATCCATTGAGTGATGTTTCTAGATCAGTATTGGCATTGGTTATAATGACACTTCCCATTGTCTTGTTAATACATCTCATGGCTGCATTACATAACCTCATCATCATAAACACAGTACGTCCTGGCTCCATGTTGAATACATTATTGGCACTGGAGAGACGGTCTGCTTCAGACAAACTTGTATTTTGCACAGGGTTTAATTCAGATAATCGTCTTATATTTACACCATTAATTCTCACGTATCCATCTTCAATCATGATTGTACCAGAAACATTGTATCCTACCCAAGTACATGGGAAAATGTCCTCTTTTTCTTCATCTGTTCCACAGCACAAATCTGAAAAATTTTTGTCAACCATTACAGTACAAGTAATATTCAACATCAGCCAGAGCTGAGCAAACTTACAACAAGTGTTTTCAATAAAAATTTATGGAAGTTGAAGTCTTAGAAGAAATCTTTACCTTGTTCTTACGATATGAGTTTTTCAATCATCAATTATGCAACAGACAATTCAAACTCAATAATTATACAAAAATGAACCTAAAATGGTTCACAGGTCATAAATGATAATAACTTTGGTTAAAAATAAAAATTAATAATAATTTCTTGATAACGAGCATGTATGTAAGGGTTGGAAGGCATCTTGACACAAATCTAACATAAAAAAATTGATTGGTACATAATGTAATTTTTTGTTTTATAAGTGATCATGGCTACCATTATCAATACAAGCCTTCTCATTACAATTCAATTTTCAGGCAAAAGGCCACAATTTTTTTCCTAAAAATTAACATATGCTCAAAATCTAAATTGAAAAAAAAACATAATATTCAACCGTGAGCTGCAACTGCAGTAAAATGTTCAGAATTTTTAAACATCAAAAACTAGATGATGTGCCTGAAAGAAATTCATGATGGGGCTCAAAAGGAGGAGAAAAAACCTCACTAACAGTACATCGTAAAAGCCTTAATTTTGTTTGAAGTCAAATGCCAGTAAAGACCGGGAAATATCAGGTTATATAATCACATTAATATACATACCATATCTATTGACTGCATCGTCATGACTAAGACTAAATTCAACACCTAGTTTGGTTGGATCAGTACTCTGCAGAGAATCTTTTGGAGTGACATCAGCTGATAACTGGGTAGCACCAGGTATAGTGGTATTTACATCATCTATTGGATCCTCCAAAAGTACAATTACACCTGTGAAGTAAGTCAAAGAGGTGTAATATTTGTAGTTTCCATTTATCATAAGTACAAAGCTTGATCTGAAAATTTGGCCTTCTTGGACAGCCAATAGTACATTAGAGCATCTGACGTTCTTCTTTTTATCTTTAAATATTTTACTAGAATATTTTTGCAATTCAACATAGTTTTTTTTTTAATTTAAATTGGCCACTTTTTGATATCAACATTTTGTCATCTTTAACCTTTTTCCATAAAAATGCCAATTTTTCAGTATCTGACCTTTAATCTTCTTCTACAACTATGACTTCCTAAACCATTACGATTTTATCTAGAATTGTGACTTTTATTCACATAAATCAATATTTGTCCTTAATACTAATATTTACTGAACGTTTTAAAGAAACTAGCTTGTTTGGCAAAGTGAATTGAACTGCCAGAGTCCATTAGATGAAAAGCAACGTTATATACCTTTAGTATCATTGTAGCTCACAACATGTCCAGCACCGTTCTCACAGATCAGAGATACATAGTATGTGGTATTGTGTTCCAAGATGCCTTCAAATGTACTGTTAATGGCAGTTTGATTGGTGCCTATAGACTCATATTCCTGTAGCTCTTGTCCGCCAACTGTTGTTCCTATGGCCCACTGATTTTCCTTAAAATAAAAGAACGAAATATAGCAGAGACATATAATATTTACAAATTTAATAACTTTAGTTCAAAAACAGCCATTGTAATCATAACAACATAAAAAAAGGCAAAAACATAAAATTGATTAGTCTTGTTGAGAGTAGAATATTTAAAAATATTATCCTTGCAGTAAATCCAGTACTTTCAAGCCATTTTGTATGCAGTCAATCCTGTACTGTTCAGTGTTTTATGTCATTGACAATATAAGGTTTTGTAACCAAATGTAGGTTTAATTTGAATCAAGTGCACCTTTTGCATTTATATATGCTTCACATAATGGTTGGAAAATAAATCAAGCACACCTTCTTTAAAGCAGGTATCGGTAAGACATTTTGTACTAACCACAATATCACTCTCTTCATCAAAACATCTCCAGAATGCCTTTATGGTGCTGTTGGATCCCTGATATCTGACAGGAGTGAACTCCCCTTGATCTACATCAATATAAATATCACTGCCCATCACATCAGGATCATATATTGGTGGTGTATCGTCAATGTAAAATCCATCTGAAGACACAACAGTTGTAACACCAGAACCAAGCACAGCTTTCACTGAAACAAATTCATTCAAGTTATAAAAAAAAACAAACACTTTTTTTTCTTTTTTCAATGAGAGTCAATAAATCAAGGTAAAACTTCCATTTTTTTTAATCCTATTAATGGATTGCATGTTTTATTCCTTCGGATTCAACACTTTTTTTTGGAAAACACAAAAATGTGCCCCTCAAGAAGGATGATCATATAATACAAACCAATGAACTATATAAGTATATATACTGATCTGATAACTGATCGACACATTATCAGTTGACCTTTAAAACACTGATAAAAAATACATATTGTCTTCTAAAATTAAAATGATCTAATTACTTCTCTATCCTAGAACAACTTAATCTCTCTTCAAGCAAACTGTTGTCATCTGTGCTTGTACACATGTTTTAATCTGTGAGATATTGTTTTACTGGCATAAGTTTCTAATTATAAAAGGAGTACTGCATTATTTAAGAACAGTGAATAAAAGATAAGAATATTAAAGAAATCATATGCATGGACTGAAAGAGGTTTTTACCTGTGAAATAATAATCTATTGTTTTAGTCTCATTGTCCTCCATTCTTGTAGCTGGCAGAGTAAAGTTGTCAAGCATAAACTGGTATAACACATGTTCCTCAGCATCACACGTTGAATTACAATTGTAACGTGAACAATAGTTATAACATGGGAGACACGGTGATATCATTTCTTTATAAGGAACAATCTCTGTGCCTAATATCGTAGTTCCGATACCAATTTCGTACTTAACTATTGGGTTTGTCCCGCCACGGAATGGAGCACCATATCTGCAATGTGCTCCTGGTTCAGGAGGTAAAACAACATTTCGGAAGAATGCCTTGGTGGAGTAGGGATTAAAACTGTCAACAACTGGTGGTAAATAATTGTTTTTAGGGAAAACATGGAAGATTAGGTCTGTGTCTGTACTCAGATCCCGTATGCCACATATTTTACTCCATAATACACCATCCACATACAAATAGAAGCACAATGATGGCTGCAAAATAAAAAGGAAGTAATTAAAATCCTGTGAAACATTAGAGTCAATAATGATAAGGGAAAAGGCCAAGCATTTAATGTGGTGGAAAATACATTATACACATTAAAATAATTGAGAACAAATTGATTTTATTAAAATTCATGCAAAAGATTGTTTATGCTTAGTAAATTCCTTCAACAATGTACTATTTTATAATAATTGAACTAGATTTCACATAATTTTTCTGCATCAAATCCTATCAACTTCCTGGATTCTTTTTATTTTACCCATCATACATAAAATGTTATTTCCTTTCCCAGTCAGATGTACAAAATCAATTTCCATCTATCAACTTTACATACAAAACATTGGGATTCCGGATGTCATAAACAATAAGAAGAATCTTAAACCAAAGAAAATAACTGCTCATTAACATTAATTATTCCCAGATTTTTTGTTTACAAACTTACATTCACAGCTTCGTCAGCTTCAAAGTCAACAGCAATCTTGTAAGTATGGAAATCCACTGATGGGTCAAAAGTTAGGACATCTTCTACCACTTGTGGGGGTAATGTATCATTGAAGATTCTACACCATGTTACAACATGTGGATCATCACCTATAAACAGAATGAACTCAAGTTGTTATATCAATATAAAAATAAGAAGATGTGGTATGATTGCCAATGAGACAACTCTCCACAAGAGACCAAATGACACAGAAATTAACAACTATAGGTCACCGTACGGCCAGGTTCTTTTTAAAAAAATCAAACAGTAATGAAATGGCACATGTCCTATAAAATTTTAATATAGCAGTCTATTTGCAGGTTGAAATAGATCAATATTTTGACAAGCCAAAATGGGAAACAATAAGATATTTATATATAACAAAAAAATCACATAAAATTACAGGCTAACACCATCATATTTTAAGACTTAAATAATCAGATTGTATGATTGTTTATCAAACAATGGTGGACGCTGTATAGTAAAGCACTCATAACTATGAAGCTAAAACCAAAGTGTTAAAAAATTAAACAAGAATATGTGTCCACAGGACCTATCATGTGTCCATGTTCAATGAACTGTGAAATCAGGGTCAAAATTTGACATACAATTAAAAGTTTGACTTACAATGAACATGTGTTTTATGTTTTCAACAACTTCATGGTATTAAAACTACCTTAACCAAAAACTTTAACCAGATATCCAATGGACTAACAGATGGAAGGACACACAGACCAGAAATTAGAATAGTTCCAATGGCTGTAAGCAGGGCATAAAATTAAGTATATCCTACCTGCAAAGATTTCAATACCACATGACGCTCGGGCAGGCTGTGTTGATAAATCAATAGGTGAGGTGACAGCCCCACCTGTAGGGTTTTCTACTACATGGTATGGAGATGAGGTGCCATTATTAACAACAGGAGCAGCTTCAGTTGTTGGTGCGACTACTGTACCGTTACCAAACTTTGCAGCTAAATATGCTGTACAGTTACAGGCAGTGCATGTCTATAATAGAGAATAATGTCAAACACTAAGTTATTTGGTTATGGACATTGTTTTGTCTTACATGTTGAGAGTTAAATCAAATGATAATTTATTTGGCTTAGGAAATTTCCTCTAAATAATGTAAACTGTTCATTTACTTTGCCAGAATTATGTCAAATATGCATACTTTGCTGATGATATTGATTTTTGTCTGAAAAATAATGAATTAATTAAGGTTTGCCAGAATTATGTTAAATATGCATATTTTGCTGAGGATATTAATTTTGTCTGAAAAATGATAAGTTAGTCAAGGTCAAATTACTAAGCTACAGGTATTTCAAATCATTTCAAGAACATATTTCTCATTTTCTATTAATGAAGGTCAATTTGTACAGTATTTCCCCTGAAGCCTTGCACTGTACACATGTTTAAAGGTATTTCTACTTACTGGTGGAATAGGATTCTCAAAACAGCAATAACAGGCTGTGGAAGCCCAGTCAGCCTCTGGAACATGATCGTATGGCATAATTTCCCCTTCTGGTCCATCCCATAACATCACAGACGTTGCAGCCATACCTTCACCACTGGCAGCCTTTATTTCAAACTGTAATTTAAATAGTTTCTAGTAAAACTGTTTGTTGTTGACATGAAGATATTGAAGCTACCTATACTATTTTAAAAAATTCTGGCTGAAATTTTACTAGTAAATTTATTCTATAACGAAGTTTTGTATTTATATCTTATGTCATTTATTAGTTACTAGAATAATTTGTTTTATCTCAGTTCTGAAAAAGAAAAAAAAAATGGTATTTATCATTCTATTGTACTTTACTAATCCATACACAAATCAAAAGAACTTATTTAGTTTTGAACTAACCTCCCATTCTCCTCCTCTTTCATAGTCAGCTTTTCTGTAGTATCCTCCCGAATACATAGTGTTCAAATTTGTATCTCTTGCCAACTTGATCCAAAGCTCATCATCAAAGATTTCCTTTCCAAGATTTTCTGTACGCATCTTAATGGGCCAATCCTGTCCTTTAGGATCTCTGAAGCCTATTTGCTGAAGCATCTTCCAGTTGGTATCGTTTACAATTGATACTGGACGTGTAGGACACGCTACTCCAAATGGAGTTGCCATATGCAGAATAGATCCTGAAATTTTTATTGAGAATATGCAATATTTAACTAATACCAATAAAGTAATCTTTTTTGTCTCCTGCAAAATTTATAGTTTTTTGTTCTTATAGCCAGAAATTATAATTATAAATTTGTGCATTTTAAGGGTGTAAAGTTTTTCAAATGATTAATACAATCCATTGAAGATGTCAACATTTCTTGGAATAAATAAAATATCAAATACAACCAGTTAAGTTGACATTTTGGATGGGGATCTTTGTTGAACCTTTAAGTTTTGTTGTCTGACATAGAGCAATAACAAATGATTTTTTTTTATTTTGTATTAACCAGTTTTTCAGTGGAGAATTGTCTTACAATGTTCAAACAAATTGTAATTCCGTAATGCCTCAAAGATAATTCTCTTTTTTTTTTTTAACAAACTAACCTTTGGCACTGTTGGGAGAATTAAACCAAACACGATCCTTCTTAAAATCCCAGCCATCAACAACTTTTCCAGGAGTTGGTTTGGTCATGTCTAATAGTATTGGTACTGATTCATCTGTTATGGAGAGGCCTGCTCCGTTTGTGATGATAAACTTCACACTTAGTGGTTCTGATTTCTAAAAAAACATAAATGTCATAAAATTAACTTTTTACTTAAAGACTTGAAATTCTCACATACACAATCCCATTAGTTAAAAAACAAGTGTTTGCACATCTTGTATGTTAACCAATGTTTCAGAAATAACAATTTTTATTAAATTACAAGTGTTTGCACATCTTGTATGTTAACCAATGTTTCAGAAATAACAATTTTTTTTTCAAATTACAAGTGTTTGCACATCTTGTATGTTTACCAATGTTTCAGAAATAACAATTTTTTTTCAAATTACAAGTGTTAGCACATCTTGTATGTTAACCAATGTTTCAGAAATAACAATTTTTTTTCAAATTACAAGTGTTTGCACATCTTGTATGTTTACCAATGTTTCAGAAATAGCATTTTTTTTTAAATTACAAGTGTTTGCACATCTTGTATGTTTAACCACTGTTTCAGAAATAGCAATTTTATTTACAAATAAGCAAAAATCTCAATCTGTTTATCATAATCATAAAAATACAGGTGTGATTGCAAATGAGAAAACTATCAAACAAAGATCTGAGGACAAGGTTGTGAACAACTATACGTGACCATGTCTAAACAATCTCTCCACCTCAATATCAGGAAGTAAGTTGTTCCCAAAATATACAGTATAATATTGGTAAAAAAATATTTAATTGTACTGTACAATTTATGATCAATAGAATAAAACTGAAGATACAATTTATTCTTACATGGAGGTGGGTAGGAGGGGTCTCATCCTTGATTCCCGAGAAAATAAATGCCAAATCCCGAATTCCTGTGAAAAAAAATGTGTTTGTTCCAGCATCACAATATAGTCAAATTCCAAATTCCTGAATTCCCAACAAAATATCTAGCTATTTCCGAATTCCCGCAAATAAAACGGCTCAATCCCATATTGCAAAAGGTCTTTCCGCCTCTCTTACAACACTAAGAACTTACATTAAGAGTTAGATCTATGAAACTATAATCTGTATAATTATTTGACAAGGTAATCCAGCTAACGACCATTTCAGACTCAGCAACTTCTGAACATGATTTATTTCTCCAGATTGATACTTGATATGTGGCTATATCAGAAACATCGTCAACATATCCCTCCCAATACACATATACTGATGTATTGGCTTGAGTGTATGTCACAACCTGAAATGTAAACAAAAACATTTTTTTTTTAGAAACAGTTCAAAAGTTATGTATAAAAATTAGTTTTTACTGAGCACATTGGAATGAAAGATCATCTTTTAAGGGGAATTAACTTTTCTAAGAACTGATCAAATTCAGAACATCAAGTCACTAATTTTCATTTTTACCTTAACTCTTTTAACATAATAAACATAATAAAAAGAAGATGTTTTTATTATTAAAGTGCAATATATGTCTATGGACCCTCCATAAATATTTTTAGAAACCAACCTTAATTCTATTGTAATAGACCTTCTGATTATTGATCCATATTTCTCTTTTAACAAAATGATGGTTGAATAATAACGGGTAAATGTTTAGCATAGAGTCAGTCATGTTTATCAATTCCCTTTGTCGACACAATATTCTGATTTTAATAACACTAGATGGCAATACAAAACATATTTAGCAGTAAATCTAGACCCAATTTCTATTAAGTAGTGGCATTCTGGTCTGAAAAGCATTTAGCTGTGTTACTTACTCCTTTAAAAGGCAATGTCTTGTGGTATTTTGCAATGTAAGTGATGTAACCTTACACGATTCATAATTAATTTGAAATCACAAATGTCCCTATTGTTAAATTAAAGTACAGCCATAAAAATACAAACCATATCATAATAGGGTCCAGTTTTTATCCTGCCCATGTCTGGTGGTGTTGAGTCCACAATAAATTCATGCATGACCATTCCACAAGCTCCAGATTTATCAGCACCTTTTAAAGAGAAAATAAGAATGGAGATTGAAATAATTGTTGACACAGAGATATGTCTTGTCTGTGTGATCTAATTCTCAAACTTTATCAATTTTTGGCACTGTTGATGCCATGAAAGGTGAGACAACAATGAATATACCAAGGTATTAGGAGAAATTTTCAGGTCTTCCACTCCATTTTCCTTTGAAATATGACAGTTGTTTTCTATTCGTTCTGTTTGTTGATAAAGTCTAATGTTTGATTTTGTCAGTTTTTATGGACTCCACCTTTTTGAATTTACCTTGAAGTTTGGTATTTTTATTATACCTTTTTCACCTTACAATAGACTATTGTTGATTATCAGTATAATGGACTGCAATATGCACTAACCAATGAAATCCATCAACAACCGCGTCAGATTGAGACTTACCCATAGCATACACATAATAGGTAGCTCCCTGTGTCAGATTGAGACCTCTGATTGTTGTAACAGTGTACTTGTTTATATTGGTGACATCATAATCTGTAAATAATTGTTTCTTCTCTTCAACTGTAGCTGAACCACCATCAATCTGTGCAAAATGGAAGATATTTAAAAATCATGCCTTAAAAAGGATGAGATAATGATCACACTTAATATTTCAAATTAAGGACAGAATTCACCTAGAGAAGAAGACTATGGATAGTGCTTTATGGCAATTTGTATGCTAATCACCGTTGTTGATTTTAATAAGATTTGATAAATATATGAAATTTTGGGTCAACATAACTTGCAAAAATGCTAGGTATTGTTCTTTAAATGTTTCCGCCAATTTTCTATATTTTTGATAACCTTTTTGACTTGAAAAATATTTGATAGTCTTAAATAATTTTATTCATTAATTTTCTAGACTCAAGACAGTTTAGGGCTTGACACATTGCAAAGAAACTTCTCTTTTTGAAGACTGAATGTTGATCTTAAGGTGTCATTTGATTTGGTGTGAATGTTGATCTTCATGTGTCATTTGATTTGGTGTGAATATTGATCTTTAGGTGTCATTTGATTTGATGTGAATGTTGATCTTTAGGTGTCATTTGATTTGGTGTGAATGTTGATCTTTAGGTGTCATTTGATTTGGTGTGAATGTTGATCTTTAGGTGTCATTTGATTAGGAGTATGTCCCACATCTCCATTTAAAGTTATAAAACAGATAATAATGAATAACTTACATATGCTTTACAGTTAGTGTTATTGGCATCAGAGTTGTTTGACAAAGCTACGTAGTACATCAAGATATCTAACTTGGAAGTAAATCCTTCAAACTGAATATCTAAATATGTGTCTGTAGCAATGAATTTCTCCATCACAAAAGCTCCACCTGTAATTCAAAACCATTAAAATTTACATTAGAAATTATTGTCGTTCAAAATAATTTATCATAAAAATAAATTAACTCTGCTATGCATGGTTGGGTAAATAAAAAGTGGTGTGCCAACCATTTTCCTCTCACTTTATCACATTTCCATGTTCAGTCAACAGCAAAATTCAGGTCAAAACTCTGATTTGGCATATATTTTTAAAAAGTTCACAGCACAATGATCATGTGCTCTAATTTTGTAGTTGTGATGAAAACTTCATGGTACCTTACAAAAAAAGCAAATTAACTGATATGGGAAAAATGAATGCAGGAAACATAATGCTCCTACAATTTCAAGGAGGAACAAAAATACATTCATGTGTAAATCATCAGGAACACAAAACATTAATCTTATAAACCTTCATAGATATTTTTCTGATTTTTTTGTCATTAGGGCATATTCTACACTCACAATCTCAGATCTTGATCTCTCTTGACTATAATACTATTGTATAGACTTACCGGTGACTCCTCCATCAAATCCGACCCTGAAACCATTTGACGTGACTGTTGCCACAGAGTATGAGGCACTGTATGCCTTCACTGTAAAATAGTAGATACCAGTAATTGGGGTCAACTCAAGGTCATAGAAAATGGTAGTTTTGTTTAGTCCCACATTTGTATATGGAACAACATCATCCCTGGTCTTGGGGAATCTTCTGTCTGTCCCCACAGCAACCTCATAGAACACTACTTCCTGATTAGGATCTTGTGAATCCAACTGTGCCTGGTCCACTTGCAATCCAGGGTTTCCTGTAAAATTTTCAGTTAAATTAAATTCTTCCTTCAAAATCATGTACTAGAAGAAATGTCAAAGATTTATTCTTTCATCCATATAAGTAAGTTTCAATACAGCTCTTCAAAACAATTCAGGGGCCTCGGTGGCCAAGTGGTCTAAGTAGTTGAACAACTGTATCACTAGCCTGTCAACAGTGAGGTTGTGAGTTTGAATCCTGCATTTAACAGGTGCACTCGACTCCAATTTTAACTGACTAGGATTGTCAGTTTTCATACCTAAGGTCTGTTGTTCTCTCCTGCCACACTGGCTTCCTCCACCAATAAAAACTGACCGCAAGGTGATTGACTTCTTTAATTTAAGGTACTAATTTTGTAAAATATAACACACTTCCAAAAGCTGATGGGAATAACTAAGTTGTTTCAATAAATTTTGTATTTCAGGTTGTTTTTTTTTTGTTTGCTTCATGATATTTCAAATCATATATTCTATCACTAGTATTGTTGCATTTCGTTCATTTTATCAATTCACTCAATATTTGTCTCCAACAAATCTAAAGTATTAATCATTCAGCAAATAGCAACTGATTTATTAAATTGTTATATAACATTACCTGATAACACATCCACTTGTTTCATGGCATCAGCAGGTAAACCAAATCCATCCCAGTTTGCATAAACAATTTTATTTGATGGTAAGTAGTTAATATCATAGCCAGTTACATCTCCATCAAACACCTTTCCTGGTAATAGTGGATTTTTCTCAATAGTGACACCATCTGATCTTAGAATGTAAGTGTAATTCAATTTATTGGTCACCTGTACTAAAGAGTAGTACATTTTTCCATTTTCCAAAGACAACCCATCTGTCATGCCATCAGTATTCACTTAAAAAGAAATAACAGAAAGTTTCATAACTTAAATATGTCATGTGATAACAACTAACATCCATTGGAAAAAACTCATCATAGACTTGATACGTCAAAAAATTATTTTTACTTCTTAGATGCTGCCTTCATAATATGCAATCAGTGAGAACAAATCATAACTGACTTATAAATATGTAGACCATACATAATTTTTCATTATATATTTTCAGTAACCATTAAAAAACAACTTACAATTCATTTGAAGCCAGTCTTGAATAACAAGACCATCAAGTCTTTGGATCTTCCATTCGTAGTTTGTAACTGGACATGGGTCACCTGACATATCCCATGATGCTCTGTAAGTATCATCACCAGACTGGAACTGACTATAAAAAAATAAATGATTTTAGAGATTATTAAACTTCATGTTAAAATGTCAGGTTTTGATTGGTTACTAAGAGGGAGATAATTTACTCATCCCATGGATGATACTCTATTACCCTTCACACAGACGCTTGATCATTGTCTGCTTTATTAAATACATATGGTTGTTATGTACAATTAGAAATTCAATAGACAGTAATAGCTGAGACAGTGATAGAGCAGATTGTTTCACTTACACATCTCCTACAGAATTCTCCAATACATCATTGACTCCCACATGACTAAGAGGGGCCATTCCCTGACTGAGGTATGACATATAGAGTCCATTGGCTGTTGCAACACTTGTCAGACTAGCTCCATTGATTCCTTTCACAGAAACATAAACCTGAAATAAATTAATTAGGAAAATCATCAATAAATAATATAAAGATCATCAGTAAATTCTCTACCTGGCTATAAATATAAATCTTTATCTTAAATCTATTAGATGAGACAGAAAGGCACTCTTTTTTTCATTCAAATTTAAAACAATTATAGCTGTAACTGAAACCAGTAAATTTTTCTCAAACTTATCTGTATTTCATTATAATAGATAATAAATTTCTGTAAGAGGGTCTTTATAATAGATAATACATTTCTATAAGAGGGTCTGGATGGGGGTCTTTCAATTTTGCATTCTTAAAACAATTTTTTTTGACCATTATTCTACATATTCTTTATATTTCAGCACCCAATTATTTTCTAATCTTTATTTTTTTGGCCTATTTTTCCTTTATTCTGCACTTTTGGCCCATTACTCTCTATTCTGATAAACCCCATCCAGACCTTCTTGCAAGGCAGCTGCCTTGGAAAGGGAATGTTAATTTCTAATCTCCATTCACACTCAACTGTAAACATTATGCATGCGTCATAAATTTGAACTAAACCTAAAATATTTTGGGGAAAATTTCAAACTTACCACTCTATAACCAACAAGATTGAGACCACCAATTGTATACGATCTGACACCATCTTCTAAATCTATGTCAAAGAAAGGTTTGATTTGTCCACCACCAGGTGTTGTTCCCAGAGCTATCTGGTACCTATGAAGCATTACAAAGACTTGTCAATATGCATAATACACAAGTGAAGAAACTATTGCATTCTGGGTAATATTTTCAAAAGCATAGTAAATGCAGAACAACAAAATTGATATGGCTTTATACCTAGTAATGTGAAATTATTTTCATTTTAATGCACTAGAAATAAATTACCCAAAATCTGTTAGATCATTAAACAGCAAACTGAGAACTTGGTATGTACATTTTGCATGCATTCATGCATCCATACATATGCTATGTCAGCCCTATGGAACATTTGTTGTATGGAGATGAGCTTAAATTTTGACAATTTAATTTCAGAGAATCAAACGATTTAGAATAAAACATTTTAGGCCTTCTGGTAATCATCTGCTCAGAACATTTCAAAAATCTCCCAAAAGCAGACATGTATATATTGCATTAGATTTGTATTTCAAAATTAACCCATGTCTGTAAATATGGGTGTGTACTCCCATCTAGGCATTGTTAAGACATAGTTTACTATATTTCAAGTTGGTTTTCTGAGCACATCCATAATTCCTGCAAATTTATATCAAGTTCTCAGGGGATCCCAGTGCAAAATGGAATTGTTTCCTTTGCTTTCTTTATATTCAGTAAGTTAGCAGACTATGAGAGGAATGGAACACATCACTGATTCTATTGCTAATCATTAAATAAGGTGTCATTTGCTAGGACCCTGAATCCTATTTTAAGTTTTTCAAGGTTTGTCTTTTAACTGATTATTATTGAAATTAACAATGAGTTTTTAGTATCTTCAACTGACCTTTGTACTCCAGATTCTGGATCTTGGAATGCTTGCCACGTGGCTGACACTGAAGTCATAGACTCAGAACAAGTGGCATCCAGCAAATCACATTCTGCAAAAAAGATATAAAAACATTTTTAAATACATCAGAAATACCAGTAACATCTTACTGACCATTTCACAAGAATGTGTCCATAGTACATGGATGCCCCACTCACACTATCATTTTCTATGTTCAGTGGACTGTGAAATTGGGGTCAAAACTCTAATTTGGCATTAAAATTAGAAAGATCTTATCATAGGGAATAGGTGTACTAAGTTTCAAGTTGATAGGACTTCAATTTCATCAAAAACTACCTTGACCAAAATCTCTAACCTGAAGCGGGCACAATCATTTTCTATGTTCAGTGGACCGTGAAATTGGGGTCAAAACTCTAATTTGGCATTAAAATTAGAAAGATCATATCATAGGGAACATGTATACTAAGTTTCAAGTTGATTAGACTTCAACTTCATAAAAAACTACCTTGACCAAAAACTTTAACCTGAAGCGGGACAGACGGACGAACGAACTAACGAACGAACAAACGGACGGACGCACAGACTGAAAAACATAATGCCCCTAGGTGGGGCATAAAAAGATGTGTAGCTACTCAGAATGTTCAAGCTTGAAGATTGTGAGATTGTATGGATAGGAAAAAATAAAATAAAATATTAGACCATAAGAAAAAAAAACACCTGAACAGAATCCCAAAATCTATATCAACTTTTATTTATATTCTTAAATTTAACCTTTTTAAAACAAATAAAATCTTCAGCATTACACAGATTTATTTTTAGACAGGTTTCCAAAATTCCAAAAAATATGTTCTTACCATCATCTGTGTCACATTTCTTTGCATTCATAGCTAATGTCATCTCAGTGTTGGTGACATCTACCCTGTATGTGGTGTGTAAGTCAATCACTTTACCGTAGGTTGGTGGAGTCGAGTCTATACCAATCTCAGAAGAGAAAGCATAAGCCTCCATATCAACAAAGTTTACTGCAGTCACTGTCACATAGTATTTATCACCATGATGTAACTTGTTACCAAGACCTAATTAAATAAACAAGATTTCTTATTCCTATGTAAGGTTAAATCATATATTTCCAAATTATGAATAAATTGTAACTCTAAGATGTCAAGACATATTAAAGCAATAACATGTCTCTAAAATTGCTATTTATTTCCTGAATATGCATGAAATACTTGCCATTGAACTTTGAGAAAACATCAAATATATTTTTCCAAACTTATCTTACCAAAAGATTTATCAATGATACTATTTGTTGTTTCAAAGTATTTGCTTTAATCTACCATTCTTAATTTATTACCACATTAGTTAAAACATTCAATTTGTAATTCATTTTGGTATGACATTTTAGACTTAGTTTATTCAAACCTGTTGTATGTAGTCAGTCTGTATAATAGTCTCATATTGTAATTTTCTTGTAGTCTCTAATCTTTTCTGAAATCTCGTTAGGTGTAAATATTTTCTGTAGTTTAATAAGGTGGTTGTTTATTATTTGTGTCTGAGTGGTATGCAAAGACTTTTATAAATGTATAGTGTCAGTGAACAAAACATTGTAGGTCACCAATGGCAGGCTTACTAAAAATTTTGAGTTATATTTATTTACCTATTCCAAAGAGCAAAGTTTCATAATGTAAGCCTTCCATTGATGAAATAAAAAGTTTAATGATCACATCAACCTGTATTTTACAGCTGCAATTTAGGTAAATTATTTTCTGTGTGTATCGATAAGAAGTCCTGATTATTTCCTGTGTGTATTGATGAGAAGTCCTAATGTCCAATATTTAGTTCAAGTAAACTCTCCTGATTGAGCAAATCTCAATTAAAGTCAAGACAGCAACCCACATATTTAAGCATTGTACACCAATTACCAGCTTCAAACACAAATAAACCAAATTTTACATAAGGGATATCTGTGTGTTAACCAAAACATAATACTTGCAAGTCACACTGGCTTAAAGCAGGAAGATATGTTAGAATAATAATTTTATTATAAACAATCAAATCAGTTTGGCCCTTGAGAAACACTCAGCATACAAAATAAAATTTTGAGTTCCTGCCTGAGCAGGTCAGCTTGCAACCTTCAGTGTAAGGAAGAACCTGCCTGCCCGACAATGCGCCAGCCAGGAAGTGGAGTGTCTCCACAGAGAGGATGAGAATAGACATCTCATCTGCAGCCGGGTTGTGCAAGGTCTGCATCAGGGGATAGCCCATGTGGTGCTATTACAAGTAGTAAGTAGCAGGGTCTATCAAACTGGCGCTGGAATAATTTTGATCAAATTTGTCCCCGAAATGCTTGGGGATGAATGAAATTTTAGAAATGACCAGTGATAAAATTCCATCAAGGAAATATAATAAGAAAAGAAAAATAAATATATCACTAGTAAAATTGCTGAAATGTTTCTCTTGTCATGAAACATTATTGAAGGTGTTAGGAAGGTGGATGGTGGGTGGTAAATTAAATAATAGCACTGTAAACTATATCAACTAGTCAGACTGCTATGAACCTAGAAAGTGATTATACAAAGACCATGCATATGGCTTCACACACAGATTGGGTACATCAATCATATAGGGGGAGGAGACTGACCTCACTTGGCCTTCAGAATGATATACTAATTGCTGTGCAATAAATTTTATAAGATCTGTTATCATAATCTGCATTTCCTCACCAAGAGTAATTGCTTGTGACATATATCTGATTAGGAAAAGATTAATGTTTTTCCTGTTGAGACTCCATAACCTCAAAATGTCAAATACCATAGAAATTATTCTCAAGCTAACACAGGTGGTCAATGATGTTAAATGTATCAATGATGTCAGCATCTTTCACCAGATATTAATTGTACTCTTGTTTGTATAAACAAAACTTATATTACATATAAGTAAAATATTTATTCAAACCTGTTGTATGTAGTCAGTCTGTATAATAGTCTCATATTGTAATTTTCTTGTAGTCTCTAATCTTTTCTGAAATCTCGTTAGGTGTAAATATTTTCTGTAGTTTAATAAGGTGGTTGTTTATTATTTGTGTCTGAGTGGTATGCAAAGACTTTTATAAATGTATAGTGTCAGTGAACAAAACATTGTAGGTCACCAATGGCAGGCTTACTAAAAATTTTGAGTTATATTTATTTACCTATTCCAAAGAGCAAAGTTTCATAATGTAAGCCTTCCATTGATGAAATAAAAAGTTTAATGATCACATCAACCTGTATTTTACAGCTGCAATTTAGGTAAATTATTTTCTGTGTGTATCGATAAGAAGTCCTGATTATTTCCTGTGTGTATTGATGAGAAGTCCTAATGTCCAATATTTAGTTCAAGTAAACTCTCCTGATTGAGCAAATCTCAATTAAAGTCAAGACAGCAACCCACATATTTAAGCATTGTACACCAATTACCAGCTTCAAACACAAATAAACCAAATTTTACATAAGGGATATCTGTGTGTTAACCAAAACATAATACTTGCAAGTCACACTGGCTTAAAGCAGGAAGATATGTTAGAATAATAATTTTATTATAAACAATCAAATCAGTTTGGCCCTTGAGAAACACTCAGCATACAAAATAAAATTTTGAGTTCCTGCCTGAGCAGGTCAGCTTGCAACCTTCAGTGTAAGGAAGAACCTGCCTGCCCGACAATGCGCCAGCCAGGAAGTGGAGTGTCTCCACAGAGAGGATGAGAATAGACATCTCATCTGCAGCCGGGTTGTGCAAGGTCTGCATCAGGGGATAGCCCATGTGGTGCTATTACAAGTAGTAAGTAGCAGGGTCTATCAAACTGGCGCTGGAATAATTTTGATCAAATTTGTCCCCGAAATGCTTGGGGATGAATGAAATTTTAGAAATGACCAGTGATAAAATTCCATCAAGGTCCAAAAACACAGATGGAACAGCTGCGTGCCCCCAAGGATTTAGGAGTGTGGACTTATTCACCTTCAATAAAGTCATGAGAAAAGAAAAAAAAAAAAAAAAAAATAATATAATAATAAAATACACCTGTTGACATATAAAATCAAAATAATAAAAATACATTTTGTAATGATAGATCAAATATCATGATGCTTTGTGTTAAGAATTACCTAACAAATCTTGTGCATACTTAATTGAAGAAGATGACACTCTTATATACCTGCAGTAACTATCAGAGGACCAGCGTCCTAGTACTTTGACCAAATGGTCTTCAATATGTGCTTTACCTGCAGTTGTGGCAGCTCCAATGCGTAGGCTATGACCATTATAGTGATCGGGATTGAAGCCACATAAACTAAGTACATGTTTAATGCAATTAATGAAATAATTTCTTTCTAAGGCTAAAGAATTTTGTGAGATAAAAAATGGATCAGATGGGAGATTAGGAATTAGATTTTTTCGAATTTGAAAATATTTGATTAAGATTTTATAAGGACAAATCTGATTTTGTACTTTATGAAGTTGAATATCTATACCCTTCCTAAAAGGATCTGTTTTTGACTGTTTCAGTTTCAAAACGGTCATATCTTTATGAAATGTAATATCTCCAATACATAAATTTACAGATGAGTCATATTGGTTGGCATTCAAAACTGTGAATTCTCCACATCTCATAAAGCCATAAAAACCTACTGTACAGGCTGTTTCTAGCATTAAATCAATAAAAGGGGTAAACACCCCATGTCTAAGACGAAATATGATTTTTTCTAAAATCTCAAAAGTAATAGGTAATCTCTTATGGTTCCTAGGTTTTTGAAGTTTTTTGACAGAGTTCAAAATGTAAGTGAGTCTATCTAAAGGTGTGTTGTTGTCAGATTCTAAAGGGTCTTTACAACTATTCTGCAAATACCTGTATCTTATTCCACATAAATACAATTTAATGGTAGAATACTGTAGTTTTAAGAAATGGAAACAATATGCTATAAAGAAAATTAAAATGTCTTCTGAAATAGGAGGTAAGAAATCATATTTGAAATTGTTCAGCAACATAAATCTCTCAAAATGTTTGAAACCAGTTTCATATGCACTCTTTGTTTTGCTTGCAATAGCAACGTCCCAAAGTTGATTAACTATTTTGTTCAGGACCACATTACTTCTGAATTGGGTGGGCACTGATGAGGTTTTAGTGCTGCATTTGGAGCCAGTCTGCGGAAACGGTTTATCTGTAAACGAGACAAAGCGTCACTTATTTCATTTTCATATCCTGGTACATGTTTCGCACTAAAATGAAAGTTATATTTACAGGCACACCATGTTAATTGTCGCATTAATTTCATGATCTGCAAGCATTTAGAGCGACCTTTTTTCACTATTGCAACTGTTGCCTCATTATCACACCAGAAAAGTATTCGGTTTTTTGACCATCTGGAATCCCATAGAATAGCTGCCACTACTATTGGGTAAAGTTCAAGGAAAGCCATGGAATAGTTTTTTTTCATATGGTAATTCCAAATTTCCTGACCATGAAGAATAAAACCAGTCTCCTTTATGATAACCTCCAAAACCTTTAGTTGATGATGCATCTGTATAAAGTTCCATGTCGAAACTTGAAATATAATATTTGTTGTAAAACATATTTACTCCATTCCAATTACTGAGAAAACGCAACCAAAAGTCTAAATCTGTTCGGCACTCCATACTTAGGTAAACATAATGGTGCAGATCATTGACGGTAGTTGAAAGATTAATTAGATATGAAACAAAAGAGCGGCCAGGAAGAACCACCCTTGAGGCAAAATTTAAATGACCTAAAAGCTGTAAAAGTTCCCTTTTTGTGCATTTCCTTTTCCTATATATTTTAGATATAAACTCACAAATGCGATCAACTTTATTAGTAGGCAGACGAGCTTCCATTTTTTCGGTGTCTAAAATAATACCTAGATATTCCAAACATTTTACTGGACCTAATGTTTTATGACTAGCTACCGGTATGTTAAGTCTCTTAAAAATCATCATCATTATAGCCATTGTTCTTTCACCATCTTCTGATGGTGAATCAATAGTTAAAAAATCATCAAGCAAATGTAATATGTTTGAAATTTTGTAGTTATGTTTTGCAATGTGGCAAACAGCTTGTGACACATGATCAAAAATTTTTGGACTGGAACGACAACCAAAAGTTAACCTAACAAAGAAATAATACATCTCGCACCATTTTATACAGAAAAGTGGCCATTGACTAGGAGAAATAGGACAAATTTTAAACGCGTCGGATATATCGTATTTACAAAGCCATGAATTTCTTCCTAGACGCAAAATGATATCTATAGCATCATCAATCTTGACATAAGACATTGAACAATCATTTTTATCAATTAAATCATTTATGCTTTTATGTTCATCATCATTGTGAGGGGAAGACAAATCTAATATTAATCGTTTTTTGTTTGAGTATTTCCCCTCTGCTACACCAATTGGACTTACCCTGTAATACTGAAAAGGGGGGGTGTTAAAAGGCCCATACAGGTATCCTCTTTCTACCTCAATTGATATTAAATCATTTGTAGCTTCGGGTTGAGACCTTGCTGAAAAACTATTTCTGCATTCCTTTGTTGGTAAGTTTGTTTCAGATATCATTGTATCAAAACCATACCGTAGACCATTGCATAGGTAACTAACAAAATCTTTGTCCGGATAACTAAACAATTCAAATTCAAGCTTATTTACATTAACCGGGGAAGTAGCATCCTTTGGAAAATCCTCTAAAACTAGTCATTCATTTTTTAACAGGTTTCACATTACTGTGGGAGGAACTTGGTAAATGGGATGTAGGAATTTTATTCTGCTCTCCACTTTTGTTGAAGGATGCAGGGGATGCAACTCTGCAATTTTGTTGGGAATGGGTATACGAGTTGCACTTAGAACAAATATGCTTAAAAGGGCATCTAGATCTAAAACAACCCCTGACACCATTAAAATGATTGCAGATCTCTTCACCCTTGGAATATAAACGGTTTCTGCCAACTCTGTCCGTATTGTCAGAAATAGGACCTGAATCAATGGAAGCTTCAAACTGCCTTGAAATTTTGTTAGATTGAGGCTGGTATTTGCCCGATGTTTGTAGTGAACAGAAAGCTGTTGTATGATCTGCCATATTACAGATTTTACAGATGTTTATACTAGCCCCAGCTGTAACCAAATTTAATATATCGCGATCCCTCTTGCTCCAATCTACTTTTACAAATTTTTCTCTCAACAAAGTTGCAGCTTTTGCAGAGAACATGTTATGGTAATCATAAAATTTATCTCCAAAAAAGTTGCAGATATCAATGATGTCATCTTGATAGGCGTCCAATTCGGCAAGCCTATCTGGAAAGGCGGTTGTCATGACCCTTTTATATTTTCCAAAAGCCCTAATGAATTCCTGCAAAGACAACTTTCTGTTCAAACGTGGATCGGGCCTACCTGAAACATTTAATTCTATACCATTTGCCAAAATATTATTTGTTTGGGGACATTCATATTTTGGTATTAACAGAGATGCCAAGTTAATATCCTTACCCTCAATGATCTGTTTTTGAAGCATAGGAGAAATAATATCCACATTAGAAAAAGAATCTGAACGCACTCCTTGGGATCCATGTTGAAAAGATGAGGCTCGCGAATCAAATTGCTGTACGCTGGAAGATGGATACACTGAATCCTGTTGTGATCCTGTTTGAAACATGGGATTAATATTCCGAACTTGATCCATAGGATTAGTTGTAGAACTTTGTGCTTTATACCACTGTTGAAGGTTGAAACCACTGCTGTCAGTATTAGTCCCTTTGTTCAAATTCTGGTTATGCTGATTTAAACTTTGTTGAAAACCACTAAAACAATGTGCCAACATGGTGGACATTGTATTCATACTGTTAAAGTTGGAGTTTTGCATTGGAATTGCACTGTGAAGTTCACCTGGATTACTGCTTCTTGCTTGTTGATCAACATTGATATTGTCCTGTTCTGTAGAGGAAATATTGTTTATATCCACTGAAGATGAGGGTTGTCCATTCATTGTACTCTGTGAAGGAACATCAGGTTCAGCACTCAAAGGACCTGATGTATCAATACTGTCAGAATTAGTCCTGTTTCGAGGAATCTGTGGTATAGCTATTCCACTTGTACTCGAATTTTCAATATACAACTGTTTTAGCACCGATTTTGATAAAGAACTTGGTGTCTTTATCCCTTGTTTCTCTAACTCTTCTCTCAATTTTTGCACAGTCCAGTTGGAAGGATTGTGTAAGTCCCATTGTCTATCAACATTACTTGAAATTTCATATGGAGAAGCTCGAGTCCTTCTTGGGCGAACACCTTTTCCTCTGCCAGGCATAATGTTGAAGATATTAAGTAATCCAAGTATAATTTAAATTAAATAATAGCACTGTAAACTATATCAACTAGTCAGACTGCTATGAACCTAGAAAGTGATTATACAAAGACCATGCATATGGCTTCACACACAGATTGGGTACATCAATCATATAGGGGGAGGAGACTGACCTCACTTGGCCTTCAGAATGATATACTAATTGCTGTGCAATAAATTTTATAAGATCTGTTATCATAATCTGCATTTCCTCACCAAGAGTAATTGCTTGTGACATATATCTGATTAGGAAAAGATTAATGTTTTTCCTGTTGAGACTCCATAACCTCAAAATGTCAAATACCATAGAAATTATTCTCAAGCTAACACAGGTGGTCAATGATGTTAAATGTATCAATGATGTCAGCATCTTTCACCAGATATTAATTGTACTCTTGTTTGTATAAACAAAACTTATATTACATATAAGTAAAATATGTATGTTTGAATCAAATCAAAGTAACAATGTTTGGATGCATAAATACTTTCTGAATTCTTGTTTGCATTTGGAAAATAACTTGTGAAGCACATCTCCTTATTTTGTAAAACTTAACTTATATGTCCTGGGTCTTCAGTTCTGATATTGAAATATAACTCATTTTAAATTGCATATAGTGAAATAGAAATATTTTTAAATTGATTACTGACTCCTACATCCTAGCTAGTCAGTTTCAGTATGAGTTAAAGCTCACCTTGAATTGAATATTGACTTATATATCCTGGGACCTCTGTTCCATTGTAGATATTATTTGAACCTTGCTGGCTTCCCATTGTAATGATGTATTTCTGGATAGGACTCTGTTTGTCCAGGAAGCCATGCCATGTACACAATATAGGAGCATTCAACTATAAATAACAAAGATAAAAACATTACATTTTTTAATAGAATGATTTTTACAATCTTTTACTTTTATTTTATATAAAAATAAGAAGATGTGGTATGATTGCCAATGAGACAACTCTCCACCAGAGACCAAATGACATAGAAGTAAAAAACTAGTCTCATTTTTGCATACAATACATCTTGCATCTTATATTCAAATAAAAAAAATTGTTGTTTTCTTTTCTGTTTTTTTTTTTTAAATTGATATCTTTTAACTTATGGCAAAGAAATTTAAAATTTATATGACTTGATGCAATCTTTAATAACTGATAAAAATTACATTTAAGCAATAAAACAACTAGAGTTATACGTACCCCAACATAATCAGGACAGGAGACAAAGCCTTCTCCTGGTGGAGTTTTGTCAATGATAACTGATCCTGTAGCTACTTCAGATACTAGTCCAGCTTTGTTCTCTGCCCAGATACTGATGATATTAGGTTTTCCTAAAACAAACACATATAATGAGCATTCAATATCATTTGTAGGGTGCCAATTTTTGTGGACTTTGTGGATTAAAGTTAAACTTGAATTTAGAAACACAAATTTCTATAATCTTGTATAGAAAATGTTGAAAGCATGAAATAAAATATTTAGGCAGAAACAATTAAATAAATAAATCCACAGTATATATTATATTTCACATCTTAAATAAGGCCAATCAATTACAGAATTATATGCATTGCGTAACTTGCAAGACGTTAAAAATTAGCAACTTCAATGCCTGAACTGTGTGCAGCACTCTTGATCAATCAGCCAACTAGGCTTTATATAGTTCAGGAGAGGAAAAGAATTTTTTTGTTTATATATGCTTCGTTTCTTCTAGTCACAAACCTTCTGTTAGAATTATACATGTAAGTATATCAAATGTTTAAAACAGTCATATACCAGACAACTTTTTAAATCACTAGGAGGGATTTTAAGGGCAAGAGGACCTAGTGCTCCTCTTATATTGTCATAAATTTTTTTAACCTACAACTATATTGTTTGAATGAGTATGTATGAGCTTAAATACCCTTTTAATTCATGTGAATGGCTGTGTTGAGGTGATTAGTTAATACAATAAAGTATTTCAAAATTCAACACCTCTAATGGGGGAAATCCAACATAAATCGTCAAGAATGGCTGGTCTGCAGTCACATAAGGGGTTAAATACTCTACTCTTATCACTATTCATCTGCCATTAGAGAATATCAAAAATTATTTATGTGTCTTAACATACCTGTATCAACAGCAGTAACGTAAGCCAATGGTAAAGTACTAAAATCCATGGATGAAATCTCTACCTCAACCATTGAGGCTATGTCCTGAGCAAATGGATAGGTTCCTACAGAATACCATCCACGTTCTATACCACTTTCTGTGTCATTGTATGTCCACTGGGCTGTCAGTGAGTCAGTTGTTGTCTGGTACAAAGAATTACCGCTAGTGATGTCCTGATCTGATGATGTCTTGTCTGTTAACCTATCAAAATACAATTATATAGTGTCAAAATAAAAATATGTATAGATAACAAAAGTTTCAATCCAGTGGAATCCCATTTTTTTCTACTAGAATTCAGTTGAACACAGCTTTCCACTGTATTTTCTTGAATAATATTTTACTGAATGACTTGAATAACTAGTATCTTTCAAAGACTCACCCTTTATTTTAGTATCTAAGACTTTTATTACAGGATGACATATGTAGAAACAGGATTAAATCTAAACAGATAATGATGTGTTGCTTTGGAAAATGTAGTGTTGAAACTTGAGTGTAAATACCATCACTCAATAAGTTATTAAAATTACCTGTCAATTATGACCGAAGGTGGTGAAACATCAACCATAAAACCATCAGAAGATGACTGCACAACATTTCCACCATTAGTGATTCCCCTGACAGAGGTGTAATACATGGTCTCAGGTTTCAATGGTAATGTGGCATGGGCATGTCCAGAGCTTGTTACTCCTAGTAGAGATGAGAATGAATATAATGCTTTCTAGTGTTAACATATACTGTCAATTATTGTGTGCACTTATTATTGCGATTTTCGAAGAATAGACAAAAATACGAGATTAGTTATTGCGATTTCAGGAAAAAGTACAAATAGATATATGTATCATATACCAGAATGCAAGATCTTATCATTACTCACTCGGTCGCATTATTCGCATTAATAAAAAACCTCGCAATAAATTCTGAATTTACAGTAGATAATGGGAAATGGAAACAATCGATGTGATAAAAATCTAAAACAAAAGGTGCAAAACTGTTTTGTCTGAAGGTACATTACTAAGTTTGGCTTGTTTCTGTCAAAGGATCTCTATAGATATTATGAATAAATGTGGAGACAATGATACACAATAAAAGTAATTCTTGTCCGTCAAGATTCTACTTACTAAGAATATTTGGAACTGTCAATGGAAGATTAATATGACTCAAAATGAGCAAATAACAAACGACACTTACCATCTCCTGCTACATTTTCTTCCTCTGAATGTATAATACCCTCACTCATGAATGGCTGTACCTCTTCCCCACCAGGTGTGGTACCCACGGCCCACTCATACATCATCACACCATGAAGGTGACTTTCAAATCCATCAAACTGTATAGTAACAGTGGTGGTATCCACTGTGTAGTCTACATCCACACCTAATTCTGATGAGCTTCCATCTGTTCCATCAGCACCATCAACAATAAGACCTGTGTATAATGTTCTAGGCGTTAGATTAACTCTATCATTACTTAAGACTTTACTGTTTAATCTATACCTATGATAAAGGTTTTACTTTTGTGATAAGGTCTGCATTATACTTTTAAAATAAAGATTTGTTTTCATTAAATTTATACATATATATATATATAATATTCATCTATGTTAAACTGACAAGAAGCTTGCCCTTTTTGTCAAGAAAATTTTGTCTACAATTCTATGGAAATTTGCTTGCCTAATAAATAACACTTGAAATTTAAGATTTCATTGAGGTAATTTAGCTATGGAAAATGTAGTGAAGAAAGTTAACAGTACTGGCAGCTTTAGATTGTATTTTACATCAGGATTGATAAATTTGTTTCTTTTTTTCCATTTGTGACTATAAAATTACCTGCTCTGTCCTCTTCAACAACAACAATAGGAGTAGACGTAATTGATGAGCTGAGTAATTGTGCTCCATTCTGGGCCTTTAGACTGACGTAATACACAGGCTCGTAGGTAGTAAGGTTGGTGATATCTAGACTAAGACCATTTATATATACATCATTCTCTGCACCATATAATGTCCATCCTAGTTTGTCTGTTCCACCTATAATAAAGAGACAAAATATGTTAATACAGTGTATACTATATAATATATGGAAACTTTCACACAATATTAGCATTATATGTGGACCTGGTTATCATTTCACAAAAAAGTATTTCGACAAAAATTTCAACAGCAAAACTGATTTGACAGGCTTGGTAAACATTTGAATAGATCATTTGTTGCATAGTTAAGGAAATAATTATTTTATTTAAATTCAATCTAAAAATATTTACCAGGAGTAGTTCCGACAGCGACTTCATACCCAATAATACCAGACTCAGGGTCAACAGCCAACCAGGCTGCCTTGATCCCTTTTGTATTGGCTTGCCACACATATCCATCAACTTTCTCCTCTACACCAGAGACTAGTGTTCCTACTTTCAACCACATGACCTAAAACAAATAATAAATGCACACAATAATTGTTGAATTCAAACTTTTTCAATAATGTTGACATTAATTAAATGAGTAAAACAGAAAATTAAAAAATATATAAGATTTCCATAAAAAAACATGTATGTAAAGTTTCTACAACATTTGAAAGTTTTCTTAGTGAACCAGAGGTTTATTTTTAGTAAACGTATCATTTTAAAAGTATTAACTTACAGAAGGTGATGAGGTATCCACTCTAACACTATCAGTTTCAAATACTGACATATGTCCTGCTTTGTTAAGGGATCCAACTCTGACACTGTAAGCGGCCCCAAGGTTCAGGGACATTCCTGTGTGAGTGTAGGATGTCCTTGTTGGGTTTCCCAATAGATCCATCCAGTCACCATTGGTTACTGAAACATACACAATATATACATTTCTTCATTTCAATTACACATTGATTAGAACATATTAGGTTAGAACTTTTCTTATTTCACATGGATTTAAATAAAACTTAAAAGAAAAAAGGCCTCACCTGAGCCTGTATCATTCACCTGGCAAAACTGGGTCAGTCTGTTAATTAGAAACATTAAATTCCACATACTAGTTATTTTTGTATTTGCTGACCATTTTTGCAATTTACAATTTTAGTATAGTTTTTGAGACAACAGCCAAAAGGTGCATTTACTCACTTTGGACAGCTTACCTCCAGATATTAGCTATATGATTGAAACAAGATTTATAGGAGTTAAATTAATTGGTATTATTTATATCCTGTTACCCAGGCATATTACTTATGTAGATTTGAACTTATTTTTTCATTTCAACTATGTGTCTTCTAGTGCCCTGGCATATATATTATTATGGTTTTGTACTAGTAATATTACCTGGGACAATTTGTCTTCTGGTACCCTGGTACTTCTCATAAATCTGTATTCTATAGTAATCCAGTCCAGATTCATTGTCTTCAAATTTGAAATTTGTACTTAAGGAAGTGGCATCAGACTACAAAAATTAATGTTAAACATTCATGAAAAACAAATATATATCAAAAATGTTTAAAAAAACTCTGGAAATTGAAACTTGAATTGTTTGTTAATTAAAAGACCAGATTCATTGTGATGAGAAACATACAACCTTCCCTGAAATGAAAAAATTCAAACTTATCAGAAAAATTATATAGACCAAGGTTGTCAAATATAGGTGATGATCTGCCATAACTGCTTCTTATTATTTATAATACTTATACATAATTATGATGGCTTGATAGATTCAAATGGAATTCCCCTTTCTAAAATTAACCACTTACCTGGAAGTCTATATCATCACCCTGTGTCAATCCATCTCCAAGGTAACTCAGGGCTGGAGGAGTTAAGTCCACAACATATGTATCAGTTTCATTTACGATGGAATTCAAAGCTCCGTTTGTTGTTTTCAGTTCTATCTTGATTCTATCTCTGTGTGCCAAGTGGAAATTAAGCCACCTAGCACTGGTGGAATCGTTACTGAATGTCACCCATTCTCTAATCACTGTGAAGTCGTTAGACATGTTTCTGAAATAAGGTTTTACATATCATCCTAATAGTTTGTTCTTACTATACAATTCATATATATAATAAAACCTACTAATATAAAAAATTATCTAGGTCAAATGCATGAAATGGCCTCACTTAGTACAAAAAAATGTTCCTAATACTAAGCAAAATGAAGATTTAGTACATTATAACACTGCGGTATAGTATTAAGAATGAAATTGTAAGAATTGATAAACATAACAACACATATACACTTACTGAGCACTGGACACTTGTACATCATACTGTTTGATAGTTGACTCTGGGTCATAGTAATCCTTCCACTGGGCTTCCACTTTAGCCTGACTTGATGTGAAGTCTAAGTCACCAAAATTATCCATCAATCCATCAACAACTTCCCCAGGCACCGGAGCAGATAAATCAACCAGAACTAGTAATCAAAATATTGAGTATGCATTTGAAAAGTGATATTTATACTGAGTATTTTGAGTGTCTTACATCTTTTAATACCCCTTTCTCAATACAAATCAAATATTTTTGGCAAAAACCTTACTGAAGGAGTAATCCGCCCAGCTGGCAGTTCTGTGTCATTGACTTGATTTATAAAATTTCTTGAATTCTGTTGATAAATTTATAAAGAAAAAAGAAATTTAGGTTCCAACTCCCTCAGGACAAACCCTTAGATGGTTTTGGTCCCTTTGGTCACTTTTAAAGTATTTCTACATCCCCAGATTTCAAATTTTTAGTTTCTGAAGTCATCTGCACAGGGTACATACTGTTGATTAATTTTTTTACATATTTTGGTGGATTCAGGAAAAATTGTAATTTTAAAATTAAAAAAAAAAACATTAACCTACTACTTTTTCCCTTTATGTGTATACAACATATTTTTAATTACCAACCCAAGTCGTTTTAAAAGTACCTGTACATTTGTTAATTGTAATTTTAATTACCTCCATTTGAAATAGATGAAATATTTAGTTGTCTTGCTGCTCCATTATAAGCCCAGACTGATGTATAGTAAGTCTTGCCATGTTCAAGATAAAACCCTGGTTGTAGAAGAACGCAGGCCTCATGTGACTTCTTGTTGACCTGTGTCAAGTTAGAAATGTCTGTTACATTTTCTAATGGTTCAGATCCTACACTAACCATGTAGAATGAAATTCCAGATTCAGGATCAAAGAAGCCTTGCCAGTTGGCACATATCTGTCAAAGTAAACAATAACAAATGAATGAAATACATTCACTTCATTGGGTAAATATTTTACGTTTTGATGAACCTGTTTAATAAATACAAAATGGTAGTTATACAATACATAGCTTTTCTTATAATACATTGTAAAACTAGTATTCATTGTATAAACTTTTTGATTTCAAAATATCATTCATCTTGCTTTAAATTGTCTTTGAAAAAAAATTAACCAAAGAAAACAGGCTTATAATTTTATATGTCAGACACATGTTGCGTCTACAAAAGACTCATCAGTGAAGCTCGAATAAACAAAGCTAAATAAACAGAAAAATCTCAAAGCTTACCACATCAGGATCTTTTGTGAATGCAAGATCAACTCCATATGTCTGTCCATCATAAACTTTGCCTGCAATTGGAGGGGTTGGGTCAACAATGATTGGTTGGTCTGCTGCTCTAATTGTTCTCAGATCCACTGTAATTAGAATTCAACTTCATATATAATTTATATTGAGGACAATTCCAGGGAAAGTAGTATTGGGGTTTGGACAGCACTTTATGTAATTTGTGTTGCTCCTCTTTTCGCCCCCATTACCTCAATATATCCAGAACAGTGCTTGTGACTTATTGATATCTTCTCTGGTAATATATCATCACATCAATAAGGGTAACAACATACTATAAAATGATGAAAAACTTAAAACAGATTTAAACTTGTGTATATGCCCATAACAAAAGTAATCTTTGACACACACAAGATAAAATCTTAATCAAGTATCTTTTAAATCAACAGCACTTACCATTATTAATAGCTTTGTTTTTGACCCATATTGGTATACCAGCTGTAATGGACACAGTAAGCGAAACAAAATCACTGTAATCCAGACGTGTCCACGAAAGTTCATAACAGTCTCTTTGGGTTAGTCCAAGACAGCAATCATTATATAATATACCAGATTCTGGATCACTGAAAACAAAGATATATAAAAATTAACACATACCAGTCTCTTTGGACAAGACAAACCCAGAAATCATTACTTTTATTTCACGTTGATAGCATGCCAAAGTCAAATTAATAACCCTGTTCTCTAATAGATAGAATTGCTGAGTCCAATTTCAAATGTGCAAGGTAACGGTCTGCAAAATAAACCCTTTCTGACCCCAAACCAGCTAGTCATTGCTCACAATTCTAAATGCTTTGCTGGGATTAGAACGTTTATTGTCTGATCTAGCTGCAGATAAACCCACAATTTTCATACTAGAGGAGAGTATGCTACAATAAGACTTACAAAGTTTTCTAATACTTACGATGAATTGTGTCTGAAGGTCAGGTTATACTGGAATTCATCATACCCAATATTATATAGCTCATATATAATTGGAGGTGAATTGTCAACGATGTAAGGGGTTGTGTGGCACACAGTTGTTGCTAAGGGACCTCCATATTTCACTGCATTCATAGATCTGACTGTAATGAAATACTGGTCATCTGCAAATATAACAGGCCTCAATTAGAATTGATTCTATCATTTAATATTCCTCTGGACCATTTAAAACTTACTCTAAAGTATGATGACCTACTCATATTTTTTTTTTATAAACAAGGCAAACTCCACTGGAGAGATATTCAACTATTTAATGGTGTAATAGGAGAACCCAATTATTTATATGTTGTAACCATGTCCTTTCTGAACCCTAAACTGTGCTTCTGAAAAATATATACTACATAAATTTTTCACAAAAGAAGACACAATTCAAGAATTTTTCTTTCCTATATTTTAGCTTTTTTGTATTGTTTGGTTGCTGTCTCATTGGCATAAACCCCAAAAACTCCCTGTCTGTATGATTTTGATATCTAAATTACACCATGCTTTCACATTCAAGAAGTCAAAAGAAAAATTATTGAAATTTCTCTGTTTATATACGGATAGTGGAAGTATGGTAATAAATCTAGTTAAGGTATCAATTGATAAAAAAATAAGTTTTTATATTTGTGAATAACTAGAAGTGCCTAACCCTGTATATAGACATGGGAGTTCCTTAAACATTCTGAATTATACTTATCAAACATTGTGTCCATTGTCCAAACCATGTTCATACATAAAGGATACTTATAACATTTTTTGGTCATTGATTTATCATAGCACAGTATCTCCTTTATGCTTTGTCAAACCATTTACATACCTGGGAGCTGTGTATAAGGTTCTGGTATAGGACTTATCATAGCACTATGTGTCCACTGAGATATGTCAAACAAATGAGCATGTGGATCATGATGTTCGTGGATTGTTTCTTCACAGATTTCAGTTCCAACAGTTATAGTGATAAAGAGAAGACCACTTTCCCTGTCTTCAAATCCATCCCAGTTTGCTAAAACAACAAAATAAATAACCATCAATAATAATAAAAAAAAGTCACCACTTTTCTTTGTTTACGACTGTCAGACTATGTGTGGAAAGGCATTCTATAAATAACATAATACATGTATGTTTCTGGCATAAAACAGCAGTGATCTTTTTTTTTCAACATAATTTTTTGAAAAGTTAAAAAAACCTCCTTTTTCCCTGACATAACAAGTCATAAAAATAAAAATTAACTGCTTGATATTAGAGTAAATATGAAGTATAATAAACTGTTGACACAGAGATATGTCTGGCCTGTCAGCATAAAATTCAGAAAAAGACAATCTGATGGACAACACTGCTAATTAATTCAAAGTCGCTGGACAAAATAGTGGGCAGAGCCTCGAAATGGTTGACAAACTGAGATCAGCAGCAATGTAACTTTATAGAAAATATTGTTGTCTATTGTAAGCAGTTCCATTCAAACAAACTTAAGCTGAAAACTTAACATTAAAAATTGTTAATTGAAAGTCACTGGACCATGACCTAGGGGGTAGGGGCTTAAAATAGTCGTCATTCTGATATGTACTGATAGTAATGCAACTTTATAGAAAATATCAGCGATCTTTCACAAAAAGTTCCTATCAAACAAACTGAAGCAGAAAACTTGACATTGAAAATTGCTTATTAACTGAAAGTCACTGAACCATGGCCTCAAAAAAGTCTTCAAACTGATATGTACTGATCGCAATGTAACTTCATACAAAATATCATTGATCTATCACAAGTAGTTCCTATCAATCTTAACTTCAGCAGAAAACATAACATTTAAAATTGCTAATTAATTCAGTCACTGGACCATGGCATAGGGGGCAGGGCCTCAAAATTGTCGTCAAACTGATATGTAACGATAGTAATGCAACTGCATACAAAATATCATTGATTTATCACAAAGAGTTCATACCAAACTAACTTAAACAGAAACCTTAACAATTGTTAACCCCATTGTGATTGTCATCATCGTAGTCGTCGTCGGAAAAGCATTCCCTATGCCTTACTTTCTGCGAGTTTTGCCGCAGGCGAGACTAAAACAAAATTTTTTTTTCTTGTTAAATTTTCATATATTTCTAAGGTAAAAATGTTTTTTCATCTTTATCTTCTTCAATATCTTTCACATTTAGGAATTTCTAATTAATGTTTCAAAGTTTTTGGTCTTGATAGTACCTTATAAAGGTTACAGTGAACTTGTGCAAGTAACTTGTGCAAATAAGTTAATTACTTGATTAGGTCAAACATAAATCTTCTCTGATTAAATACACCAGCAAAATTAGAAAATTTTAAAAATTAATCAGAAAAGGTTTTACATAAAAAAAAAAAAGTATTTGTAAAAATTGGTTGCTTTACAGTATTCCAGAAACATGTGTTGGCATACCAAATCAAACATCATTTTACCTGAGATATAATTATTCGCTCTCGTATACATCATGTCATTCATAAATATTGGTCCATTGAAAACAGCCAATGATTCTGGTCCATCTTGTATCACTCTACAAAATAAAGATAAAATGATAGTGTTCAAACTGTACGCTTAAAATCCTTAGGTTTAACAAATTTCCTTTAACAACACACTTTGAAGATATAAGAGTATAACTTTTTTTTAAAAAGTATTAAGAATAAGAGGCAGTAACCAAACAACACAAAAACTTCACCAAGTCTACACATAGTCTGCAAAACTAGATAAGCATAAGCCAATAACAAACAAGAATTCCCACATGATGTCATGCAAGTAAAGCCCAAATTGCTTCGTTGACCAACAAATTCATGCTTAGTTCTGGTCACCTGCCAATAAATTCCTGTTGATCTGATAATCTGAGCAAACTGACCCACTGTCCAAACCAGCCTCTGAACTTTCATAATCTCATAGCTGGCCAGTTTATAGAGATTCTACTGTAGTAAACATAAGTTTTATTGAAAAAATGAAGAAAGAATTGGTGGAAAATGTGGGACCACCGTAAACCATGTCTAGAACAAAGTATCCTGTGGTCACATAGACTGTAGAATCAAAGAGGTTTTACAGACCAACACCCAAATTAAAATTTTTAAAAGCTTGCATATTAACTTTTTTCTTTTTCTTTCACACAATTTCTTGCAATCTTTATCAATATAGAGTACATTGTTTTATATATATTTTACATATACCACTGGGACAGACAGAACAAATATATATACCTATGATTTTTAACTGCTGAATTTTCACCTCTACACCAAATTTGGAAGTCTGGTCTATCGGTTGGTACTATTTTTGTACTGCAATCTACCAGTTCCAAGTAATCAATGGTGCTGTTGTATATAGGACCTTAAATACAATATAATGCATGATTAATTTACTATTGAATCTGTTGTTGAAATCCTATTAAATCCATGAACTATAAATTGTTAGATAAATATTTAATTTTTTATCATGGTAATCATTACTACCATTTTTTATTTCAATAAAACGATAACTCACCTGTTGTTGGAGGAGTAATGTCCACCATTACAGCAGGGGTAGAAATAATACTCTCAAATCCTAAAGTGTTTATGATACGGAAGTTGAAGTAATGTGTCTTATTGTGGGTCAGCCATAAAGTATCATAATCAAAACTCAAGATCTGTCCAATACCAAGTCTTTCATAGTGCTGGAACAATCCGGACTGTGCGAGCTTGTAGTGATGACCTTCTATTCCTTCAAGCAGCTCACATGTAGCATTCAAAAAGTCATAATTGAAGCTCATACATTTGGTTTTTGGCAAATCTGCGCATCGTTTCGCACAATCCCCATGTGTAGCTTCCCTGGAGACCTCCCCTCCAAATGGTGCAATCAGTCGACCTATTCTGAAGTCTGTGAACATTTCCATAACTATATGGTTATGTGGATCATTACCTAAATGATAAATATTCAAAAATCAATATGGTACCGTATAATTATTATTTATTTCCATCAAAATTTTATAGCATATAAATTAAACTTAATTGGAAATGTTTTTCATTCTTAAAATAATATGTGTCAAAGTGAAAATATTTTATTTGATTGCGTTCCCATAAGGAGCTTACTATTTTTCAGGTGTCTTTTAATAAGAACAAATGATACTAACTGGAAACATTGTCTTACTGTTTGTTAAGCAAGCACATGTATACAATGCTATAGGATTACTAAACTTTTATTTTTAAATGTGTCTGATTTCATCGTTTGATATATATGTGTCTATAATTTAGTTTTAAATCATTTAAAATCTATAGTTTTATTCAACTGACCCTTTTGATGTTGAACATTTATAAAACTATGTCTTGTAAAAACACCCAAGTCCAAAAACCACATCAAAAGCTCAAATTTCTAAGTATCTATTTTTTTCTAATTCATTTATTGATCAAAAATCATGCATGTAATCTCCAATAATTTTTTTAGCCACCTTGTGGTTAAATCTGAATTTTGATCTTACTCCAAAATACAATCTGAACCTTGATCTTATTCCAAAAGACAAACATCTGAACCTTGATCTCACTCCAAAAGACAAACAATCTGAATCTTGATCTTACTCCAAAAGACAAACAATCTGAACCTTGATCTTACTCCAAAAGACAAACAATCTGAATCTTGATCTTACTCCAAAAGACAAACAATCTGAATCTTGATCTTACTCCAAAAGACAAACAATCTGAATCTTGATCTTACTCCAAAAGACAAACAATCTGAACCTTGATCTTACTCCAAAAGACAAACAATTTGAACCTTGATCTTACTCCAAAAGACAAACAATCTGAATCTTGATCTTACTCCAAAAGACAAACAATCTGAACCTTGATTTTACTCCAAAAGACAAACAATTTGAACCTTGATCTTACTCCAAAAGACAAACAATCTGAATCTTGATCTTACTCCAAAAGACAAACAATCTGAATCTTGATCTTACTCAAAGGACAATAAATATAAAACAATAATTTGATTCAAAACTAAAAAATTAACCCTTGTGATTATTCAATTAATCTAGACTATGTCTCATATACTTGGGATTTATTATTATTCATAGAGTACCTTGTATGGATGTTGTGAACAACAAATTTGAGTGTTCAATAAAGTACAAATTTTCTATAGGCTTGTATGCAAACAATAAAGTACAAATTTTCTATAGGCTTGTATGCAAACATTGACAAAACCATGAAATCAAGTATTGAAGAAATACAATCTTTCCTCCATCCACAAAAATACTTCATTCCACAGTATTTCTGAAGTGTGACTAAAAACTTACTTAGATCTGGTGGTACAAAGGCATCAGCATTTACATTGACAGTGTTCCATGGAATTACTTGATCCCCCCACACATCTTTTCCATATCCCAATCCAACTTGTGTCAACACTATATCAGAGTCTTCATATACAACAACAGATGCCTTCATCACTGCTGGATTACTGGTTGATAAAAAGTCTTCTGTGAATCGACCACCAGGAAGAGTTACATCATATGTGTTTAAAGAACATGTTGCCATGGAGCGCTCACCAGCATCATTTTGTGCATACATTGTAAAATACAGAGGGACCCCAGTAGCACTAAGTCTCTGAAAATACAACATCAGAAATTAACAAGACCTATACATGTAAGTATCAATTGGACTTGATGTACCACCTAATTACCTTGCTCATTGAACTTCAATCATTCTTCATTACATCTTGACCCTTATACATATTAACTGGAAACTTTCTTCTCTAAAATATATTCTGGATTTATTTCAAATTTATGGAGCATTCTTTTTTTGAGGATTTCATTGGTATAAAAAACTACCTTGTCTGCAGAATTTTCTAAAACCACAAAATCGTGTATCAAAGAAAATACTTTTTTTCTGAATCATTAAAAATTGGTACCCATGAAAATACATGAATCCACAGATGATCCAAGGTGGCAGTGATCTTCTTTCTGTATAGATTTTCATTATTATTTATGATGTAACTGACATAATTCATTTATTTAGATGCTCTGATCTGCCACTCTTTTCACAAAAAATCTTACGATTAAAATTGATCATAAATTATACTGAAATGAGTATGACTTACAAGTATTTTTATTCTTAAGATTTTTTGTGAAAAGAGCCGCTGAACCGGGACTTAAAACTAAGGAATGCATAAAAGTAGGTTTTCTTTGATATAATAGAAAAGAAAGAGTATGGGGTATACATCCATGACACAAAATCAGTACATCACTGCAAAATAAAAAATAAGCTGTCATCTGAATACTAGATGCAAGCATTTTATAAAAACTTGCCTCATCAACTGATGTCTTTGGTCCACCAAGAGTATGCTGGTTCATTACATCTTTTCCTCCTGGTACTATTCCGACATCAAGGAAGTAAGCCACATCACTTCTGTCATCCTCAGCACGAACAGCGATTTCAAACATTGGCTCTACATAGTCTCTACCTGCTATCTGGTCTACTTCACAACTTGCTGTTGCCTAAATATTTAAAAACTAGAATCTTACTTGTTGTAAGTGATTGGAATTTTGTATCATTTAAGACTATGGTGAAGTTCAGAATTTTGAAAGGTATAATGTGTTGCTCAATTAGATTTTCAATTTTCTTTTCCGTTTTATTTTTTGGTTTTTTTTTTATCATAAATTTCTCCACTTTTCTATACACTTTTTGTTACACAACTTTTGAATACCTTCTGAAACACCACGTATCTATGAAATGTATTCAAAAGTTTTATTTTATTTTCAGTTATGAAAATAAACAGAAAATAAAGTTTTCTAATAACTTTCAAGGTCATCTGCTATAAAATATAGAACATTTTTAAAGGACCTAAACAGAAAGTTCTATCCAAAAACATATATTACCCTTCTCTTTCTTCCTGGAATCTCATCATCGGTAAATGGTGATATATCTGGAGGAGTTTTGTCTTCTTCATCTTTCCTGTTGTCGATCAGTTTCTTGGTAATTGTTGGAGCCTTGTATGACCATAATTCAGCTTTAAACAAAGTTTTCTTAAACTTAGTTAAACCAAGATTGACCTCTAGGGTCACCAGGGCAAACAGTTTCAGTTCAATTGGGGTCAGTTTCAAGTACATAACCAGACTGTAAAAAACAATTCAGATATTTCAAAAATATTCATCAGCATGACAAAAAGGGATCAAGTTATGAGGCACTAGCCACATTAATTGAACACATATATCTAAGGCATTGGCAAAGTCAATAAAGCTTCTACAAAATTATTTTTTCAGGTCTCATTATAAAAATAATTATAAAAGTCCTTTATAAAAAATTGTGGTATGATGTCCAATGAGACAACTTTCCACCCAAGTTCAAATGATGTGGATGTAAGCAATTATAGGCAATCATCGTTTATTTCAAATATTAATTAGTCATCCACAAATTATTACACAATTGATTTAAAAAAGTATTTAAATATCCCCACACCAAACATCCAAATTTATGGTAAAACTGTAAGTGAAACCATTTTAAATATATTTCCTACTTACCCAACATCTAGAGGAAACTTATTGAATGTAATCTCAGCTGTTGTTGGGAAACGCAAGTCCATAATTCTTCCCTCTAAACGGAGTTTTCCATACAATAAAAATCCAATACCAAGTTCACCATAGACTGTCACTCCAGCATAAGGTTCTACACCACATATAGCTTTCATTTCTAACACCTTGGCTGCAATTTCAAACTTCATTCCGTAGTATGCTCCAGCACCAAATGCTAAAATTTTATTAATACTTATCTCAAAGTTTATTCTTACACTCAAAATAACAACTAATTTTCCTGTATGCAACTCTTATTTCCCCTATTCTGATCCTACTTTGACACATAGCTACAGTAAACATAATGTAATAATCATTGTTATTCTATAGTTTATGGAAAAAAGTCTTTGAGCGGATGGTGGCCTCAACACACATAATTTTTTATTATCACATAAGATCCTATGTAGAAATTATGTTCTTAGGGTCATGACCTTACAGAATGGATAGATGAACCAATAAACCATTTACATGTCAATTTGAAATTTAATCTTCAAAGAAATATTTCTACCAAAAGTACTCAAAACAGGCTTTTTCTATAATTAAATCAAAATTAAAAAAAAAAAAAAATTTAAATTCTATTTATAGTAAAGGCAGCCATATTGGTTGTACAAACAATTCTATTATAGGAAGGGCAGCCATTATGGTAGTACACAGTACAAAACAATTCAACAAACAGTGAATATCAAAGGATGACAATTCCTATCACTGGTGCTTTAACAAAGTTGTCTAAAGACAGGAGGAAACTTAGGTATGTTTGTAATGTTGAACAAGGTCAAGCAGAAAGATGTATAAATTTCAATTGTTTTAATAGCTCTGGCAAGTGTTATTATTTACTTTGAATTGTTTAAACATGCTCAGATGAATAACATTAAATGGATAAAAATATTAAACTGTTAGCATTCATATTGAAGATATCTTGATGGAAATAGGCAGTATAATTTGGTTGAAAAAAACATGTTTTTGGACTGAACATACAAATAAATGTATGATTACTTACAGAACTGCATTGGTATAATTCCTCCAACCAACATGTTAATACTATAGCTAAACAGTGTTATATCCTGTTTAGGGAAACTAAAGTCTCCCCCCAGTGTAAAGTCAAAAGATTTGAACACCTCATCTCCATTGGTCAGTAGCTTGGTAAGGAACTCGGAATACTAAAATTAGAAAATTGAAAAACAATAATGAATACCAAAGATCACCTTTTTTCATTAAATAACATTTTCTTTTTTTATCATTAAATCTACTTCATTCCATAATTTAACTATTTACCAAAAAAAATAAAAGAATGTGTCGGAGGACACGAATACCCCTGTTCAAGCTTTGCAACAAAAATGGGACAGACTGAAAGACAGATGGTCAAGGGTAACACTTAATGCCCCAGTAGCCTACAGCACATCATATTATAATTATATAACTAAGATTTACAGGTATCGTGTAAACAATTATATTACTTGTAATACCTATAGATCAAACAATATATAACTGGAGTTCAAAAATTTAATGGAGTCTTTGGACTTTTTGAAGACTTCAAGGCCTGAAAAATTTACAATGTTCAAGTCCATAACAAGATAAAGGGGAAATACTCAGGCTGCACTTACTTCAAACTCAACAGAGATATTGGGACCATATATTTTTCTTATAAATTTCAATGTAAACTTTAAAAGAAATGAGAGTAGGTTTACTTTTCATAAAGTTAATATTTCTAAGGATAATAATTCCCCAAAAAAGTCTTATTTTCAAAATTGAATAAGATATTGGTATTACAAATCTTTCATATCAAGTTTATTGAAAACCTCAATAATTACAAGGATTAGTGCTATCACAATGCATGTCTATTTTTCATGTAGTTTACTTCTCCAAGGGCCATAACTTCAATGAAAATTATCCAGTGGTACTCTTTCTAGTACTTAACTTATATTGATAATATTATCTTAATTTTATTGAAACCCATAATCAAATACAAGTAATCCAAAACTCCTTCATTCAACTTCAAAAGTGGAACAGATATATGGACACAGAGTCTAATGCTGACCCATTATCAAAAACATACCAGTGCTTTTGCTAAGTCTCTCAGATCTTTCATAAGCTGAGCCACCAATATTGGATCAACATTCTTGAAGTCCATTAAAGTTTCAATGTCACCAACTGTCATATTAGCTAACTTCTCTCCTAAAAGTTTGGCTCCAACTTCTGACAATCCTTGTCCAATAGCATAAGCATCCTTTATACCACTAACAGCAAAATCTAGTTCCTTAAAAATTTCTTCACCTAAAAAAAATAAAAGTGAGATTATGAAGACAACAAATAGTAAAAAATATAATTGTGTGGAATAAAATATTTCAGATCCTTGAAAAAAAATGGGGAATTGCAGTCCTTAACCTTTAGTTTTAAACCTTTTTTAGGTCTTTCCACTTTTCCGTGGAAAGACCTATTGGTTTTGTTCTGATTTTTTTTTTTTTTTCTTCCTCCAAATTTTTTTCTTACGCTGTATTTTTATTTCAAAAGATGTCGCTTAGTTTTTTTATATATGACATCATACAGTCTATATGCTTTTGAAACTGACCCTGTTTAACCAAAAACTTTTCTTTCTAAGAGTTATGTCCCCAAAAACTGTTTTTCTTGTTATGAGATCTCCTTCGCAATCGTAAAAGAAAGCGACAAAAATTTATTTTTCCAAATTGCTCGTTATATCCTCAGAATGTTATGTTTTATTTTGACCGAAGCATTATGAAGACTCCATATGAGAGTTATTCCCCCTTATGTATTTGAAATAAGTGATATGTTTTTGTAACTTGTAAACCATTAGTGATAGAGACCTAGGGTGTTTTGATTTGAGGTCCTTGGTCCACAAAAAGAAAAATTAGGCCAAAGTCAAAGGTCAAGGTCATGTTGTAAATTTTGATTTTGGCTTGTTATTACTTATTATCAGAAGCCGTTTAAGATATCAACAAAATATTTTTAAAAAATTGTTATATGCGACATGTCGTTACACATATATTTTGGTTGAAAGGGTATGTTGACATAAAAGTTTTTCCCCCCTCATATTTAAAACTAGCTGTATGGTGATATAACTCATTAACCATATATAGTAGAGACTTAGGGTCTTTTGATTTGAGGTCCTTACTTTATGACCTTGAAATTAAGGTCAAGGTCATAGGTAAATTTGACGTTCTATATTTTGACCTTTGCTTTAACTTTATGTCTGTAAATGATAGAGCCATGGGACTTCTTGCATTAAGTTGCAAGCCATATGACCTTGAAAAAGCCAACCAGAAGTGACCTTGTGTGAACTGGAAGTAGCTATTTATTTGATGTAAAAGTATATAGAACCATATATTTTTGGAATCAGTGTCAAGTAAACTATCATATTATACTGGCAGTGACATTTTTCTAACCGGAAGTAACAAAGTATCTCCCTTATTTCAAACAAAAGTGTATAGAATACTATATATATTTGGAATCAGTGCACAGTTAGCTATCATCTGACACTGGAAATGACATTTAAAACTCGATTTTTATATTTTCGTATCAAAATACATGGTTTTTTTTTTTTGTGGAAAGACCTTCAATTGTTCTCTGAACAATTGGTTTTTAATTATTTTATTTTTGGTTTTCTTGATTTTGGTGTTCCCAATGGTGAATCCAATTTCTCAATGCTAAAATAAACTAAATACAATGAATCATTTATTAACAGTTCACAATTTACCTCCCTTCAATGTGTAACTGAAGATCTTGATTCTTATTAGAAAATCACATTGTCTCCTCCAGGACTCAAACCAGAGACCCCTGTGTTACAAGTAAGCACTCTAACCAATTGAGCTGAAGAAGTACTTCTACTACTCAAGGGAAGCAATCCCATCACAACTGTAATATTTACCTCCCTGTACTGTAAAGGTTCCACTGAATGTTTCTCCACTCACACCAACAGTGGTGGGCATACCACTACCAAGAGCTTTAAGAGCAGACTTCCCACCAGTTTTTTCATCACCATCGTCAATATTTGTTACAGAATAATCTTTACTATTTTTCTAAAAAACCATTAAAAACAATCAACATATGTTACTATTAAAAGTATAAAATGATTTCAAATGAAAGAGATGCATAACATTCTATGGAATTATATAATGGAAAATTGTGTTTTAAGAAGTCAGTTGAAAAAGATCTGAGATTCCCAAAACTTAAATGTATATTTCATCTATAGGTCAAGAAGGTTTTTGGATGCTTTTGTCATTGGGTTGCTGTCGAATTAATGTATACCTTAAATCTTCCTTCATTTATTCAACTAATTATAAGTACAATTTCAAAATAAATCAGTTCAATACATTTTCTTTCTTCTAACACAGTAATAAAAGTACTCCAAAACCCTAATATTTGTTGTGAAAGATAATTGGTACAACAGTCATCTCTTTTTAGGCTTCTTTCTAGAGATGTCTCTACTTTTGTATGAACATTTTCACTTTACACAAGAGTAGTAGTTTCATTGTAAATTAAATATCACATTTTTAAGGGAGCATGTCTATGGCTCTAAAATTGTGAGAGAGATATGTCTCACCTTTTTTTTATGTTGATAGTAAAATACAAATATTGAAATAATAATAGCAATACTTTAACATGTAAGTTATGCAAAATATTCATGGTCAACAATCTCCATGGAAATGAAATGTGCCAATGCTATTAATACATATGCATACCAAATATCACTGACGTACCACTAGACAAGTGGTTCTCCATTAAAAAAGAGCTGTTGAAGGTTGGGACTATTGTGTTATACTTACACTGTAGTCCATACACGCAGCAATGAAAAAGTTCTTCTCTGCTTCAGTTGCATTTCTATCTGTCAATATTTGTAGGCCTCCTTTCATGTCTTTAACGTCAACCCTGATAAAAGCAATAAAAACAGCATTAGAATAGAGAAATACATACACTTTAACTTTTAATAATCTTTAGCAAAAGTACAATATCAGTAAATTTACAATATTTCCAAGATTTGTTGCAAAAAATAATATTCTTTATTCTAGTGATTGCTCATTGTTGAATCCATTTAGTGACCTGAATAGATCATTTGGTCGCCAATAGATAGTTGTCAAATTAGCAGTCATACCACAGCTCCTAATTTTCTATGGATAGGATCGAAAGAATGTTCATCTCACTGCTCTATGTTGTTCGTACTCTATAGAAATGGGGCCTGAAATAAAGCTAACTTAAGCTATCAAATCAATGTTAATAGGGATTTGATTGCACCTTATACAATCTATACCCCAAAAATTAGCTCCAGATCTGCAGGTATTACAAACATGACAGGATACTACAATCATGAAATAATCTAAATGAGCCAAAAAAAAATTAAATATTTTCACTACATACAGTGCTGCTGCACGTCTTCGTCTCCTACGGCCTGTGCATGTTCCCTTTTTAAGGTCAGATGCTGTCAGTAACTGATAATCTTCACATGTTCCAGGAGAAATGTAGCATGCGGTCAAACCTATAGTGGTCTTGTAAGCTGTAGCTGAAGTTGTTGTGTCCAGAGTAAAGTTTAACATGAATGAGCTAGACAACGATTCAACCTGTTCAATTCCTGTAAAAATTAAATTTTAAAAACTTGATTAATTTAAAAAATAAGTATTTCCATAGTTCATGAAAAAAAATTTCCTGTTTACAGTTAATTTTCATCATGGTATTAACTGTCTAATTGATTATTTCTATATATACTATTTAGTTATTTCAAAATGGTTTTTTGAATAACCTTGGAAAATCGATGGAAGGAAAAAGAATAAATCCGTGTTTTTTAAATATGGAAAATCTCCCAATTTTGGAATTTCTAAAATATATGAAACAAATACAGTATTTAACAATGATTCATTATCTTTTCAACCCTTTTAATATTTAAAATATCCCTATTACGGTACTAAAGTAATACCATTAATTGAAGCCAGTCCTGTTCTTGTCCATGTGTGCCTCTCTAGAGTGTAGTCAATTTGATCAGCACATGAATCCAAAGCAAATGTCAGCTGGGTGTTACGAGTACCAGGTACAAAGTCCAAATCTAAGCAACATGTAACACTAAAACAGTCAGCAGCCATCTGACATCTGGTCTGAGCATAGGTTGTAAAGGTAACACCAGGACAGCCTATAAAGAAATACAATATAAAATTGAGAATGGAAATGGGGAATATTTCAAAGAGACAACAACCTGACCAAAGAGCAGACAACAGCCGAAGGCCACCAATGGGTCTTCAATGCAGCGAGAAAATCCCGCACCCAGAGGTGGTCCTCAGCTGGCCCCTAAATAAAATAAACACAATTGTCTCCCTTTTTTTCTAATAATGTTAAGATGAAAGAAAGATTTATTTTCATTTGGTCAACATCCAGTTGAAATAATTGTACAATATTTTCATGCTTAGCATCTCATGGCAAATATTCCTGCATATTCAAGTAAACAAATAAATAATATCCAATATGTAGGTTCTGCAACGCAGATTGACCAAAATGAAATTAGGAAAGTTGGTATATTGGTTAGGGGAACTATTTTGTAAAAATAGATAATTAAGACACACTTCTTTGTTTTTATAAATTGTTTTTATGACTTGATGGTGGTAACCACTTCAATTTTATTTTTCAACACATTTAATCATTAATTAATTAATAACAATGAAAAATAATTCATATAATTTTACCTTGAGCATATGTTCCTGTAGAAAACTGGGAACAAACTGTTGGCTTCCAATAGTCAAATGTTATGCCTGTCAAAATGTAGAATAATGAAATTGTTGCATAAACTTTCTCATAAGTTTCAAATTTCTTAATATTCTGTAAACCAACTTATTTTCGCTGACACTTTATTTTGCATTTAGACCTTTTTAGTACACTTCGCAGCGATTTAAATTTGCAATTTTCAAATTTTCTTGATGTGGTTGAATCAGGAAAGATCCAAATTTTACATATTCTTGATTATTTATATTTTTCTACTCGCAAACGTCACAAAAATAAATCTCTCACAAATATTACTTGGTTTACAGTAATGACTGTAATCATTCTTGTCAATCTTAGAAATCTGCCTATGAAAATATTGAATTTTCACAATAAGAGAGAATAAAAATAGAACTGATTAATCATGAATACCGATAGAACTGATTAATCATGGATACCTATAGAACTGATTAATCATGAATACCTATAGAACTGATTAATCATGAATACCTATAGAACATAATAATCTTAAATTTCCCCTAACTAATTTAACTTCGTGGCTTTGTTCTTCAATTCACAGTTGTGGCGTGATAAGTCAGTTTGCAAATAATATCGCTCAAACTGGTGCTAGTAAATTTTTCATACATACCATAGAAAGGTAAGTTAGGCTGTGTACACTCAGGATAGTAAAGTTTATTACTGGTAAATATGGTATATTCTTGTAAACAAGACCCTGCTCCAGATTCAAAACATAATTTGATAGTTAAATCAACATTGAAGTATTTCATTGATGCAACATGGTTTACACGGTACATGACTCTCAAAACTCCATAGAGGTTCATGTTCTCTGTTGTTCCTGTAAAGAAAATTAAATGTTTTGTCATTAAAACTGATGTTAGAAAGTACATTAAAACTGATGTTAGAAAGTACATTAAAATCCAGACAAGATAACAAAAAAATATAAAAAAACATCTCAATAGTTCGAGGAAATATACCTTTGATTCAACAAGTAACTATCAAAAGTGTGGTATTTATACAAATGCCTGTCTAGAAAAAATTATAAATGTATTCATTGACATTAAACATGACATGATTAGATTGTTTTTGCTTAACATCTACTGATCTAAACATATTTCATGAATTTTCAGGAAAAGAACATATTTTTTAAAGAATAAACAAAAATATGACAATATTTTAGTAAATTGTAAAGAATACAAATATAAAATAATTCTCTTTTAAAGGTTAAGGTCATTATATAATTCTGAATGTAAAATTCTCCAGTGAAGAGATCAGTTCAAATAGAAGAACTGATTTCCTGCCATTCATTTCACAAATAATCATGATAATCTAGATTAGAATTAATAATAATTTATATTGAAATATTATTAGAAATTATGAATATTTTTACTCGTAAGATTTTTTGTGAAAAAAGCCACTTGTGCTCAGTAACTTACCCCATGCATAATTGAGTAAATCCTTGTCAATTATCAGATTTTCCAACTGTATATTCAGTGTGTAGCTACAAGTGTTCATGGTCACGGCAACATAAAAATCTCGTTTCAGAACATCAGACTTGGCACAACAGGAAACAGCATTACAATCAGCAGCAATATGACAAAGTAATTCCGATGAAGGTAGAAGAGTCAAATCCCCTGATGACACATTGTTACATTCTGTAATAGAATATGTTTATTATGTTATGTATTAGAAAAAAAAGAGCTATAATGTTATTATCGAAGAAAGAAAGAAAAAGAATCTAATGGAATTAAGACTCCTTCAAGCAAAAAGGTACATTTTATCAATTATTTTCAAATACAACTGTTTTATCAAGAAACATATGATTAATCATTTTTGTGACTATTATCATTGAAAATTATTCTTTTTAGGTCAAATTTTTTTAAGATTAACTTTTCGTCAGTAAGATATGTAATTTCATTACTGGCTAAACAAGTTTCTTATGGAGAAACAAATTTTTTTCCTGTTAATAACTGAAAAAAACAACATTAATTTATGAAACAATGAATTGGAAAAGATAGGATATTGGGTAGTTGTACAAGAGAAAAAAACTTTCATGAAACAATAGAACAGTCAACCATAGTAATAGCACTTACATTAAAGTTTTCAAACTTGACTGTTGATGTACACGTATGATCTACATTTTTGAGAAAAAAATTTAAACATAATAAATTGAAGCCAAAACGTTCACCACTTCACTCTCCCTATCTAATTCATGATACAAACCATTATTCCATCCATCTACAGCACCAACAAATGGTGATCCAGTAAAGTTACAAATGTTGGAATACTCCATAAAATCATTTATCTGCAGTAACTGTAATAAATCATCAGCATCCACTATTGACATATTTGTTAATCCTAGACTTTTATCTGCTAACCATGTGGATAGAGAGAATCCTGCAAAGAAAATACAGATATATTAATAAATATCAATTCAACCTGTTTTAATACTGATGACAATGATTGGCATGTTGGTTTTCCTACTGCATTCAAATTTATTTTCTCATATTAACAATTTTGCCTTTTAAAAATATCCATCAGGACATTATTTTTTTAGTTTAATCTCATTTTCAATTTAACTGGTTTAGAAAACCAATCTTTAACTTTTTTTAAATTCTTCGTGGATAAATTTATAGATTATTATAAAACTAAGGTTACAACTCCCTCAAGGAAATTTAACCTTAGACCTATTTGGCTATTTTTCTAAGATCCCTTTTTAGTCATACAGCTCTTCATGTGTTTCAGTACTTATACATCCTTGGCTTTCAATTTTTTGCTTTGAGTGTTCCTGATGAGGGTAAATTCAGGAAAGCGGTTTAGGACACATATAATTTATAGAGTATTCTAACTTTTTCAGCCTATCTACTTTTTACCTGAATCATTGAAGCCTGTATTGTAATCACAGCTTTCTTTATCAATGATCGTCTTATTAAAGATGGTATATTCCTGGTCACACACCAATGAAGACAACTTAAACCAGTCTATTTCTTACCTGAATCTTTGAAGCCTGTATTGTAATCACAACTTTCTTTATCAATGATCGTCTTATTAAAGATGGTATATTCCTGGTCACACACCAATGAAGACAACTTAAACCAGTCTATTTCTTACCTGAATCTTTGAAGCCTGTATTGTAATCACAGCTTTCTTTATCAATGATTGTCTTATTAAAGATAGTGTATTCCTGGTCACACGCCAATGAAGTATCACCATTTAGACAGAATTTTATTGACATTGTAACTTCATACTGGTTACTTAGCAACAGATTGCTTACAAGGTAACTATAATAGAGAAATATGAAAGTAGTATAAATAAGGTAAGTTACATATTCAAGATTGATTCCATAACCATCTATGTGTTCTCTATAAAGGCAACAGTAGTATACCGGTGTTCAAGTGAAATGTTTTTAGTTAAAAAATCAGAAAAGAAGCCAGAATTGAATGGAGAAAATTTGATATAAAACAAGAGATATTACACCCCCCCCCCCCCCCCCCCCCCCTTTATCACTATCACATTTCTATGTTCAGTGAAACATGAAAACCCTAATTTTGCGTAAGCAGTTTACAAGTTTATGTCACCACAAACAACCTTAAATCAAAACTTTAACCTGATACACAGGTGGACAGGCATGAAAATATAATGCCCCTCTCCTATCCTATCATAAACTTACTCTATTTCAGCCAAGCCATATATAGAGAATTTGGCACTAGATCCAAAGTCATAATCATGCAATGATATGTCAGTTTCCAGTTTATCTACTTTAAGACGTAGTCTGTTGCCACATGTGTCCACAATCAATTTATATTCCAGAGATGTGGCTAGCTGTGGCACATCAACACAGCATCGTACTCCATTACAGTCTGTTGGGACACTACATACTATGGTATCAGCTGGTGTAAATGTATTGTGTGCAATTGATGAACCACAATCTGAATAACAAACAAATAAAATATGTATATGTTTACAGTTTGCAAATATATGTTAATGAAATCTTATCATAATTATTATTAGAGAAACAAAACTTTACATTTTACACAATACAATTTTCTTTCGTGATTGTGTTGTTCCAGAGACAGAAAGAGGTACATACATTTGCATCCCTCTTAAACCTCTCCATTTCCTTCTTCAGTGTATGATCTATTTACACTGTAACAGAAGCTTTAAAAAAATTGACAGAAGATAAAAATCCAAAAATGTAAGCGAAGAAACCAGATTCAAGAAACTTTACTTACAACAAGATTTAAACGTTCCAGTTCAGCGAATTCAATTTTAAACTTAAACCTAATGATTGAATTCAATTACTTACCGTCTTCAATATCATGTTATCTGCAAACTCAATTTAAACCATTGCATTTTTATATCCCTCCAAATTTTAATATACATCACAATTTATTTTTCTTCTACATAATGGCTAAAAAATTCAAAATAACATTTAAACTACTTACCATTGTTGAAACCATTTGTTGCAGTTGCTGTCATAAAAGGAGTCATCACATTGTAACACTTGTCATCAAGGCTGAAGTAATTATTCACATCAAGGTCATTGATCAGTTGTAGTCTGGCCCATTCTGGTAAGGGTGAAGTATTGGCTGGTAGACCAACTGATGACAGCCAGGAACTATAGGAAACTGTAATAAGATATGTTTTGCTATTATTACATGGTAAGGTATTAGCAAAATACTTAGTTGAAAATTTTATTTTCTTACTCTTTAGGAAAATGAAAACCACATCTTTTTTGAGAAGCCAATTAAAATTTCTGATATTATAAAGCAGACGCTATACATGTAGAAACAAATTGCATAAAAATTTATCAACTAATTTTATATCCTTAAAATCGTTCTTTTTCATAAAAAGAAAAGAAAGAAAAAGGTTAAAAATGAAAGGTGTATAAATAAAAACTCACACTGTTGATTAACAAATCCTGCTGCCCTATCACAAACTTGTTTCAATAGTTCAAAGTTAGTTAGGATGGTTTCTTGTAAAGTACAGGCACCATTAGCCTCATAACATGCCATCAGGTCCATGTTTACCATGTATTTATTACTTGTCACAAGATTATTCACAGTAAACCTACAAAAACATGTATAATTTTATACACACAAACTCATACACTAGCCAGTCAACACTGAGGTTGGGAGTTCGAACCCCGCTCGTGCGGGTGCACTCGACTCCAATCTTAATTGACTAGGATTGTCAGTTTTCCTATCGAAGGTCGGTGGTTTTCTCCGGGCGCTCCGGCTTCCTCCACCAATAAAAACTGGCCGCCACGAAATAGCCCAAAAGCGGTGCTTAAAAGTGGCGTTAAAACACCAATAATCAAAAAATCAAATCTAATACAAGTGTTTAGTTTTGTGAGTGTATTAAGACAAAAAATATCTGTTAAATCATTTTTGCAATGTTTAGAAAAGCAGTAGTTCTAAATTTTATAATTGTCAGTGCTTTCATAAGTATTTCACTTACCTAAGGCCATAAACTCCATTTAACTTGTAAACTTCCTCTGTTCCTAAAATATCAATCAATTAATCATTTTTAACAGAATAAGTAAAATAATATATCCAATATTAGTTAGTAGATTCTCATTATTCAATACAAAGTATAATCAATGTTTTGAGATCTTGGCTCTTTGTTTACTTTAGGGGACCAAGCATATACTAAACTAGCCGTTGCTTTAAGTCCTACCCTTATCCATACCTAACCTTAACACTAGCCTTCAAAATAAAACAACCCCTATTCTTTAACTAAACCTCAGCTCTAAGTATCAGGTCCACTAAAGTAAATGGGGACAAGAACTTTTACTAATGTTGAAAACCTATATATTCCTAAATTTCAATAAAAAAAACATATTTTGAATATTTCCTTAAATAATTTTATTTTATTATCTGCCCTTAAATTTACTATCACATATTTTTCAATTTTTCAAGGCTTGTTAAAAAAATCTTTGAATAATTACCCCAAACATATCCAACCAATGATATAGTTCTGGTCATTCTCTCAAGTGTGACAATCAGCTCTCCTTTACATGAATCTATCTGAACACTGGCCTCAATACTTCGACCTACTTCTGATTCCTCAAAACAGCATGTAAACTTTTCACAGGTGTTGTCAACGTTACATGATACTGTATTGGCGAGCGCTGGCAAGGTACTCACAGGAACAACAGAACAAGCTGAAAAAATTAAAGTTATATTAAAAGTGCTGCCTTCATAATTGGTAAGTGAAATTTTTGTAAATTCAAGAAACTACAATTAAAGGAATACCACAATCAGTTTTAATTAAATGTTTATTACAATGTAACTTTTATTGATTATGAGATGTTACATGTACATCACGTTAGAGATTAACAAGTAGCTTCAATGGAGGTTTGCTTGCATAGTTATTTTCATCCACATCCTTCGATCTCTTTGATAGATGGTAGTCTTAATGGCAGTCATACTACATCTCCTTATTTTCATATTGCTGATTAAGCAGCCTGATATTGATATTTAAAGTATAATCGAAATAAGAAACTTATATTCTCAATCTTGCAACTGTATAGATATTGCAAGGTCCATATTTTAATGCATAATTACCTTAAAAATTTTTAGCAGCTAAATTTAATAGCAAAGAATTTATGACTGTTTCATTGAAATATGGCTGTTGTGTTAAGAATTGCAGATACAAGGTGTCTACATGATACAGGTTGTCCAATTCTTTTGTTGATAAGGGAAGGTTCATGTTAAGCTATTGGAAACCCCAATTATCATTTCTATCAAAAAGATAAATAAAGATGAACAATGCCATGAGATACTTAAGATCAAGTGAAAGTTTTGTTTAAATCAAGTCTATAATATAGTTCAAAAATACACTTTTAAATGTATCTTATGAGACAAGCAGCCAGCTGTATATTCCACAACCCCCTATAACTCTATATTAACTAACCTGTTGTCCATCCATTGGTGCTAGAAGAATACAAGTCACTACTTCGATCACATGGTGTGGCTAATAGATAAAATGATACAAAGGCCTCATCCAAAAACCGAGAGGCATCATAGCTTTCCAAGTTCCCAGATATTTTATTATCGGCCTTAAACTGGGTTAAAGAAAAGTCTGAAAAAAATGAACAATGAACAGTAATAAAATTTTTTGAAAATCATCACCATATTTTGTGCTTGTATATGATATGTGTATTTCTTGGATGAGCATGCACTTATTATTCAAAAGGTTTGAAAGGTTTTACCCATTATTACAGTAAATATAAAGAGCATGAATAAAAGATCAATTCTCTTGAAATAAGGTAAAACTTGCACATTTTATGTGAAATTTGTTTTTGTGCTTCCATTATACAATAAATAAGAATTCTATGTAAAAAAATAATAATCGACTTACTCTGATGAACAAATCCTGCATCCCATGTGCATTGTTTTTTGGGTAATAGGACATTTTCTGCTATCACAAAATCTTGCTCACATGCCTGGGCACTCTCCGTACACACAGAAATGTTCATATCTATTAGGTAGGCATTTTCTGACTCTATATCATACACAGTAAACCTATAATACAGAAATTGAATAAATCAAAATAAAATAAAGAGTAAAAGGAATAATATTACTAAACATACAGAAATGTCAATTCTTTTTACAGACACGATCATTGGTGGTCCTTTTTTCTTTCTTTCAAAATAGAATCCTCTGTAATGTAATGCATGTAGAATGTTCTTGCATTTCCTCTTACATACAGTTTTATTCATTAGTATTTCCATAAGAATAATATCTTAAATCTCCTTACACAAAATTAACAGTCACAAACCTTAAAACTACATTTTTTAACTCAAAAACATGAAACTACATTTTTAAGCCCTTGAACATGAAACTATATTTCTGAACTACAACCAATGTGGATTTATATTGTAAGTTCTTAAAAAGGAAAAAGACCATGATGGCTAAAATATCTTAAAAGATGAAAGATTATCACACAATAGCCACAACACGAAAAAAATTTAATCTATAGTTTCATGTTTCACAGAGTATTTTCTTTGTATATGACTTACTGTGTTTTGACTATTCCTCCCAAGGAGAAGTTCCTCTGTTCACCTAAAATAGAAGATTTTATAATGGAAATTAATTCAAATGAATAACACAACTTCAATATATACAACATTTAACAAATACGATTCTGTTACTTTTAATTTTTTTGTAGATGAGAATTATTCACTACCATAAAAAATCTAATAATACAACAACTATTGGTTGCTTTTTTATTGGTCATATCATAACAGAAAAAGTATAATACTGCCTTATGGGATGAGATGTCTGTGCTAATGAACAGTACACAGAAAAAAATGGATGGGGTTAATTAATTCATCATATTAACTTTAACTATGTTATAAATGGAGCTCTATGTTCAACTTGCACATGCAATGCATACCAGCAAAAAAAGGAGAAAATTGCTACAAATTCATTTTGCTTAAACTTTCAGTCACATTTAGCCCCTAAAAGCTGACTTCCCCACAATCTATTTTATGATTTCATAACATTCCAAACTTACCAAATGTATAGTCTGCCATGGCCAGTTTGTACTGGAAGTTCTCAATTCCAACATTAATGACAAAATCACATGGATCTAATTTGACAACCACATGGAAAGGTCTACGAAGCTTGGTAGAGTCAACACAACACTCGATTTCCGTACAGCTTGATGTCACATGACATGTTATATCATTGTAGCTGCTAGATAGATCCTGTATGGTGGTATTCAGGCTACATTCTAAATAATATAAACACAATCATTTTAATCATATTTCAGATAAACTTGCCAGATATTTAATTCAAAACAATAATATATAAAATCAGTATGGTTTTTGTTTCATTTCTATTTTCCTTGTTCTTGCAGTACTGGTATGGTTTGTAAAATCAGAAATCAATGTCATCTATTTATTAATGCAAAAAAGTGGCAGGTACTATGAACATCCCATTAATCAAACTTTTCAACTTAATTTATAGGCTGCTGATCTTCAACCACAGCATACACAGGAATCAAACAATCTGATCCATCAATATTGTGTTTTTGAATTTTCAAATTAATACAATGAAATACACACATTGTTTTCTCAAACATCAAGGGAACAATTAATTTTTCTTTTATAATGAGGATGTACTATAAAAAAATTACCATACACTTATATCTACTGACTGGACTAAAAATATGTTTTACTATCAACACTTACCATCAATCCATCCACCAGCAATAGATGAGTTAAACTTGGCACTGCTTCTACTACACTGCGACTGACTATCTTGTAAATAAGGAGATAGACCAGTTTGTTCATACAACAAATATTCTGCCCACATTGGCAGGGGGTCACCTATAGTCAATCCTTGATCTCCTTGCCATGTCTCAAACGAGAAACCTGTAAAGAAATGAAACAGTAAAAGGTCAAAAGAATTATGTGAACTATTAACAACCAGAAATTGCTATTACCTAGTCAAAGGTTTAGTTTGAAAATACTAATTTGAATACCTCAGTATATTCTAAGTTAATAATTTACCAAAGACTTCGTAGGATCATGAGATACTTTAAATTGATTGGCATGATTTGGCATGTGGACATTTTATAAAGGTTTTCAATTAATGATATTTTTATACTCTAAAGTCTGAAAACTTGACTTACTTGGAATATGGTAGTCAGTTTTCCATTCACATATATCTTTAGGTAATCTGGTATTGTCAAACACTGTAGTGACCATATAACATGGCTGTCCATCCTCGTAACAGTAGGATATATTCATACTGACCAAGTACATACTCTCTCCTGGTATATCTTCTATCATGTAACTATAAAAGACATAAAATGTAAAATGAGACGTCAAGTATTTATGCTTATGATTAAGATTTTGTAGGCAAAGGTTACATTAAATGATATCTGAAGGTAAATTTTTCTATTTTCTATAAAATGAAACTGTTGTAAGAATCAGGAAAAGTGAAATGGTTGAAAAATCAAAAAAGAAAAACAGATTTTTAAGAAAAGAAGAAAAGTATTTATAGAAACACAACAAAACATACTTTAACTAAAGTAGTAAAAAACAAAGATTGTCATAATTTAACAATTTAACTCACTCAATCATAACTGATCCAACAAGTGCAAACTGTTTCTTTGTTCCTAAAAACACATGTCAGAGGTTATTAATCATTATTTACAATTACTCTTACAAGATTCACTGCATTAAACTTAGGTAAGTTAAAGCTGAAATGTCTAATTCAAAGCTGGTAATCACTAGCAGTGAACTTGTAAGTGATAAAGTTCAAAACAAATATGACATTAAAGGATGTATTTTCTTTTTAATCATTTCTATCACCATCAATTGTATTGAAAAAAAAAATAATATGAAATGAACAATTCAATTTGAAATTTGAAAAAAAATAAGCAAAAATAAAGTTAAATGGTTTGTAAATATAGAGACTATCTCCATTCTTTTATTAAACAATCTACACAACTGTATAGCCAGCTGCTTATTGTTCTTATCAGATAAAAATCTGGTACTTACCCTCCATGTAATCAATCAAAGAAATATTTCTATTGAAACGTTCAATGCCAAGATACAGTATTTGTTTACAGGGGTCAATATGTAGGTACGTCCTGAATGACCTTGAGAGGAAGTCGATTTCAGTACAACATTCTACTGCAGTGCAAGCTGAGGTCAGGTGACATTTTGTGGAATCTGTGATGTTGGGTAGACTGACAGTTTTTGTACAACCTGCAAAATTTATGTATATTAATATATTTTGTTTGTCTCATTAGTTCTAAATATTTTTTTCAAGCAACAAGATAAAGAGGTTATTTCATACTGAATACAAGAATCATGTAGATTGCAGTACTTTATAGATCGAAGGAAACTAAATAAGAAGACATAGATGTTTTTACTAGTCTTTGGATGTTTTCTTTTTATGTTTTTCTTCTTTTACTTTAGGGTTGCAACCCATATAAAATATAACTTAACTAACACTTATCCTTACCCAAACCTTACCCTAACACTTTTCATACTCATAACCTCTACCAAACTGTTATCTAACCCAAAGTACAGATACCCCTGAAGTTTAAGAAGGATGATCTTTTTTAAGAATTAACAATTTTTTTTTCAGATTAAAAATAGATTTAGATTTAAACCCTCACCTAGATTCCATCCATTTGTATATTGTAGACCAGTCTGTCCACATTGATCTGTCTGTAAATAAGCAGCAATGTGAAGGTCATCCAGGAAAGATGATGCTGCCCAGTCAGGCAGAACTTGTCCGTCTGGTATTCCATTGTCAGCATACCACTGGGTCTTGGAGAAACCTGAAAAATGTAGAAAAAAATTAGTATATCATACAAATTGATCATATGTAGTTGTCGGCTTTTGGATTACATATCAGAGATGAATTATTTCACAAGTTTCTGTCTGAAATTCTTTGTTATATAGTGAACAAAAAGTAATCAAAAGTTAATCAGAATAGTTGAAAATGATGCATCCATACCTGAGGTTTTGAATCCTTGATTGTAGCTACACACTCTTTTGGGTAACTTTGTGTTCTCAAATATTGTAAAGGTGTTCTCCAGTGTACAGGCAATACCTGATGTCTCATAGCAAAAATAGGCGACCACATTCAACAGATAATAACGTTCTGTGTGCAGATCCTCTATATTATATCTGAAATACAAGTTTTAAAGTGAGCATGGTACAGAGAATCTAAAAAGAGCTCAACAACTAGTCATCCCTGATTCATCTTAAGTAAAAAACATTGCAGTATTTTGTCATTCAGAATATTTCTCTGTAGTTGAAACAGAAATAATTTGGCAACTTGTGTAGTTCTATGACAATGTATTTAATTTTATTTAATTTATTTCTTTTTTCACCCTCACTTTATTTGAATTTATCTTTCAGACTAACATTATTTAATGAGATATTGCCCATATTGAATAAAATGCTTTTCTGACCTGATTTTTATAGTATGTTCTATGCACTTTTTGTTATTCAGCTGAGCATATGTAAGCTGTTTTTTATAAAAAAAAAAAAATCATCAAAATATGACACTTACTTGAGACGGACGATTCCTTGTAAATTGTAGTAATGATCCTCTCCTGCAAATAGAAAAAAAATGGAACATAATATTTCAAATCACAAAAAAGGTAACAGCTAAAAGACAGGTTTTTTAATTGATGCATGATAGTTTTCACTGTATCTTTTGCAAAAAAACTATGGGATATTTACATTGGTAAAAAAGACAATTTCATTATCATATACATATTTCTAATACTCGTATAATTCAAAAGTAACTTACCATATTCAAAATCACTGAGTGTTCTATTATATCTAGCTCTCTCTATGCTGATACTAAGCCTGTTTGAACAGGGATCCAGTAGTAGGGAGAATTCAATTGACCTCTGAATCAAATCATTCTCTATACAACCTTGAACACCTGTACACATAGTAGTTATATGGCCATTGACTTTGTCTGATAAAGTAGGCAATGTTAGGTTAGCAGCACAATCTGAAAAAAGAAAAAAAAATGCTTAAAAAACCTAATTGCTATTTTGAAATCTGCTACATTTCACAGGAAAAATTGCGACATTTGAACAATTGATTTCATATAACAACAAATTTAGCTAATTAACTTGTTCAAAATGGTTGGGTTCAATTAAATGTTTATTGCACTTTTTAAACAGTAATAATTTATTGAAAAATAAGATAAAATGTCTTTATGTTCTACTACAAAGCTCCCATTGAAAATTTTTCTGCAGAAGGAGATCTCAAATATTAAGGTTTCAACAGCTGACAGCTATGAAATAAGATTAATATTTGTTCAATACCTTGTGTCCATGATTCATTGTTATACAGGGCACCAGTTCGGTTACACATTTCATCCTGCATGAATGGTGCCAGGTTTGTGTCTTCCATAAACTGTAGTAACAAGTTTGGTGTCAAAGGATCAGTAGGTCCGTGGTTTCTGTTTATCAAATATGTGTACAGTGAAAAACCTGAAATATTAAAAATATTATTTTTCATGCATTATTATCATAATTCATTGTATTCATATTGACATAAACAAGTTTAATTTAGAGCATTGCAGTGTAAAGAGAATCACCATACATTGTCTCAGATATAAAATGAATTTATACTTGGTACTGTTTCTAAGTCTTAACTAAATAAATTTCAAGACAATGTATGATTATTATATATATATATCTAATACTTTTTAAAAAAAAGAGAGAAATAAATGATTTATCAAATACTTCATGGAATGAAAATTTTTGATTAAACAATATTTATCTAATGTTGTTGATATACATGTATAAATACTTACCAGAAATATGGAAATCTGAGCTCCAATCACATTGTTTCTTAGATAGAAGGACCTTATCCATAAGTATGTTGGCTGCTTCAACCGGTCCAGCTGATTCATAGGATAATGTCAGATTCATGGAAATTAAGAACTGTCTGGCCTCATATAGATTCTCTATTACAAAGCTGTAGAATAAAAAATCATTGTTTTTCTTGACTTTATATTTGTCTACTCAAACAGTACTATAAAAGAAGTACTTATTCTTTTGAATTTTGTGTCGTCATGTTGCTTTCTCATAGATATTTACCTCATTCATATGGAGTACTTAAAACTGTTATTCTACTTAAACAAACCATACAACTATAATAAGTTACAGCCAATTTCAATGAGTGTGTAGGCAAAGGTAATATCTTTGGTTAGCTTGCTTGCTAGCTGAACCGTGAAGTCATTGTTAGGTAAGGTATACTACCCTCCTTTCAAAGTAGCCTAGTCATACAGACAGATTGGTTATCTGGCGGACTAGTCTACTCTTAAAGGAGGGTAGTTTACCTAACCTAACAATGACTTCAGGGTTCAGCTAGCAAGCAAGCTAACCAAAGATATTACCTTTGCCTACACACTCATTGAAATCGGCTGTAAAAGGTTAATGTTGTCATTACCAGTCCTTATCTCTGACCACTAAATGTGATGTTTATGTGATAACAAATAAGTTATTATAAAAAGTCTAAAATAGCTAACAACATTTTTCTTTTAACAATAATACTTTTAATCCATTATGATTTTTGCGATCATACTTCACAAGGGTCCTATTAAAGAAATATAACATTTTACCCTTTGATCTAAATGTGTTGAATACTTACTCCATTGTCAACAAACCAAACAGGTCCATACTTTTTACAACTCCTGTAAATTGATGAAAATATTGTTAGGTCAACTTAGCAATATAGCAGAAATAGTAATATTCATATCTATAAATATTCAGAATATCAAATTTCACAGATTTTTAAAAACATAAAGATAAATTGCATGTTAACAGCAAGAAAAAAGAAGAAACTGGAAAGAATAGGGCAATGACAAAATTTTTTTAAAACATAATAAAAATCTTATAATAAATTCTAAATAAGCCAAAATGGAACTTACCCCATTGATAGTCATGGAAAGGAACTTTGAACTCAAGTTTTTCAATCCTGACAGACAGTTCAAAGTTACACGAGTCAATTTCAAGCTCTGTCTCCATCGGTGTACCAAGTAGACCAACTTCATGACAACACTTGACAATGCTACAGGTTGGAGGTATGTAACACTTCATCTTATCTGATGGCAAGTTCTCCAAGTTAGAAACTGAGCATTCTGTAATGTAGATAGTATATCATGGAATGTTTAGAAATCAAACTTTTAACATTTAAGCTAGTCTACTCTGATCAAGCAGAATCTGTTTTACAGCAATCAGAGATAATTTTGAAGTCAATATTTTCTCAGTTACCATGACAGTCAAATATCAAAACACTTCACATATTTTTAAGATCATTTGCCTTGAAAATTGAAAACCATGATTTTTTAATAAAACAATTCATTTTATGCATGAAACATACCATCTTTCCATCCATTGATGGCTCCTATATACGGTGAATTGTATCCCTGACACGGAGTGTCGGACTGGTAAGGTCCAACATATAGAGCCTCAGTTAGTCTTGCTATGTCTACTGGGAACAGCTGGGCATCAGATGTAATGTTCATCTCATTTCTCCATCCAGACTCAGAGAAATCTGTAACATATTCATTTAAGTTTAAAGTTTGATTCCAAATATATTAGGTCATACATGTATTTCTCATTTCAAACTTTGGCACTAGATGTTCGCACTACCAAACTTTCAAGTTCTTATCTCATCAAAAGTATTATCAAGACTTCACATCTACAGTTATATCTGTATATGAATTTAAGGTCATCATCAGGACCAGAAAAAACTGACCTTATAAGAAAGGTGACCTTTGAATTGAGGTTCAAAGTGCAAAGGTATTACTATAGGACAAGATAAGGGTGACCTGAAAAGGCAAATTTTTGCTTATTAGAGGTGACCTTTATAGCAGCTTGCCTGTATCTTTATATATTTCTTTTGACAAGCATATAAAATAATAATAAGTAGGATGATTGCATTAAATTACAAATTATCAAGATGCATGAACATTCCTGTAGCAATATCATTAATAAAAAATTAAACACAAATTTTGAACTATTTTCAGCACTTGATAATACTTATTGGCATTGATGAATTAAAAAAGTGTTTTTTAAAGCCTATTTCTTATATTAAGCATGCATTAAAAACTTAAGTAAAACATGCTTTTAAGATTTAAGGCAATTTGGAGTTTTACATTGTATGGACACCTGTCAATTGTTGAAGACATAATTATGTTAACATTTTAATAACTTTTGGTTTTGAGTGTAATTAAGTTGCTATCTCACTGACTTAGACCTAATATATAAATAAATTGGCAAAAAACCAATCTGACATATCATAGAAATGCCAGTATCTTACTTGGATCTCTGAAGCCTGTTTTCCACTGACAAGGCTTTTTATGCAAAACAGAACTATGGAACACCATTGATTCTAATTCACATGGCGCTGATGACTCATAGCAAATACTGACATTCATGTCAACAAGGTATTGGAATTCGTTGGTCAGATCGTATATCACATAACTGAAATAAAGATTAAAAATACACAGAATCTCATAATGAAATATACATTTTTAATATCTTTACAAGAGAATTAAATAATAGTGAACAATCAATAAATAAATAAAAACAAAATAATAATTAAATTGTAAATTCAATAAAAAATCTGATTTTTAAAAAAATTACTTCTTTAAATAACTAACAGTTATCTTTATTTTATAATAAACTTTTGCAAAAAACTGTTTATTTTTAAAGGTCAGCCACTTTGGTTATAAAAAAAATGTTATTTTAATTTTTGATACTCACTCTACTCTTACAACATTTTCCATGTAAAACTGCTGTAAACTTCCTGCAATGGACGAAAAACCTTATATAGAATATATACATTGTTTACTTAAGATAAAATTGAGAATGGAAATGGGGAATGTGTCAAAGAGACAACAACCCGACCACAGAAAGATGCATTAAAGTAAAATCACTTTCATCCTGGTCAAGTCACTTTTTAGAAGCTTATTAATTTATTATCCAATCTGTTTATGTCTACAATGTGCATGCATGACAATTTTTCAATTAAAAGTAAAGCAATCAATTATAATATAACTTATTAGAACTAAAAATATTAAGGTCTTTTGCAAAATTTCATTTTATTTACACAAATTTACAGATTGAGTTCTATATTACATATAAATTTCATTTTCATTATGGTTCTTTTATCTCAATATTAAAGCAAAAATTTACTTACCAAAGCTGAAGTCATACAAACTTCTATTGTACTCCAGATAATCAATGGTTAGAGATAAACTTTGGTCACATGGGTTCAGAAGAAGGTGCACATCTATGTTACGGTTCAGTTCCTCTGTGTACAAACAACACTTAACACCAGTACAACTACTGGTAACTTGGCAGGTTACATTGTCATGGAGCATTGGCTTGTCCACATTCAACAGACAACCTGTAATTATATTTTAGAAAGTGTTTTTTTTCTCTACCATTGTTTAGAAGTCAGCAATGCCAAACTGTATAGCTGAGCATAACACAAAAAAAACCTGTTAACCTGAAGCTTTCCTTAAACTATTTATCATAAAACAATTTCCAATATAGAATAAACATTTGTTTTAGCATCTTATCATCAATATAGACGTTTTTACCCTTTTGGGTATTAAGCTGAATTGTCTCTGTATGACCCTAGATCCGACTCAGAATAACCTTCTGATGTAATGCAACAATCACTTTTTCTTTATGACATCAAATATTTTGAATTGTGATGAAATATTTTGCTGGGAACTTGTGTAATTTAAATAATGGCAGACACATTTGTATACAAGTGTAAATATGTCTATTCAAAATAAGGAGCATTGTTTTTTATCCTTAATCACAGCATAAACATTTCTGTTCAATAATGTATGCAAGATTTATTTTGCGAAAGTATAAATTTAAAATATATCTATGCTAAGGAGCCAGCAAAAACTACTGGTTTTGTGAACAATTAGTATAAACATATATGGAATATATAAACACAATGAAACATCAATGAATCAAAATTTTAAATTGCTGTTCTTCATCCTAAGGTTATTATAATACCTCCTGATTGCCAGCCTGGTGCTGCAATGGTACACTGTGGTTCCTTCATGTACTTGGCTATCTTCAGATCACTCATGAGGAGAGATGCAGCATATTCTGGTAGTGAGTTTGATGAACTTAATCCTTTACTAGCCTTCCAGTCTGTCAGTGAAAATCCTGGAAAAATGAACAAAAGGAGATTTAGTCACATATAATGATGACATCATCAGAGAGAAAGAAGCCTTCAACATAGAGCAAAACTCTCACCTTTTTGCAAGTTCCTAAGTTTAATGAGTTCTATTAAGTATTTGAAGGCAATTTAGAAAATGGCAGCCAATGGATAAAATAAAAAATTTTGTCTGATTTCAAAAATGAACTCACCCCTCTAAAATTTAACATCAATAAATTAATCTTACCTGAAATAACAAACTTGCCAGTAAATTAAGATACATGTTCAAATAATCACTTCCGCTGTTATAAATGAATTAATCACTTACAAAATTCATTCTCTATAAATTATAATATTACCTGGAATGGCAAACTGTCCAGTAGATGTACATGTAGGTTTGTCTATCTTGAGACTACTGGCTACTACTCTCTGTACAGCACAATCAGCATTAGCCTCTAAACAAACACTCAGTGTTACTGTCAACAAGTATGAACCATCTATCGGTAATTCCTCTATCTGGTAGCTGAAATATACACAAATCCATAATGTATCCACACTTTATTAAATCCATTTTGCAAAATTTTGCAATTTTTTCTTCTAACTTGAACAATCCTGGAAATACTTTCAAGTATAGTATCCATTTTGAAACAGTAATATTTCATAGATTACTTTTTTATGAAAACCTGCATAGTTATTGATATAACTTGAAAAGATTTTAAGGTGGAAAGTTAAGTTTTATGCTTTTATGATTTTATAACTGTATTTGCGTTATGTCAAAAAGTTTGCTGCAGTTTAATTCCCTTTTGCAGATATTTAATTTGATATTTTACTAAAAGTAGTGCTTACTCCATCTTGAAAACACCGTTTATGTAGAACTTGTCTTGAGTACCTGAAATATATCAAGAAACAACATTTATATATACAGGAGAAATTATCCGTATACATAACTGAAACAAGAAACTGCAATTATAAAAGGAATAGTATCATTGTTAATAAAAAATAGATGTTCTCTAAAAATAGCTCGTTAAACAAAGAGTGTATGGATAGAATGTTTTATAATGAAACACACCACAACTTCCGAATTATTTAATAACAGAAACTTTTTGATAATTCATTTGCAAATATTTTTTTCACTTTATTTTTCAATTATCCATCAATTCTATTCTCAACAATAATACCTTCAAACATTTGAACTCACCAAACTTGTAAGTCAAGAGATTCTGTTCATATTCAAGACCTTCAATGGCGACAGTCAATTTGTATTTACAAGCATCAACAGATATTTTGTACAAGAAGGACCTTCCAATGACAGAGGCATCTACACAACACTGGAACCCTGTACAATCTGGTAACGTATAACAGGTTGTCTCTGTTGGTTTGATATATTCCAGTGTCAAGGACTGAGTGGTACAACCTATAGACAAAATAAAGCAAAATTTACAATCCACAGTCTCACAGTGTCCAGTTTTGTTTCATAATCTAAAGGATTATGGGTAATTTCCTTGAACATGCATCAAAAGAGAAAATAATGATATCCCATTGGCTGGATAGCCATTAATGAGGACATTGTTAACCAATCAAAACATTTTGGTGTACAGTTTTGAAAATATAACACAAAATTCATTAGATTTTGAAATGGTAAACTCAATATTAAACTTACTATCTCCCTTTTTTCTCATTCCCATATTGATTATATAGATTTTTTCCTATTTTACCTCATTTTAAGACTTTATTCATCTTTTGTCATATTAAAGAACAAACAGGAAAAACATCGAAATATGTTTTTCTTTGTTCACTTCAAAAATAAATTGCATAAAGAAATATTTTCTACTTGCCTTAATATTTGATGAAATTAGATTGCCCTTACCTTTCATCCATCCATCATATGTCGTACCAAATGGTGAAGTCAATCTGTTACATGATTGCTCTAGTAGATATTGTGACACACTGGCTGTATTCAAAACCTGCTGTACAAAGTAGCTAGGTAGTGTGGTCACTCCAGTTAAATGATAAGTCTGTCTCATTGCTTCCAAGGAGAACCCTAAAAAATAACAACGGAATTTACTGCATACAAATAGCTCATGTACTTCATTACAGAATGATATTAGCTGATTACTCCCTGGATCCTTGTTCTGTACCAATAATAAAGGGACATGAAGTGTACAATAGGATACCACAAAAACATGTCAACCATGAAACAAAAACCTGGCCTTTCGGTCATAAAAATTAGTAGGATTATCTTACTCAAGACTTGGAATTCAACCAAATAAAATACTGGATTTAGTGTTTCAAGTGCAAATTTTACACTCCTCAGTACTGAGTAAAGTTTTATGACCATAAGCCCTGTAAAAGTAAATGTAAACATTCTACTAGGCTTAACCAAATGTAAACATTCTACTAGGCTTAACCAAATGTAAACATTCTACTAGACTTAACCAAATGTAAACATTCTACTAGGCTTAACCAAATGTAAACATTCTACTAGGCTTAACCAAACAAATGGTACTGCAGTGTAAGTAGTAGTGCTTGCAGATGAAGAACACTGATGTTTCAGCAACATAAATCTGGGGGGGGTAAATTGTTGACCGACTTTAAGAATATAATGTATATAAAATGGATCAAGTTACACAAAAACATTTTCAAACAATTTAAAAAAGAGTTACTATCTTTTTTTTAAATTTTGCTGGAAAATGACCAAGATCTTTCAATTTAGTTGTAAGAAGATGCCTTTTTTGCTGTTGATAAATTAAAGGCAGGATTGATTAACTAGAAAACATTTATATAAACTCATTGTGTACACTAAAGCATGTTTTCATCAACATACCTGTAACTACAAAGTCACTGGAGAAGTCACAACTTTTCTTGTGCAGTAAAGTGTTGACGAAAATGTTCACAGGTCCAACTTCACATGCTCCTGATGACTCGAAACATACACTCAAGTTCAAGTTTACTAAGTACATGTTTTCACTTGGTAAGTTATTGATGGTGAAGCTATAAATGTTCAAAAAGTCAAATTATACACATACTTTAATAGAACAACACTTAATCCAATGATTAATATAAAAAAATGATAATCTTTTGGAAATCTTTGCTCATCTTTTAAATGATCTAGAAAGTATATGAGTGATAAATTTAATGTACTGAAAAAATTTCAGATCTTCAATAAGAAAGAAAAAAATTCAGGTTTTTAATATCATATCAGCAAGTTTATCTATTTGGTATCACAAATATTGAATCAAATACATTCTGATATAATTACAACATGGGGATGAAAAGAACAACTTACTCTATTCTTACAACTCCTCTAAGCCAAACCTGCCACAAATCACCTGAAATTAAACAGGAAGAGCATATCAAAACTATGTCATAAAACACCTTTGGTACACCTATGGTACACTTATGGTACACATATGGTACACCTTTGGTACACCTATAGTACACATTTGGTACACATATGGTACACCTATGGTACACATTTGGAACACCTTGGTACACCTTTTTTACATTTAACTCATAAAATAAGCCTCTGCACAATAATCATTTAGGTTTTAGTAAAAGTACATGATATATATTGTTTGCTGTATTTTTTGGGTATAATATTAATTCCTAAAACTAACAGCACAAATTATTAACTATAGGTTAGCTAAACTAACTGCAGGTATATTTACTTTGTAAATCTAATTTTTTTAGACTTTACTCCATACAATGATACAATTTCACAGATTACAATATCATTGGAAAAAAGGTGCAATTAAATCAAAACAAAACTAGTTCATTTATTTAAGAATTGAATGCTTCTTTTTATAATTTTATTGAGATGTAAAAGCATTAACCTAAGCACATTTTGTATGAAGCATGAAAGCACTTCATTCTAAAAATGTGTGCACAATTTTTACATATTTATGCTACAACCATGAAATTAAGAGTAATATCAAGCTTTTCATTTATTTTTCTATGCGTTGTTTTAACATTATCATGGATAGCACTAGTCATAGCTTTTGTATTTTATACGGAAATCAAATTTGATTTTGGAGTGCCTCTGGATTGTTGTCAACTAATCAAAATTATGAATTTTAATGAAACATACATGTAATGTAATTATAAGGTTATATTTATAAGAAGACTAGGAAACACTGTTAAGATTTATCCCATCTCAAAAAAAGAATTTCCCTTAATTAATACATTCCCAGTCAGCTGAAATTAATGAAGTAATAATAGCTCTACATTTCTTACCATATTGTTTTTCCAGAAGTCCCACATTGAAGTTCATTTTTTCTATCTGCACCATCATACGTGCATGACAAGGATCGATATCTACAGCAGCATGGAAACTCCTGCCAAGTCTTGGTGAGAAAATACTACAGTCTATAGCAGTACAATGTGGCTGAAGAGTACAATTTGCTGCAGGAGAAATGTCTGGTAGCTCTACCATGCCCAATGCACATTCTGAAAATAATACTATGGATTTTAACATTTTTTTATTACATTATTTGAACATAATTGATTAAAGTTATACCTTAAGTAAGAAAACTATTTGATGTATTCTCTAGATTATAGGCCTGTATCCATGATGTCAAACCTACAAAGTGATCTTTCCATGTCTTGATTTGGGCAGCAGTTGTTATATTTCATTATATTCTTATATTCATGGTTAAATCCATCCACAAAAACCACGAAAATTGGTACCCCATGAATAAAAGTACTTTTGCAGTGTGAAAGAGAAGCTCTTGATACATTTCAAACCTGGTGACTTATTAGTACAGGGGACCTAACTTTTATATACCATGTCATATTCCTATGGAAACATATGTGTATGTACTTACCATTATTCCAGCCATTACTACTGGCATTAACTACAGTATAACCAGTAGGTTCATAGAACTTGACAATGTCAAGGACTTCTTCAAGGTCGTCTAGGGCATCACCTGTGAGGGGTGTGGCATCTGTATATCCTGTAGTGGTAAGCCAGCTGGTATAACTAAATCCTGAAAGATAGCACCAATTGGTTTCATATTTTGGCATCAGGACTATTTAATGAATTTTGACTTACCTGCACAAATTTAATCTATTTAGCAAGTAATAAATTCAAATTTTAAAAATCAAAAATTACCTCTGCTTGTGTCAGAAATTAAAATATTCAACGGTTTAATGTGACAGCCTATTTTATGTCAAGCAAAATACTCAATATCCTTTCTTATCCATTAAATAAAACTTATCATTTACCTGACTGAGCAAAATCTGTCTGTGTATCACATGTATGTTTAGGTAGCAGTGTATTCTGGAAAACTTGTGACACAAACTGACAATCTTGTCCACTACTCCAACAGATACTGACTGTCATGTTGACCACATACATTCCACTGTATATCAGATCATCCACAGAGAAGCTAAAATAAAACAAATTAATTATAAATTCAATACCCCAAAACTATAAATATCAGAAAATATACATGAAATTAAAACACTTCAGTTTGACCGAAATTTTACAATATTTCATATCTATACTACAATAATATGACATTGTTCATGTTAGAATGGGACACCCCCAAATATCATTCTGAATTCAATTTTGTTCATTTACATGTTGTACAATCATTTATCAATTTTGAAGACTTAGTGTAGAATTCCAGATGTCTGTTGGGTTGTTTTTGTCGTTGTCACTGGGTTGCTACCTGATAGGTGTATACCACACATCTCTTTTTATCCATACCCTCATCTCACAATTTTTTTTTTTTTTTCTTATGATAAACAGTATAAGGGTTAAAGTGGCCTTGAAGGTGGAGTTCAATTAAATGATTATTTTCTGTGAAAGATGATAAAAAAATAGATAAAAAAGTTTTGGGTAATAAAAAATAATAATACAAAGTTGTGATAAGCATGTTTACATGGATTCAAAGCCTTTAGTACAATACACTTAATGCCTCAATTAGAGAAAGTAGTGTATTAAATTTCTCCAATTATAGTTGTAACTAATGAAATATTAAGTGTTTGAAGCTATTATAAAACTAATTATTGACAAGAAAGTATCTAAAAACAGCAGACGGTAAACTAATATAGATGTAGGTTTCAAGTGCTATTTTGTTATTTTTCTTCACAAAGTTTTATAAAATGAGCTTGAACAATGACGTCTTTCACTAAAAGGTTACTAATTCTATTTGTGTTGGTGTACATAGTTCCATTATCAAATTCTATTCAAAATGACAGTGATGTCGAAGGTAGGATAGAATTCTTGCAAAGCTCTATGGCCAGAATGGAGCAAAGGATTTTAACTTTAACAAAGACTGTAAACAAACTTTCAAGAAGTAAGTTTGGTATATTCATTGATATTAAATATGCCTGTATTAAAGTAAAATTAAATCAGTTCAAAACAGTAGCCTACAAGTTTTCATGAAACATTATTTTGATTGATTGATTGTTGGTTGCTTAAAGCCCTAGTGGCAAATATTTCATACATTGTAAAACAAATAACAAAATCTCTATCCTAGAAAATATTCACCCAGCAATTAAATTAATTTAGATAATTTTCAAAATACTAAATTGTAGATTTCATATTTTTTTCTCCAAAATTCAATGTCTTGTAATTTGCCGTATGCAAAAGTAGTCATAAAAAAATAATTCAGTTCAATTATCACTTAAAATGGTACATTTATAAGGTTTTTTTTGTATTCTTTGCTTCTATAAATCATATTTTTGTTTTTATTTTTTCAGGAAAGAATGAAGAACACGTAATGTTTTATGCGACTTTGTCATCTGATACTGTACTGAACATAAATTCTATCGTGAAATTCAACGAGATACAGTTTGATGAAGGAGCCGATTTCAACTCTGGAGATGGTGTGTTTGTATCCCCTGTATCAGGTGTCTTCATGTTTGCTTGGACAACACTCACACATGGCGGAAAAAGTATAGATACAGAACTTAGAGTTGATAATGTTGTAAAAGCTCAGCAAATTATCTCCCTTGGGTCATCAGCTGGAAGTATTCAAACTACCCAGTTTGTGATTTGCAGGGTAAAGGAAAAGGATCATGTCTGGATTGAAACAGGAGCTGGTTTTACCACTGAAAATTTCTTTGATCACCTATTTAAAGGTTCTAAAAGTTCATTTATGGGCATATTAATTCATGTGGTTTGAACTAATGACAAAAGTTGTGCAAATTAAAATATTATCAAGACCTTATTGAAACTTGTAATTAAATGGCTGGATTTTAGGATTAACTTATAGCCTTGTATATTTTTCAAACAGTTACGAAATATTTGGAAGTCATTTTAATAATTAACAGTCTTTCATAAAAAATACACTAGTGAAACAAGAATGTATGTCTATAGGACATCATGACCTGCTCACACTATCATATTTCCATGTTCAGTTAATGGGAGCACAACTTCATATGGTACCAATTATTTTTACCTTATACTGAATGGTCAAAAGGACTGACCAGAAAACATAATGCCGCCACTAATGTCATAGGCTTTGGCATTAAAGGTGATCAGTTACTTAAATGATATAATTACCTGACTTTGTATATACCACCAAGGTCTATCTCATAACTCCTCTCTGAAAATATAACACATAAATATTTCTTATAAATAATTTGTCTATACAGTGAATTAACCTTCTTTTCTAGTCAAGTTTCAGCCTTAACAGATTTATTTAGTTACAGGAAAAAAAAAACATTATTATGAAAAAGGTTGACAATCTTCTCTAAAATTACCAAAAATAATTAGTTGTCTTCTGTTATATCTAAAGGATTTTGTCATTTTGGTATTGCTGGCAGATCTTTCATAGTTTCATTCAAATCTAGTAACACATTTTATAGACTCAAGGTAATTTAATGTTTGACACTTGTTCATTCTTAAAGAATATATGTTGACCAAGAGATGTCTATCAGTTTTTTGTGTCATTGGGTTGCTGAGTATTTCACAAAAATCTTTTTAATCAAACAAAAGATAATTATCAAAAGTACAAAAAAATGACAACACAAAAAATATTATTCCATACTCACCAAAGTCAAAGCCAATTAGAGAGACTTCGAAGCTGTATTTCTCTACTCCAATCAGTAAGGTGAATTCACATGGATCCAGACTTAGGTAGGCATTGAAGTCACTCATGGTCTCAGGGTCATTGACACAACAGGACACCTCAGAACATTTACTACCAATCAAACAAACAATATCTCCATCCAAGACACCAGGGGATACTCCTAGTGTACAGTCTGTAAAAAAACATAGATATAAGGTTTTAAACAAACAATATCTCCATCCAAGACACCAGGGGATACTCCTAATGTACAGTCTGTAAACAAACATAGATATAAGGTTTTAAACAAACAATATCTCCATCCAAGACACCAGGGGATACTCCTAGTGTACAGTCTGTAAAAAACAATTAATATATTTGTTTTTAAAACAAAAGAATCTGAAAATTCAACTTATACGTCAATTTTCAAATTTCTGATTATTTGCAACTAATCTGGCTGGTTGATGATTTCTTGATGAATTTCAACTCATGCTTTTTTTTGCTTTATTTTACATCATTTCCAATATAAGGTAGGTGCTAGCTGAAATACACTTGCACTGAGTTGTGTCTTTCCAGTATGTAATTTTAATATTAAAATGCAAATATTGAAGTTAAAATGGCAATACTTTTATATGTAAACTATTCAAAACATTCCATAACAATGAACCAAGCCTGAAGGTGCAGGGCCAAGAAATGCTAATACAAAAGCATATCAATTATCATTGACTTATCAGAAGTAGTTCCCCTTACACTATTCTAAACACAAAAACTTTAACATGTAAACCACACAAAAGTTTCAAATCAATGAAGCATGACAAGGAGGACAGGGTTATACGATCTCATACATGACTGAGATGTGCAAGTGCTCATACAACTGCAACCAAAAACCATTGACTTACCAATAGTGGTTCCATTTTAAACCGACCTAATTACAAACTTTATCATGTAAACAAACATTGGGGCAATAATTCAGTAGTTTTGATCTAATTAATGGCACAGTTGAGATGGAAAAGGTCACATTTTATTCTATATGCAGCCTGATTTATGAGATTATCTTCATTTTATGCTTTGATTCAATTCTTTTTGGAAGAATTTTGCTTTTTTTAAGACTTCTGTCGATGTTTATTTTCCAAAACCTCAAGAATTTTTACTTACTGTTAACCCAGCCATCTACAGATCCTTGGTAGTCACCAATTGTATGATTACAGCGAGGTTTGTTCTGGTAAAGAGCAACTTCTGTTTCTTCCAATAACTTGGCAATCTGCCAGGAGTTCAGTGTAGCATCATCTTCAAGACCTCGACTTGTCTTCCATTGTTCTTTTGTAAAACCTGAAATAAATGAATAGAATTTTTGTTAGGTCAGCAACTTATTTACATAAAAGATATGAAATGATTGCATTCCATGTTATGTTCAGTCTCTAGGTGCTTTGGTAGGCATTTATTATTATTATTATTGACTTAAGGGCTGTTCCATAAAAACATTCACAGGACTAAGGGAAGATCCTTTGAAATTTCCACTATGGGTGGTGGTCAAGTTCAATGAAAATCTAGTGAAATAAATTTGCGTCTATATGTGGTAACCCATTTTTGAAAGCGCATTCCCTGTGTCTTTTGTTGAAGACTGTTTTTGACCTCTAGATGCCTTTTGTTTATTTGTGTTGTCGGGTTGTTGCTTCATTAATGCTTACCCCAAATCTAGTTTTATTCATACCCTGTGATAATAACTGAAAAAAAGATTAAAGTAAACCTACCAACTTCAGCATATCCATAACCCCACTCTGGAAGACATGATGACCTTGGTAGTTCAACACTGTCCATTACTGTGAGGCTGTACTCACATGGTGCACCATTGGTGGTACACACCTCAAACATAACAGATACCCTGTACAGATTCTGGTCCTGCAAATCATCTATTGTGTACCTGGATAGAAAAATAATAAAAGCAGGTAATCCTGTGTGAAGGAGTTATATAGTTATCCTTTATAAATTGATCCTTTGAATTAAATTCTTACTGGTTTTACTGCCAGTTGAAAGAAGCCCAAGGTGACCTTATTACTTAACCCCCTTTTTCTTATTTCATATAAAAAGAAAAAACAATTTTTCATTAATTTATTTACACATCTGTGTTATAATGTAAAAAAGGAGATGTGGTATGATTGCCAATGAGACAACTATTTACAAAAGTTAAAATGAAGTGGATGTAAGAAATTATAGGCAACAGTATAAGTTTTTCCAGTGTTCATAATATCACTTCATGTACAGGTAATAATATAATGTTGTATTTATTAAAATGAAACTAGCTCAAAATTTGATTTTTATATATTTTGGGAAATTTTCTTAGCAAAATGAAAGATTCGCAAACAAAAACAAAAATTCAATCTGAGCATATCAATATATTTCCTTTAATGTACAATCTATCTAATTATGGTATAGAGACAAACAAAGTCAAAATTTTGTCAAAAAAGGTTGTTTTGAAATAAGAAGATAACTTAAAAACAACACCTACTTGAGTCTGAATACTCCTTTAATCCACAAATAATCTTCTTGTCCAAAGGTATAGTCCCTCAACATGAATTGTTCCTTGTAATTCTCCAAACTAATCTCCATGTACTGTGTACATCCATCCAAATTAAGTGAGAAATCAAATGTATGGTTACCCAATAATGGTACGGAAACACAGCATCGTACATTTGTACATACATCAGATATATAACATGAAGTACCACTGGATAACATGGGTAAGTTGTTAATGGTTGAACTACAAGCTGAAACAAAATATATTTGTTATGAATAATCATATAATAATGGAAGAATACTCCTTAAAATTTCCACAATTTTTATTTTTTCTAAATAAAACTTTTCTAATAAATAGACATCGGAATGAGGTAGAGAGACCAACAAAAAAGTTTGTTAAACTTATTTTGGTCTCCATTCTTTAACTATATCTGACCACTAGTTATAAATGCAAAGTCTACTTTTATAATGTAACTTACTATTATTCCATCCATTAGCTATAAAGGGTGACATTTCATAGTCACATGTGTTCTTCAGATACCAAGCAACGTCCAGTTCATCATAGAGTCGTGTGAGATCTGTTTCATTCATGGCATCCTTGTCAATGCTGTTACTAGTAGCCCAAGTTGTGAGAGAGAAGCCTGAAATAAAATGGCATTTATTTATATATGTATCTGGTATTACGTTGTATTTTCTGAAATGCCTATAAGATTACTAGATATCATGTCTGGGTCCATTAAGAATCTTGTATTGTTTAAAATTTATCTTAGAAATAACAAAACATTCAATTTGTGGCAAAGAAATCTTTTACATCACCAGAAATTATTCACAAACTAAAAATATAATGAATGACAGGCATAACTTTTCTTGATGCACACGTAGTGTTTAACATTTATGTAAAGTTTCTTCAATATCTCTCAGACTATTGAGGAGTTGTGCTTACAAGAGACTATTACCACATATTGCAATATTGAACCAAGTAAACTTGATTATCTCCCCTTTAACATATATATAAAAATAAGGACATGTGGTATGATCACCAATGAGACAACTATTCACAAGTTTACCACGATAAGATATTCCTATATGTACATCCAGAAGCAGTGTTTTACAACTTTGTAAAATTTCATCAATATTCATCTAGCCATGTAGCACATGGACAGTTGGACTGACACAGACAGATAGATGGATAGGTGAACTGATAGGGTGATTCATATATACTTCCAAATAAATTTGTTTGTGGAAGGTATAAAAAATCCAAATTCACATACAATGCTTTTTTTCCTAATACTGAAACATTTTTCACTTCATAATAACATAGATGAATCAATTTTCAAGACATAAAATGCTCATTTCAAAATACTGAAACATTTTTCACTTCATTATAACATTGTTGAATTACTTTTCAAGATATAAATACCTGCATTCTGGTATGCCATCTGTGAGGCACATGTCTGCTTCTTAAATCTGGCATAGTCCAGTACAGATTGGGTCCATGCACAACTACTATACATCTCCCAGCAGGAAGATATCTCCAAAGATACCATGTATACTCCTTCACTCCATAGGTCATATATATTGTACCTAAATGAATAGTTAACCTAATGTTAGAATTCAAAATTCTTCATTTACATATTTTTTGTCTTACATAAACAACGGTTCTGATTCTAAAATGAAATGGTCAAATTATTATTTTCAATTCGAAAAAATTTGTTTCAAAAATGTAAATGAGAGAATGAAAATTAAACAAATCCCCAATATCTTATTTTCTTATACAATTTATTTATTTCTGCCATCTTTTTATTCATCAATGACAAAATATCCATAAAAGATTTGAGGCTAATATCAATGAGACAACAACCTAACAACATTAGCAAACTTTCTATATCTCACCTTATACGGATTGTCTTTACTAAACTGAATTCATGCCATTTATCTGAAAGAAAATATATACACATGTATTAAAATCTGTATGTTTTGGAGATTATAGACTATAATGCTTGGATAGGATTATATCTGAAAGTCTGATGATAATCTATAACATGTTAAAAGCTTGGTTGGATTATCAAATTATTGTTTTTGCTTAAAACCTTGAATTTGTAGGACCGAAATTTGACTTCATGGACAGGTACTTTTACAATTAATTCATCAAACATCTTACAAAAGTGAATCAAATAAGAATGGCAGAAAAACATTTAGAATAATGCAAAAATTCAAAAAGTATATCTCCTTTTATTCACACGATCTTACCAAATTCAAAGTCATGTAGAGGAATATAGAACTTCAGTTTTTCTATTCCAATGTATATCTTTCTCTCACAGTCATCTATCTCAAAGACCACTTCAAATGTCTTGCTGATAAAATCTTCATCCAAACAACAGCTGATAGCAGCACAGTCTGACTTCAGCCGACAAGTCAGTGGATTGGTAGAGATAGCTACAACTTCTGTGTCAGAGCATTCTGAAATTAGATAGTGAATTTTACATACATGTGAACCACCAGTCTTGAGATTTTATCTTAAGTTTAAAAGAATTTTCCATCTGAATTGACTTTCTGGAAAATTATACTATATTTTCATTAACAAGTATTTCAGACATATTCAGGGCTTTTTTAAGAAATCTTTTCAAAATTAACTTTTTCTTAGCTCAACATTATTACAAATCTTTCATTTAAAAAAAAAGCAATACCGGGTAACATAATAAACCTCTAAGAATAAGGTTCTGTAGTTTTTGACTGATCTAATGAAATCAGCTTACCTTTTTTCCATCCATTGGTTGGTGAATCATATGGAGACGATGATCGGCTACATTGTGCTGATTGAAAGTATCTGGTTAAGTCCAAGTTCTGTAGAAGTTCTGAGATGTAATAAGCTGCATACACTTGTGTTGTGTCAATAGATCTCTCCCTACTCCACTGATCCAGTGAAAAGTCTGAAATCAAATATCAGATTTACACAATAAATAAATGGATTGATTGATTCATTGTTGGTTTCTTAATGTCAAATAAGGCAAATAGTCAGCTGGTAGATGTCAACATTTTTGCCACTGTCAGATTTCTCTATTCATAGCGGTTTTCAAGATATTAAACCCATTGGTGGCCTTCAGCTGTTTTCTGCACTTTGGTCGGGTTGTTGTCTCTTTGACACATTCCCCATTTCCATTCTCAATTTTAAAACTTGCAGTTTAATGTTATTATACCCCTATGTTCTATTTTTGGCCATGTTGGCCATCTTGGTTAACAAGCAGTCATAGGACGCATTTTTATACCCCAATAATGATTGTGGCAAAGTTTGGTTATATTTTGCCATTTAGTTTCAAGAGAACATTTTATTAAAAGGTAACAAAAAATGATGACAAGACGCATGACGACGGATGCCGGACTCCAAGTGATGAGAAATGCTCACTTGGCCTTTCATCAAGGTGAGCTAAAAATAGAGAAATAATTTTAAATTAAAACTTTTGTTGACAGGCTAGTGATACAGTAGATAAACTACTAGGACCACTTGGCCACTGTCATGCTCCCACAGAAAGACAGTCTGATATTTCGCACACAACTATAAATTATTTTTACCTTTCACCCTAAATGTATCATCCCATGTACATTTCTTTTTAGGGAACTTGACACCCTGGATGATAGTCTCTGTAAATTATTTTTACCTTTCACTCTATATGTATCATCCCATGTACATTTCTTTTTAGGGAACTTGACACCCTGGATGATAGTCTCTGTAAATTCACAACTTCCTGTCTCTAAACAGAAGGAAAAGCTTATATCCATCAAGTAAGCTCCCTCACCAATGAAATCTTCTATTTTGTATCTGGAAATTAAATAAGAAATTTGATCCACTATCCTACAGAACTAAATTACACAGGTTGACACATTTTTAACATTGCCTTAATATTTTGTAGCTTCTATGGATTTTCCCCAGTCAATGCAATATAAAAAAATCAATTAATATTCCAAAAAAAATACATTTGAAATACACCTCTGACATAAATTTTTTTAATTCATGTTATTTTTACTAGGTTTACATTTACTTCTCTCTATATATTTCATATGAAAAGGCTAAAAATACTCTTTCATGCCAAAAAAATCTTATCTTTCAATTGCATTTACAATGCTGAAATGCACGATCAAGAATCTATTTATATTTTTTCCATAATTTTAATGTATGGCAGATTCTCTATGTATGTTTTTCTTTTGAATTTCAGCAGAATACATCCTGGTAACAAAATAGTGAGCAAAATTTCCCATGACATGACTCCATTTCAAGATATATTATCGACAGTAAGTTTTTGATAACAATGTATGCAGGATTTTCTTGCTGTGATGGCCTTTGGCTGTTTTCTGCTCTTTGGTCGGGTTGTTGTCTCTTTGACGCATTCCACGTTTCCATTCTCAATTTTAAATTATTTTAACAGTGTTTTCTCTAAACCTCTGCAAACTTCAGGTTAAGTATATAATACATAGCTTCAATAAAACATTGGAAAAGAATCTGGAGAAGCACCGTATTATTTATTTGTGGAAAAAACAATTGTTATATTTGATTAACTTTCAATTGGTTTTTTTTTCTTGTAAAGGTAGACAATTCAAATGAAAATCCTGTTCCATCTTCTACTAAATTTATGTCTTACAAGTCCAATACTTAAATTGCAACTTAGCAAGATGCCTCTATCACACATCTGATTAGTCATATCATGTTGGTATTCTACATAATTTATTTTATTATCAAAATCTGGATATGGAAAAGATATCCTACTTCAGGGCTACAAAAATCCTAGCATTCATAAGAAAAACTTACTCCATTTTTCCAACTCCTATGAGGTTGAAATTTTCCAAAGTTCCAAATGTGTAATCCAGTAATTTGTATTGTCTGTACATTGATTCCAATCCTACAGTAATGTCCTGGTAACAATGGTTTATGTTAATACGGAAGTTCATCGTCTTGTTTGTTAGTGGAATGGTGATACAGCAGTCCAAACCAGTACATGTATCAGCCGAAACAGTACAGACAACTCCTGTTGGTAATACAGGAACAGACACAGGCATTCCACAATCTGTAAATAATTAATAATATGCAGATAGGTAATAATTTTTTTTTAAATGCAAAAAGATATTTAAAATATCATGTTCACACATAAAGAATTTTTCAATAGGTAATGTATAATACACAAAAACAATGGAGAAAACAAAAAGATAAGTATGTATTCCTTTCTTTAAGATACATTAGAATAAAATGAATTTTCTAGGGGGTGGGAAAATACCATTAACATAAAGGGAAGCATTTCAGAGTCCAAAATATACAACAGACAACTAATACAAAGACCTTACCATTCTTGACACCTCCCACATTTCCAGAGTAAGTACCACCCTGTTGATCACATGGAGGCTCATACAGATAAGCTGCTATGCCAGCGTCAGACATTAACTTGGATGTTTCTGGTCCCCGCAGTGGTTCTGTCTTAGTTACACTGTTGTCTGTCAGCCATGTTGTCAATCCTTGGAATCCTAGGAAACAAAATGGAAATGATATATTTGGTCTTATTAGATCTTGGTGATTCATTAAATTAAGACTTATCTCTAAAAAAACTTTGATTTTTAATCATCCTTCACTCCCGTCATTATGTATCAGGTCTTTTTTACTGTTTTCTTCCCTTGTTTCTAATGCTATCAATTTTTTTCTCTGACAATTATCTGCTTATTTCCCATTACAAACATAACTTTGTAGTGTTATATGATGCATTCCTAGACAAATTTGACAGGATTAAATTTTCAAATCAAAAATCACCACAGGCCCTTATCTCTCTTTTATAAATTGTCACCAAAGGGCAGTTATGTAAATATTCATGATATATCAAAAATATTACTCTTTAAACTTTTCTCAAACTCAAAGATAATTTTTAAGTTAAAAGATTTTGTTAAAGATACTAATATTTACCTGTATCTAGTCCTGAATTCCAGTCACATGACAATTTTGGAAGTCTGTATTTGTCAAAGATCACAATATCAACTCCACATGGTGTTGTGTCTGTATCTGACTCACGACAAATCTGAAGTTTCATGTCAATCAAATAATCACCCTCAATCTCCAAGTCCCTCACTGTAAACCTGTTTAAAAATAACTTTCAATCAATTCAGGTGTTTGATCTTATATTAGTATAAACATTTTTCTGAAACTCAAATATATTCAGAAGAGATAACTGCAAAATACATATCCTGTGTAATTATCTTTCAGGCAGAGAATTGAGGTACAAAGATTTAACATTCTTTTCTACAAATTTACAATCTATATATACATTTGACTTTAAACAGTTTTAAGAGCAAGTTTTTTTTTCTTTTATCTAAAACATCATTATACAAAAAATATTTTGACTGAATAGGACAGGTGTCAAATATTAAATTAATGAATTAAATGATATAAAACAGTTAAATTTTATGGTTCAAAAACATGTTATTGTGAAAGAAATGAAACCTTTCCACAAAATAAGTTCCTCTTTGTCAAGGTATTTAAATTTTTGCAAGTTCACCTGCCCATTGTATAAATACAATAGCTATTGTTTTCTCTGTGGCGTTTTTTCAATGGGACCAATAAATATCTTCTTGAAAAGCCAATACCAATATTGCATTGATTAATCTAGCTCGACAAAAAATTCAATTCTTAGTGATAAAAATACATATACCAGTACCAGTTTTACTGCACAATGTTTTCTTTTAGTGAAGACAATACTTACTCCATTCTGACGTATCCAAACAACCAAACTTCAGTCAGCTGACCCCATTCATAATCAAACAAGAGTGTGCTGAATGTTAATTTGTCTATTCCAACAGACAGTGTGAAAAGACATGGTTCAAACTTAACAAAGGTCTCAAAACTTTTGCTGATTCTGGTGTCTGGCAAACAACAGTATACAGTTGTACAATCACTACCAACATTACATACAGCACCTGATATAGTGGGGAGAGTTGCCATAGACTGTCCACATGCTGTTAATATAAAAAAAAAAAGCTTTTTCAATCATTATGATAATGAATATATGTTTATCAGGACTGATTCAGTGTGATTATTTTATTATTAAAAATGTCATTATTAGATTAGAAGGTAGAGTTTTGATTACTGATTACAATCAGTTATTGGTATCTTTTATAGGTTTCAAATTTCAAAAAATAAATAAAAAGATAAGGGTTCTCAACTTTTGGATTTGATCAATTGCCATAATTTAAGGCAAACAAGAAATCATACAAAATTAGAATGCCTTGTATAAAGAAGTGTATTTCATCATCATTTTTTTTGCAAGCAGATTTCAATATCTATCTACTTTGTTTAAAAGTAATCTTTTTTATATATTCAAATTTTCCAGTAACAAAAATTATATTTTAAATTTTATGTTTGATATAACCCATACTTTATAATGTTTGTCAGGCTTAAACAAATCATCAACACAACATTTTATTTTAGGAAAAAAGTTAGTATTTTAGTTGATAAAAACATATTTTACAAACACCTGCAAAAAAATAACTTACAATTAGTCCATCCATTTGAGTGTCCGCTGTAGGGAGACGCAGAACTACTACATTGTGTGTCCTTCAAGAAATCTCCAATGGCTAACCTCTCTATCAAGGCAGACAGTTGATTGGTATCCAGATTATCATTCACACCTATACCTTTCTCATTCAGGAAACCAAGGAATGAAAAATCTGAAATAAAAACGTTTCATCCTTCAACAATTTAGTTACAAGAAATTTCCAACATCAGATATAAATTTAAGACCAAAAAAAAATTTGGTTTGTAATTGTGCTGCTTTTTCAATCTTTTTATTATTTTTCTTTGGACTGTAACACTAAGAGTTATAAATATTACAAGTTGTTTTGAGAATCTTTCAACTCTACTTTGGTAGACTTATTGCACATAAAAGACTTTAAACATTTGGATCCTTAAAAATGTCCTTGGGTTGAGTGTTTGAATAACTAAGTTACCATATTTGACTGTGAATAGTATGCATGTGTATAATACACACCCTTTTCATCCCCCCCCTAAAAATCATAAGAATAGTCTAGTCCATTGTAAAACACCTTTGATAGGTTAATTACAAACCATGTATTTAAACTTCACTAAAGTCTATTAAAAGATAATAATAATATAAAAATTAGTTTGTTCAATACAATTTCTTTTGTAATATTTTTTGTATTGGATATTGTGCTTAAGCCCTTTTGGTTTTCATGCTCTAAAGCATTTTGTATTGTTTGCTTTCCAAAAATTTGACCTTGAGCTAAAATTGATATCATTTGTGTTTTTACTTTCTAAGCTAAATCATCCTGATTTTTAAATACCTGCTTGAACATAATCATTCTTCCATTCACATGGTGCCTTTGGTAGGGCTGTACTTATCAAGACAGGGACTGTTATTTCACATGTTCCATTTGTCTCCATACATATACTCATCTCTAGGTCCACCATAAACTTCCTTTCTGCTTCAAGATTTGAAATTTTGAACCTGAAAATATATTTTTGAAACCTTAACTCATTTGAAATGAATGGTCCTTATGCTGTTTTGATCACTAAAAACCTAATATATTCCTAAATTTTACTTGTAAGGTTTTTACAGATAATTTGTTTTAGCCAAGCTTGAAGATGAACTTTTTAAATTCACAATTTTTACTGTGAGGTTCAGTGAACTTTCAATTTTCTTTGACTTCAACAGGCTGCCTTATCTTCAAGCCAAAGCCTTTTATATCTAAGTAACAGGTTATGAGTAAACCAAAAATTGTATATTTTTAAATTGATTTACTTAAAATGATACATATAAAATTATAAGCTAGCCTGAATTTAGTAGTCTTTTTCCAATTATTCTTTAAATACTAGTACTTACTCAAGACCAATCACTCCATGTAGTTTTACTTTTTTCACTTCCCCATATACATATCCAAACAAACTGATGGTAATCTCAAGCTTTTCAATGCCAATGATCATCTTACGGTTACAGGGATCCAGTCTTAACTGTGTGTTAACATTCCTATTAATCCTTGGGAAACTGCTACAACAAGTGACACCAGTACAAGAACTGTACAGATGACAGATAGTTCCAGATTGCAGCACGGGTAATTCTACATATTCTTCACAAGCTGAAGACAGAAAAAAAACAGAAATTTATTTATGTTTAAAACTGACTGATGTATAAAATAAAAATGTCATTTTGTAACAGGGTTGTAAATGAATATATATTTTTTTGGCTTTGTATCCGTTTGGCCTCTGAAAATGGTTAATAAAATAAAACATTTAGAATGCATGTGATAACTAAAAACTGTATTCTTACCTCTGTTCCATCCTTTATCATTGGGATAATATGGTATTACAGTTTGGTCACAAACATCGTCCATCATGTATGGTGCGAGAGCTGTATCGTGCAGCAATTGGGCAATAGTATGGACATCCAGGGGTATAGTGTTAGTAGATACACTCTTGTCATCCAAGTATTCATTCAGACTGAATCCTGAAAACAAATACAGTTTTTAAGCATCTTGTTGTGTACCAAGCAAAAAAATTTCATAAATGGAAAACATTATTTCTTAAATGTTTTCTGTGTAGGATTTAAAAAAGTGTATGCAAATTATTTATGAAATAAAGTTTTTTTGGGGGGACAAACTGTGAATCTGTGGTACAAAACAACTGCATTGGTCAAAATAAAGACATACCATTTGGTGTTGAGAGTAAACTTTAAGAGTTGACAAGATCTACTTACCAGGAATGACAAACTGTGAATCATAGTCACATTCTGCTTTGGGTAACCTATGATCCTGGAATACATTAGTAAACACTTCACACGCCCCTCCTGATTCTAGACAAACTGATATATTCATTGTAACAACATATACTTTATCTGCTGTTAGATCATCTACCACAAAACTGAAATTAAAAATAAATATAATATGGATTGGATGTACACCTGGGCTCTTCATCAAAAAACCTAATTAAGTACTCAGAGTACAAAATTTGTGCTAGAAACACAAAATCCAGTATTTTCATTGGTTAAGTTCTGAGTCTGAGAATAATAATCATACTCGAAATTTTTATGACCGCAAGGCCAGATAAATGTGACTCAACTATGACATCAACAAAGGTTGTTTCATCTTTTATTCAAAGGCCCTGAAACTTTACAAAATGTCACAATTAGCAGGATTAATTTAAAAACAAAATCATAATAATTCCCAAAGGCTGGAATGCCAATTCATAAACATTTTCAATTTTATTGGAGTATGCTCTTTTTGTTTCTTAAGATGATTTTCAATGAGAACAAACATTATTTCCAATACTTACTCTAGATTAAAAACTTCATTCATGGCATAATGTTGCACTGTACCAAAACTGAAGTCAATGAGTGTATAGTCTAAGTCAATACCCTCCAGTCCGATATATATTTTGTAGTTACAAGGATCCAGTCTAACATATCCGTTGAAGGTCAGTCCGAGGCTTGTAGAATCCAAACAACAATCGACAGCTGTACATGATGAGTCAATGTGACATGTGGTATCACTACCCAAAGGCAATAAAGAACCAACAGGATCAGCACAATCTAAAATAACAAAAAAATTGCGTTTGTGTCACATTGTTAGTGTACACTTTATGTAGTTGCTTCACAATCAAGTGTAGGTTATAAGGTCAATTAAGGATGTGTTTTTTTTATTGACCTTTTGTTGTCACATTGACAATTACTGGTTTTGTTAACAAATAAAAATTCGTAAAATTTTTCAATGGCTGCATACATAAAAATATATTGATTCTATCATCACAATATTCAAGTAATTATCCAAGATTAGTAAAAACATCCTCTTACTTTCAATACAAGGAAAATATTTCAAGGTTTATTATTGAAAATTGAAACTAAATATTTTTTTTATTACTTTTTTTTTCTGAGCTCTTGTTCTGTTTTAAAATTTTGTCTTTTGATATTTCTTTTCAAAATTGCTTAAAATATCCTGTAGTTTTCTCCATATATTCCAAACTAATATTATCACTCACCATTTTTCCAGTTGTTTCCATCAGCCCCAGTGTAAGGAGCTGCAGTCCTACTACATGGGTTCCTCTTCATGTACTGTGAAATACCAGTTAAGCGTAGAATATCTGACACGTGATGTTCATCCAGGGTAGAAATACCATTGTCTGTTTTATATTGATTCAGTGAAAAGTCTGAAATGAAAATAGAATTCTATCTAAAAGTCAATTAAAGAAGCTGTCAACAGGTAAAATCAAATATACCTGTGTTTCCAGTTATCTTAATCCACTTTTACTCCCTTATTTTCAGTTATCTAAATCCACTTTTACTCCCTTATTTCCAGTTATCTAAATCCACTTTTACTCCCTTATCCTTTAATTTCATTTCTGCAACCATTTTTTAAAGCAAACATGTTTCCATTATTTGATTAAGTCAATTGTTTCAAAATTCAAAGTTTGGTCTCATTCCTTTGTTGGAAAGTTTGCGTTAAAACATTAGTAATGAACAGGCACTAATGTGGGAGACATCAATCACTTATACCTTCTTTGTCAGTCTCATTGAATTCATTTCAGATGATAGGAGGATTATATGAGACTGACATTAAGAAATTCCATTCTATATTCTTTCTTACCCATTTTCCTGAGTACATACCATTTTGAAGGAACTTCTTGTCCCAGTCGCACACTTTCTTTGGTAGTCTGACTTTATCAAAGATATTGTAAACAGTTCCACATGGCTGGTTAGCTTCCCAACACAAACTCAGCTTCATAGAAATCAGGAATGCAGGCTCAGCATACAAGTCATGGAGAACAAAACTGGAAAAATAATTCATCTATTTCAAAAAAACAAAGCCTGAAAGTAATGCCTTCCAAAGTCACCTTCATAGATCCAAATTAAAACAAAACAAAAGATTTGGTTGTGTATTTTGCACACTTTTTTCACCCAAGAAATATAGTTAATAGAGGTGATGCGTATTATACACAGCTGTAAGACGGTTTTTACTTTTTTCATCATTTTCCTTTTTATATAAATAATTACTATGGCTTAGTTTTACATGCAATGAATAAAAAATAAAGGAAGCTTGTACCATGTCAAAGCAACATAATTCTAACATTCTAAATCTTTCATAATTGTCATAGTTTGATGGACATTACTGTGGAACCATTATCATACATCAGGTACTAATTGTCATGGTTTGATGGACATTACTGTGGAACCATTATCATACATCAGGTACTAATTGTCATGGTTTGATGGACATTACTGTGGAACCATTGTCATACATCGGGTACTAATTGTCATGGTTTGATGGACATTACTGTGGAACCATTGTCATACATCGGGTACTAATTGTCATGGTTTGATATTTAATATTTACCACAAATCAAAGTGGTCAACAAAGTACTAATTTTTATCGGTTATGATTTTTTCCTCAAACCACAAAATATAAGTCATTATTTTAATTTGCCTTAGTTAAACAACCCCTTAAATGAATGGTTTAACACTTATACAATTTTTAAATCACCTCATTTTCAAAATTCCATTTAGGTCAACATGTGTCCATTCTCCCCATTCATATCCTTTAAGTGTTCTTTCATATTGCTGACGTTCAATTCCAACTTTCAACATATAGTCGCACTGCTCTAGTCTCATATAGAATTCAAATGTTTTACTGATGAATGGTACGTCTAATGCACAACTCAATCCACGACAGGTGCTCTCTAGATTACAGGATATTACAGTCTGGTCCATTTGAAGGAGAGTTACAGGCGCCTCAGTACACTCTGAAAGTTAATGTTGTATGTTAACATTGATAGATTGGTGGTTGGATGTGAAATATAACATGTTCTTATTTCTAAATATAAGCATCAGTAGATATAACAACCTCTCTCTCTAGTCTTTTTTTTGTTGGCTTAGATATTTTTTTTTAATTATTCTTGTAATTTATTTTTCACCAACTTTCCAATCAAATCTGGTAATTTTCTTCTTCTAATTTTTCATTTTTTTCTTTTTATTTCTATTCTATCTTCTTTAAACTAAGTTCAATAATCCCCCAAATCAATTCACTTAGGGTATGGATACAAATTTTGCAAACTCAAATAAATTGAGTGATATATAAAATTGTAGTTGGTTGAACCATATCTTCTCATAGCCAAACCTCACAAGGATACCCAACATTTCTTATATTTTTATTCTTCTCATAGCCAAACCTCACAAGGATACCCAACATTTCTTATATTTTTACTCTAATCTTCCTCTTAAACATTTCCAAATAAGTGTATTTTTTAACAGCACTAACTCAAGTCAGTTCTATTTTTTAAAGGGGTTCAATTTTTTTTTAAACCTACCTGAACTCCAACCAAGATAGGCCGCAGCATAAGTTCCAAAGGGATCATCTCTTGATACCATAGGACTGAGTAAATATTCTCCAATCTCTGATGCCTCCATCAGGGAAGAAACTGCAGATGAGTCCAAGTTAGACCCTGGTGTCAAAGAATTGTCCAAATACCACTGATTAAGGGACCAACCTAAAAGATAATGGTACATTTGTATTAAAACTTCTTCTGCAATCTCCTTAAAAATGTTCTTGAAAACAATATTATAAATAACTAGTAAGTAATTTTCATATTCAAATTATTATCTTTATATATAACATCTAACCACTGATTCTGATTAAAGTTTGGGTTTTTAACTCTAAATGGTCAATCTTTCAAAGATGAATTTATAATGTTTGGACTCATAACACCTAATGGTCAATATTTCAAACATATTCATAAGGCAAGAGAAGAATTGTTTCATACTTGGATTTGGATATCCTCTAAACCATGGACACACCATCTTTGGTAATTTGGTATTCAGTACTATTGTATCTTGCAAGTCACATGGTGTAGGGTCATTGAAGCAAATCTTGACTTTCATATCCACAAGATAGACCATTTCACCAACCAAATCTGTTATTTTGTACCTATTAAGAAATTAATAGAGAACATCAATATAAAAACAAGGAGATGTGGTATGATTGTCAATGAGACAACTATCCACCAAAGTTCAAATGAAGTGGATGTAAGCAATTATAGGCAACCGTATGTCAAGTCTTTTTTCTTATGTTTCATATTCATATTTATTTTTTTCAGCCATTATTCTCTATTCTGTCCTATCCAGACCCTGTTATTTTGTTTTCATGGAGCAAAGAAGAAAAAGATTGTTTTATTGCTTCATGTGCATGAAATCCAAACTTAAGAAAAATGAAATAATAACACAAAGAAAAATAAGAAATGACATATACATGAATATTATTCAAAGATGAAAAATATGCAAAGAAGTCTTATAAAATGTTCAAAACAATACATTTCAATCGAAAGAGTGTAGACTCATTGATAATTTTTCTATTTAAGCTTAATTAACTATCCATCAGTATCTTACATATCTAAATAAATTGCCAATATGCAAAAAATCAATACACAATATAATCTAAAGAAAAATTGTACATGCAAAAAATATTTGACTTAGCCATAACTGAAAGAAAGAACAAATGTACTCACTCAATTTCAATTACTCTGTCAATATGGAAATACTGTGTAGTCTCAAATGTGAAGGTGTAGAGTGAAAAGTCAAACTGGTACTTTTCTATACCAATGTCCAGTTTCTGTGTACAGGGATCCAGTTTTAGGAAGACATTGAAGTTTCTATCAACAGTTGTAGAATGTAAACAACATGATATACCAGTACAGGTATCATATAAGTGACAAACACTATTACTTCCTAGAGTTGGTAGATCTACTGCTGATGTGCAACCTGAAATATATAAAACACTATTACTTCCTAGAGTTGGTAGATCTACGGCTGATGTACAACCTGAAATATATAAAACACTATTACTTCCTCTCTTGTAACTTTGTAATGCAAGAAATATGTTTAGTTGACCTACATAATTAAACTCCTTTCAGTTTACTTTAATTACCTGCGTCTTTTGTCCAGCCATTAGTTGGAGATGTATAGAGAGGATCTGACATCTGACACTGCTGTGTTGGTGTATTCAGCAAACTGGCTACTCCGAGGTATTCCAAGAGTTGAGAGGACACTAATGAGTTCAGGGGTGTACTTGTGGAATATCCTAATCCAGTCAGGTAGGAATTCAAATTGAACCCTAAATAAAATTCAAATGCATATTTTTGATTTAAACAGTTTTAGGAATTGATGTAGATATATTGAACTGAATTAATCTCAAACATTTAAAATGAGAACTTAAAATTGAGGTTTAGTTGTTAATTGCACTTTTCTTGAGGGATGTGGAGCATTGATTACACACTTTTTCATTACCATTTTGCTCAAGTATAAAAAAAAAACACCTGGTGTTGTCAAAAAGTAACAGTATATCAAAATTCTTGCGTTGTTTTAATGAATATCCAAAATTAAAGTTTCCTTTACATATTTAAGCTTGAATTTAGTTTTACAAAAGCAAGTCATAAAAGAACTTGTAATGTGTCAGGTGTACTTTTCTACACATCATTATACAGACCTGGTATAGCATACCCTCCAGTCCAGTCACATGGTTGTTTGGGAATCTTTACACCATCAAATACAGTGTAAGAATAACGGCAATCTCCAACTGTTTCAAAACATATACTGATTGTCATGTACAACAAATAAACTTTCTCAGCTGTCAACTCCTCTGCTTTGTATCTATAATATATAAAATCACAAGATTGCACATGATGTCCTGCTAAGCATACCACCACTCATAATTCAAAGTATTTGAAAAGCATTGAACTCATCACTACCAAGCTGCTGACTAAATAGTATGTAGTTGAGAAAAGAGATATGTCTTGCCTTTTGCATAACAATCGACAACTATTTATGCTGCATACCCTGACTGCCTAAGTAGTAGACAAGATCCAAACTACTGTCACAAAACAGCTTTCTGTAGATGATTTGACCTTATGTTAATAGCACCTGATAACAGCAATGTACATACAATGGTTGTATATGTATCTTTGACACACACAAAATCTAGCCTACCTTCATTTATATCAATGTGTTTTTGAGCTAAAAGATTAGGTATAGTTTTCAACTGCACAAACTGTCAATATCCAACAAAAATACAACTTTTGTTTTAATTTTCTAATTTTCTGCATTTGACTGAATAAAAATAACATCTGTGAAAACTTACTGAAGTCTGAGCAGATTGCCTAAATTGACCGTCTGCCAACTGCCTTGTGTTTTTACTGTAGCTGAGTAGATTGCCTAAAGTGACCATCTACCAGATTCCTTGTGTACTTACTGAAGTCTGAGCAGTTTGCCTAAAGTGACCGTCTGCCAACTGCCTCGTGTACTTACTGTAGTCTGAGTAGATTGCCTAAAGTGACTGTCTGCCAACTTCCTTGTGTAAATTCCAATAATGTTACATTGATATTTCTTTTCTCCAGTCCAATACTGACAGAGTAACTACATGGATCCACTAGTACAAAGGCTTCCAACTTTCTCCCAAGATAACCAATGTTGGAACAGCACTGGGCACCAGTACAGTAACTTGGTAACCTACACCGTGTGTAGGCTGGTAAATGTGGTAGTGTTATAAGTTCTCCACAAGCTGTAAAATAATTTATTGAAAATATACTTACAAAATAATATTTTGATGATGATGTATTGATAAGTAACATCAAGTGACAAATATTACATGCATATCAGACCCATGAAATATGAATATGAATCCTTCTATGAACAAGATTGACATTCTGAGTCAAATTTTTAAAGTACTAGTTCACAAGGTAAATGTCCACAAGAATGCCTGTCACCCTACCTGGACACATTATTATGACTCTTAAGTAGACCAGTCTTTGCTTCAATATATCCTGAAATGATGTGTGCTAGCTTAGAAAGCAGCAAATACAACCATTTCAATTGGCCTTATGAACCCACCATCTTCCCCACTTGAATTTAGCACACTAACAAGAAACCAAAGAGGCAGTTACAATATTCATATTGAAATGAGATCTCTGTCTAATATTTACAAAGGTCACCCTGTAACTATTCAATGAATCAGGACTTCATATTTTTTGGACAAAATTTCCTAGTGCCAAATTTAAGATACATATAACATGCATTTGGATATATCTTTGGGTTGTACTCCAAACTTTATTTTCTTACTCTTGGAATTTATTTATTTTTCAATATGTCAATTAACTTTTTGTATTCAAACATGTGGTCTCTTATTGCTGCAACTGCTGCTTTTCAAGTCTTCAATGTTTCTGTCAAAAGATAACTATAATTTGTAGCTGAATTATTTCTTGTTGTCGATTACAAAACTCCATGTTTAGGTATAACGGGATGAAAAAACCTTACCTGTTGAATCCCATCCATTGGATAGAGCTCCAGAATAGCTTGACAATTCACACTGAGGATCTTGTTGAAAACCTGCTATTCCTAATTCTTCCATCAGTAAGTCAACAGCCCAACTTGGCAACTGATTAACATTTGTGTTAACATCCAACTCGCTCATGTAAGACACCAATGAGAAATCTGTAAGTTCATCAATAAATCAGTATAAATACTACAATTTAGATTTAGGTATATGCATATAAATATTCAAATATGTTTTAAAATCCGATATCTTGTACCAACAGAAAAAATAATTTGAAATTATTTCAAGGTCTCCAGCTTCTTGAATGAAGTAGCCTTATAAAAGAAGGAAATGAATAACTTTTAGTAAAGTACAAAACTGTCAGAATCATTTAAAATTCTCCAAAGTTCTCCCTTTTAATTTTTTCTAAATTAGGGCTATTCCAGGTAAAAAGTGTATGAGGGGGTTGAACAACTTTTTTATACCCCACAACCCACAATTTTAATTTGTAACAGAATTGTATTAATGCGGCCACCCCTTTCACATACAGAAAGAAATATCATGTGGTGTCCAAACCTCCCATCCATTTTTTTCTGGAATAGCCTTAAGCCCAAACCTTGCAAGTTTATCTTCAATTTTTTTACCTAGACCACAAATTTTTTAAAGTACTTACCAGGAATGGCATATGGCTCGCTGAAGTTACATGAAGATTTGGGTAACTTTACATCAGTCAATACTGTGTGTTGTACTTACCAGGAATGGCATATGGCTCGCTGAAGTTACATGAAGATTTAGGTAACTTTACATCAGTCAATACTGTGTGTTGTACTTACCAGGAATGGCATATGGCTCGCTGAAGTTACATGAAGATTTGGGTAACTTTACATCAGTCAATACTGTGTGTTGTACTTACCAGGAATGGCATATGGCTCGCTGAAGTTACATGAAGATTTAGGTAACTTTACATCAGTCAATACTGTGTGTTGTACTTACCAGGAATGGCATATGGCTTGCTGAAGTTACATGAAGATTTGGGTAACTTTACATCAGTCAATACTGTGTGTTGTACTGCACATGGCCCAGCAGCAGAATAACATACTTCAATGTCCATGTTAACTACAAACACTCTCTCACTCTGGTAGTTCACTACTTTGTATCTGAAGAACAGTGTAAAAAATTTTGAAAACTGCTGGATTTTTGGAAGGAAGGAAGGAAAAGCAGACATGGTAACATTATATGCCAAGTCATTGAGTGAATGGGCACATAAAAAATATCTTGTCTTTTTCAGATTTATTTCAAATTCAGTCAATATCTCTTTCACTAAGTATGCATGGATAAATTTTTGCAGTTATTTGCCTTTTTACCAGAAATATGAGCTACCAAAATTAATAAAGTTGCAGCTAACTAAAAATATAATTTCACTGTGTCTTAAAAGTGGGGTTGGTAGTAGCATTTCATCATCAATTGATAATACCCCCCAAAAATATAAAATGACAGTTTTACAAATAAAATTTTTTAAGAAGATGAAATGAAATCTCAAATTCAATGTAAATATAGTTCTTACTTAATATTAACAAGTCCTCCAAAGGAGAAAGTATCCTCTTGTGCATACTGGAAACTATACAGGGATATAGTTCTGTTGAAATTCTCTACACCAACTGTAAACTCCTTACTACAGACATCAAGGTCAGCATAAACTCTGAAGGTCGTATCTAACTTGGCAATGTCTACACAGCAGTCAATTTGAGTACAACTGTCACCAAGGTTACATTTAATTCCAGAACCAGGCAGTGTAGTGAGTGTTGGTGCATTCTGACATCCTGTAGGAAAAATACATATATAATTACAGAAAATAGTTCAGAGGACATTCTGGAAGACCCAACAAGGTTAAAAATTTCAATTTCTTAAACTATTTATACAATATAAGAAATCTAAACACAAAAATAAGAAGAAAGTTGAATTATGACAATCTTCTCATGAAATACCATCAAGTACTGTACATATTTACTGATGTAGGTAAAATTGTGAACAAACAATGCATGACTACTAAATTTAACAATTTACATTTGTCCACCATTTTTTATTTAGAAAGTGAGTGTGTTGAAATATTTCTCACCTGAACTAATAGTCCAGTTTTCAAAGTTGACTGGTTTATAAGGTTTAGAAGATGCTACACAATGGCTAGGTTGTATATAATCTTACCTGAACTAACAGCCCAACCTTCAGAGTTGACAGGTGTATAAGGTGCAGAAGATGCCACACAGTGGCTAGGCTGTAGATAATCTTCAAACTGTAAGAATCTTTCAAGTTCAATGACGACAAGTTCTGACAAAGGATTTGAGTCTGTATAACTGTTAGTTGATAGCCAGGTTGACAAGTCAAAACCTAAAATAATGAAAAACACAGTCGGATTTCTTAAAAAGAAGAATGTGTCTAAAAAATCAAACATGAAACTTGAATAATTTAAGAAAAAAATATCTTGCAGTTCTTTCTGCTTGACAAAAAATTATTAAAAATTGGAATTCTGTTTTACATTTCACATATGTTTACTTCAAATGTTTATATATCCAAATGACTTTCAACAAGCTATGCTGGGTACTACTGACAAACTAATGGCCATTATTAAGATGAAAGGACATGTAAACATAAAGAAATCTTTATATAATATATTATGGTTGAAAAATTATACAATTAAAAAATTGAAAATTGTAATTAAATAGCAAGGTGAAGAAAACATTTATATCAAAACTTTGACTGTTCTTACTTGGATTGCCAGAGAATGCAAATCCACTGTTCCAGTTACAGGACTTCTTTGCCAGTTTGACATTATCTAACACTGTATGTTTAACATCACAACTGTATCTGTCTGAAGTCTCCATACACAAACCCATGTCAACAGATACCAGGTACATTCCTTCACTAGTTAAATCATGGATCACATAGCTGGAAAATAGTTTAAAAAAAGGAATATTAGTAAGGACAAAATAGAAAAAAATCAGAACTGTAGTACAAAAGACTCTAAAGTTAGTTTAGACAGGTTTAAAAAATAATATAGTGTACAATTAGTAGCAAGTTTTGATTTTGTTGAATTCAAGTTACTTTTGGTAGATTACAAAATCCTCATAAAATATATAAACACAGATATATGGCTCTCCTTTTAAAACCTTATCACTAGATACAACAACTGTTTATGCCACCAATTCTGCCGGGGACCAAAAATAACACGAAAGAGATTCAATTTCATGACCATTGTCACAGGTGACACAAAAAATATTTCCAAATAAACAAATATTCTTATAGCATTTCTTAAAATGTATTTTGATACAGATTAAACTCACTCCATTCTAAGTCCTCCTTGTAAGGCAAAAGATTGTGGTTTCCCCCACTGGAAATGTAACAAGGATACAGTAGCTTCCATTGTCTCAATGCCAAGAGTTATTTCATATGTACAGGGATCCAGTTTCACTGTAGACTGGATTTTCTTATCAATATACCCAATGTCAGAACACATAGTAACTGATGTACAGTCTGATTGGATGTTTAATGATACGTCTGCTGGTAGAGTAATGGATTTTTCAAGTTTACCACACTCTGAAAAACAAATATGTACAAATTTTCTTGCATTCTAAGAATTGCATTTAAAAGTGTTGCCTTTTCTCCCTGTCTACATATTTCCCATTACATTTGATTAAACACAGCAAATAATTTTTTTTTAATTTCTTATTTTTCTTTCTTAGTGTTAAAATTAAATCTGTAAAAGCAGGTCCCTATAGTCCACATAAGAAAAACTTTTCATTGTTTTTTAATTATCTTGTTCAATTTTGTCATTTTCATTTTTTTTTCATATCATTCAACAAGTAACTACATACTTGAAACTATGCACATAAATCTGTGCCAAACATTTTTGCTTTGATTACTTTACAATATTTACATACTTTCACATGAAGGATTGAATTCACACATATTTAAACCAGGCCATGAAAACTGAAGTCGAAAACTAAAGAACAATTGATAATAGAAACAAATATTCTGATAAAACCATGTGAACTGTAAGCCATGTTCTTACCATCATTCAGTCTGCCATTAGCTGTGGTGAAAGGTGACACAGAGTGATCACGCAGTTACTTGCCATCATTCAGTCTTCCATTAGCTGCGGTGAAAGATGACACAGAGTGATCACATATAGTTACTTACCATCATTCAGTCTGCCATTAGCTGTGGTGAAAGGTGACACAGAGTGATCACATAAAGTTACTAACCATCATTCAGTCTGCTATTAGCTGTGGTGAAAGTTGAGACAGAGTGGTCACATGCAGTTACTTACCATCATTCAGTCTGCCATTAGCTGTAGTGAAAGGTGACACAGAGTGATCACGCAGTTACTTGCCATCATTCAGTCTTCCATTAGCTGTGGTGAAAGATGACACAGAGTGATAACATATAGTTACTTACGATCATTCAGTCTGCCATTAGCTGTGGTGAAAGGTGACACAGAGTGATCACATAAAGTTACTTACCATCATTCAGTCTGCTATTAGCTGTGATGAAAGTTGAGACAGAGTGGTCATATGTAGTTACTTACCATCATTCAGTCTGCCATTAGCTGTAGTGAAAGGTGACACAGAGTGATCACATGCAGTTACTTGAAGGTAGTCACTGATTCCAGTATCTTGTAACAGTTTGGTTGTTGTCGCTGACGGCAGTGGATCAACTTTAGCTTGATTCTCAGCCAGTAAAAAGTTGTTTAATGAAAATGCTGCAAGAAAAATATTTTTTTTGCATATAAGATTTGTAATTTATGTACAAATACAAGTACATGTACATCAGCTTCAATTTTTGGCAAATGAGATTTGTAATAAATTAATGTACAAGTACATCAGCTAGAATCTGTTCACAGTTTGAAGTGTACTCCTATACCACATATCTCATGCTGGTGCTCCTCAGAAAGGAGGCATATACAGAGCATACATACTGTAAATTCAGAAATTATTGCGATGTTTTTATTATTGCAAAAAATGCGACAGGGTTATAATCGCAATAACCTAAACTCACATTTTGATTTTTTTTATATGAATTAAACAGGATTTTTCTCAATATCGCAAAAATTAAAATCGCATTTTAGTCTAAAAAAAAACAAAATCGCAATAATAAATGCATGCAATAATTTCTGAATTTACAGTACATAAATACATGTATACATTACATGTTTTTCAGCAATGAAGAGTGTTTTGTTTATAGTAAAAAGGACCACTCTTATTCAAATTCCAGATATTGCATTAATGTTTAAACCCATAATTATATTTAGCATGGTGAATTTGTTTTACAGGTTTCTCAATTACTGATGTGTAAAAAGTTAAAATCAAAGTCTTCAAGCAAAAATTATCTGATCTGGTATGCAGATTTCATACATACTTAACAACCTAACTTACGAAGCAATGGAAAAAACAGCAGATCACACATTCCAAAAGACACAATTCAATTTCTAAACATACCGGAATCAAAGAAAGTTGAACCAGTGAAGCAATACTGTTTAGGAAGCTGTGTACCACTGAACACAGTCATTTCAAAGTCACAAGACCCTGATGTTTCAAAGCAAATCTTCATGGTCATATCCAGTTGGTATTTTCCTGCAGACTGCAGGTTTGTGATTGTATATCTGAAAATAAACATATAAAATCACATCAATTCTTTATCCTAGTATTTTAATGTAAAAATAGATCTAAATGTTTTAATGGTTATTTTGATGACAAGGCTGGGTGCTTCAAGAAGGTTTTTTCTATTTACTTCCTATAGTACATATATTTCAAGTCCTTTATTGATGATTCCAGTCAATTAAAAACATAAGCAATACCATCCAAATCTATTTTAAAATTAATTTTTTCAGATTTTTTTCTTCAAATAATTATCCTATTTAACTTTCAAATATGTATCTAAAACTGCAAACTGTTTTAGTGAAATTATTGAAATATAAAATGCTTTTCCTCTTTGGTGTAGGTGTTGTATGATGTAAACTCTTTGACCTTCCAGAAACTGTCACATAAAATAAACATCTACTTCAATTATCTTACGTAAGTCTGACAACATTCATCAACGTCTTTGTCTCTTCAACTCCTACAAATAAAATGATTTTTTTAAAGAGATCAGAAATATTAACAGGATTTCCTTTTAAATACATGCATCAAATATATTTTTTAATTATTCTTAGTGATCAAACAGCAACATACAACCTAATAAATTAGTCATACACCTTCTAGGGTAGCAAGTTTTCAGATATCAAATTTACATGGGCAAACAAAAAAGCCTTCAGACCCTGTACATTTTTTTCTAAACTAGTCCTTAGATTGGAAAGGAATAGGGATCAAGTATGAATGTTGTTGAACCACCTTTTTTCAACAGATACTAATTTTACTGGATTTTGGCGACAGAGACACTGAACCCATAAATTCAAAGTTTCATTGTAATAAAAATTTCTGTCACTTAATTGGCATCAAGTTTGTAAAACAATATCAGAATAATAACTTTTCTAAACATGATTCTTCAGCATACAGTCAGAAATTTAGGAAAACATTTGAAATCTATATCACATATTAGCAACTTCGTAAAAAATTACTAACACAAAAAAGGAACTTACCAAATGCATATCCATTGAGATCTACTGTTTCGTATACCCTCTCTATACCAAACTGTAGTTTGTGGTTACATGGATCCAGTTCAACAAAGGAATGGAAACCTTGTTGCAGGAAGTCAGTGTACATACAACAATCTACAGCAGTACACTTATCATGGATGTTACATGCTGCATTGGCTGGAAGTGTTGGCAAAGTGACATCTACTGCACAATCTGTCAAGTGGATAAAATAAGAATTAATAAAATTTTAAAAACTACTGCATGCACTGATTCATTAAAACTTATCAAGTTTAAATTTGATGTATTAGCAAAGAATATCAATGTATTACAATAACTATGAAGAACCTTAAATATGATGCAAAAAAAAAATACAAACAAACTGCTTTATTTTTCAAAATTAAAAAAAAAAAATATTAGCATTAATAACTATTATCTATGTGATCAACCGTACCAATGTACCAGAGAAAAAAGGAAACAGTCCTTCAACATAGCATTAAAACTTTACCTTTTTGCCATCTCTCTGCACCGATTGGTGAATAATCAGCCAATGCACAAGGTGTTCCCAAAATATAGGAGTTGATTCCAAGTAAGTTAAACAGATCAGTCTTTTCCTGTGAAGTGAATGTCTGTCCTGAAGTTTTACCAATACTGGTCAAGTGACTAGCCAATGAAAATCCTGAAAATATAACAATAATTCAATTTTTAAAAGTGACACTCAAGTATGATAAAGAATGTTATTGTTTTGGTGACTAATTAATGATTACAGGAATATGTGTAGTCTGTTAACAAAAATTGTATTTATCCCACTGATGATTTTAAGGTGCCCATAGCATATTGTAAACTTATGAAAAAAATCATTTGTAACTGGGAAAAAGTAAGATGTTTTTTTTTTGCTTGAGTACTTTTAAAACTTTATGCTGTTCTTCCATCTCATTGACCTTGTCTATCTGTGTACACTACTTACAATAAGAACTCATTTTTAATTCCATTCCCTCGAAGTGCATGTTAACTTAAATCAATTTGTTTACATTCATCAATGGACTTCCCGTGAGGTCATAATAGCAAGACACCATAAGTTTTGACCAGACGATATAAGAGCTCGATATAATAGCAACATCAGAAATTTTAGTGGATGGAAAAAAATGGTCTTGTATGGCATGTTTTTCATCAAATGAAACAGCAAGATTTTTGACAGAAGCAGAATTATATTTTATATCTCACTTCCTTCCAATAAGTTATATTTTACAGAACCTTTTACCAAAGACTTCGTTGGTAAATCAAATCAAAGACACATAAAATATAAGTCAATTTACCTGATGTTGAATATGGCAGATCCCAAGCACATTGTCTCCATGGTATCATAGCATCAGAAAAGGCATCCATTTCTATCTCACATACTGAGGTACTGTTGAAACATATCTGGACTTTAAGGTTGACTCGGTACTGACGTTCTACTGGGAATTTCTCTATTTTGTATCTGTAAGAAAAATAATCATAATACAGATAATTCAATGACCAATGAGATTACAAAGTCAGAATATCAATTGTATCATTTCTAAAAATGGTGTAAAATACCAACATTTTTTTGCAAACACATTAAAAAAACTATGCTAAATTCAATATTTTTTCCTATTTAAAAGGTTTTGATGATTGCATAAATTAAAATTCTACTTACGTCAACTTTACCACTCCTTTCAAATTAAACTTTTTCTCCACACCTGCAACAAAAACAGAATTCTAAAATCAGCCAAAAAACTTTAAAAAAAAATTCTAATCATTTAGTTTTGCAAATAATAACAAATGTTCAATTACTTTGCTTGACAAGTATTTGCAACAGGATAAGAAACACAGAAAATTTTACAATTTATTTTTTATGATTTGTTAACAAACTAATAGCAGAAAATAACATGAGACAAAGTTTCATAATAAAATTTAACAAACAATCTACAATATCAAAAGGATTATAAGTAAAATATTCCCTCTATATAAATTTTGATCAAATAAAAATGTAGCTAGGGATTAAGTGAATTTTTTGGTGGAGGACAAGGAGGGAACAAAGATTAAAAAGTATTGTCCGCTTAAAAATGTACAAATTTCCTTATAAAAGTTATAATTACCAAAAATGGTGGCATCAGTCAAATCTAACTTTAGACTAAATCTTTCAATGCCAATTTTGCCGATGTTTGTACATGGATCTAGGTCAATGTATGTGTGGAATGGACGTCCCAGGAAATCAACATCAGAACAGAAATCTACAGCTGTACACACTTCAGCAATGGATCCTACTGAGGATGAATGTAGTGCTACCATGGGAACATCAAGGGGACACACTAGAAAAATATTTCAAAAACATGAAAATATTAAAATCATATAACAGTTTTTTGGTATTTTTTTCTTTTTCCAATTCAATTTACAAACTGAAATTTCAATGCTTATATTATGCTTAACATCTGACATAAAATGAAGGTTCTTTCCAATGCAATTCATTGAAGAAATACATTTAAAATAAGCTTTTCCCGTTTTATCATAAACTATCCACAATTTTTTGTTTGCCTTTTAAACATAGTTCATAAGTGATAGGTGCCATTAGTGGAGCAGAAACTACTTACTCTTCCAGAGCACCTGAGTTAATCCAGTTTTGGGTAGAATTTGTGCTAACCAATCTTTCTGTAGAGTTTTGTAGAATCTTGTTGGGTTTTTTTTTTAACTTAATTTGTTAATTGTGTCTGTACTTTTTTTACATTAGGATATTGATTGCCACTTTGTATCTTCTTACTTTTCTATTTTATATATTCATATATATCATACAAAATGCAGGGAGAAATAATTTTTACCATTTTTCCATCCAGCAACAGATGGACTGTACTTCATTCCTGAAGGTTGACATTGTGTAGGAGACATCATTTCTCCAATTGTTAGGAATTCTAGAAGTTTTGATGCCATGGCAGGGTTCAGTAGTGATCCTTGTGGTAGGTTATGATATGTATACCAACTGTTTAAGTTGAATCCTAAAACAAAATCATGCAGCAGATTTTTAATTTGTTAGAATATTATTTTATCATTAAATAAGATTTTCAAGTTGCATTCTAATCCACATTGGTAAAAGAAATGATACAAGTAATTATATACTGTAAATTCAGAAATTATTGCGAGGTTTTTATTAATGCCATTTTATTTGTCAATACATTTAATAATATGAAGCTATTGAAATGTAAATAGTTTTATCATTCCTCATCTACGATTTTTTTAAATTCTATAAGAATTACCTGGTACTCCATAACTTGTATCATAGTCGCAGACAGGAATTGGTAGAACTTGTCTGTTGAAGAGTTCAAAGGTCACATACTGTTGACTTCTGTCCAAGTACATACTCATGTTCAGGTCTATACGGAAATATTCATCTACTTCATTGTAGTCCACCAGAAAACTGTAATACAAACCGACCACTATTTAATAGAATTCTAGAAAAGGGTAAAAATATTTCCTTCTAACATAACTTCCTTTTTTGTTTATACTTCTTTTTGCTTCCCTCTTGTAATATAGGGGTTTTGCAGCATTTGTACTTTACCATATAACCACAATAAAAATCTAAATTATCTTTTTCTAATGTATTTATTTCAATTTTTCCAATTTAAAGCAAGACTCAGATATGAAGAATTTTAAAATAAACATGTATTGTTATTTGAGTTTTTGGCTTTAAGCTTATTTATCAAATTTTATTTTATTTATGCACAACATAAAAATGTTATAAGCTTGATTCATAATTAGATGCGTTAGGTTGGAAGGCATTTTAATAAAACCAAAACTACAGAATGTTTTTTTTTTAAGTTCAAAATTCTGCATAAATCTTAAAATTGTCTTTAGCAAAAATACAGATATTCATTCTCTTCTTTTTTTTGACAGCGGCTCAACCCAACAAACAATTATTCTATGGACAGTACTTATTATCAATGTGTAAAACTTACTCAAATATATAGGCATCTAACAAATCTTTGGTATCTTTCTGTCCTGTAAAATTAGATTTTTCAAAATAAATAAAATGTTTCTAAATGTTCATCAGGTTGTAAATAAAACTATAGAAAAAAAAATAACATTGAAAATAAAAAAAAAAAAATTATCAGTATTGTTTTCATTTTAAATTGTACAAGTACATAATCAAACATGACTTATTAAATTTAAACTTGACATATGTAATGTTTAAACTTACCCCAGGCATAAGTGAGGAAGTCCAAATCAATGACCAGTTTTTCTATTCCAATCTTGAATGACCTTTCACACATATTGAGGTCAAAGTAAGCATGCAATGATGTCCTCAGTAGTGGTATATATAAACAGAAGTCAATGTAAGTACAGCGTGATGCGACATATCCCTTAGGTGTGGCTAGAGATAATGGAGTCAGTGCTGTTAAGTTACCTAGTCCTCCAGGACATTCTGAAGTAAAGAACAAAGCCTTAATATCAAATAACATTGTTCAGATGTTTATAAAACATTTTTTTGTCAGGTTAGTATTAATATGTTCAAATTTTGTCACAAATATTTGCTGTAACCCTTCAAACTCCTTAAATTGAGGAGAGGAGAAAAGGCCAAAATAATAAAATTGCCTCATTTTGAAATCTTCCCATTTATGTTTAGATATGAGCAATAGCCTAAACAAATAAGATCTATTACCACATGAAGTCTTATTCTCATACATAGATGTTAATGTGAGTTAGAAAACTTTGAACATGGCTATTGGTCATATCTAATTTACTTAATATTAAATGTATAAGTGTCCTTACTGGTAAAAAAAAAAAGATCAAACTACCTGTATTTGGCTGTGTATGGTCCGCATTTGTGTATAATTCGCATCCCCTTTTAATCCCCCAAATCTAATACAATATTATTCATTTATCAATTAAATTTAAATAATTTGGAAATGATTGACGAAAATTACTATTTTACCATTTAAGGACAAAGCAATGGTTCTTTTCACATCTACTCCTTTGTAGGCTTATCTGGTACCATATTAGTACTAGTCAAAGTATCTATTACTAAATAACAACTACAGTACTCTCTAATTACAACTCTCTAATTGAACACATCAAAACATGCAAATATACTTACCATCTCTCCAACCAACAGAATCTGTTGGCTGTGATTGGTACATTTGACTGCTTATGTCACACTGTGGATCTTGTAGGTATTCAGCTATACCAAGTTTCTCTAAAATCTGCTTAACTACAATGTCTGTCAATTGGCTCTGGAGAGAAAGCCCTTGCTCAGTCAAGAAATCTGAGGCTGAGAAATTATTAAAACTGATGCTCCAGTCACAAGCAATTTTCGGAAGATACAGATCCTTAACAATTTCTAGGGTTATATCACAAGCTTTTCCTTCTTCTAAACAGACACTGGCATTCATACTAACAATGAACTTCTTTTCAGCATGTAGATCAATTACCATAAAACTACAAGAGAATTATCAAAAATGATATTGCAAATAGAATTACAAAAAAAAACAAACAAGTGTTGACTTGTCAACAAAAAGAATCATAAAATTACATTTATAAACAAAATAAAATCATATAGTTACCAGTGAAAACAAACAGCATTACATGAATAAAATGGTTTATCAGAATGGTTCATTCATGGTATTATCAAAATAAAATATATAGTGGTTTTAATCAGCCATTTTAAATACTATAAAATCTATAATACTCACTCTAAAAACATGATGTTGCCCAACTTAAGGTTTTTCACCATACCTGAAAAATGAAAATGCAATAAATTTAACATATAAACTATCATATGTAAGGCCAAAAAAATAGTATAAATACCTAAACCAAAGCAGCATGTTCCCAATGCATGCTGTGTCAAATGTTCTAGCAATTTTTTAAATCATCAAATTTTCCACTTTCCTGGTTCTGTTTATAATTTGATGTCCAATGCAAAAAAAGAAGAAAATTGACAACTGCAACTACATGGCATCTTCTTTAGTGTCATGTCAGGTAATTTTTATGGAAAAATTTTATTCAAGGGGGAAATTCATCGAAAAATATTTTACACATATTTTGGGATTTTTTGCATTCAAAAAATGAAAACTATAAAGCTCCTGCATTATTGATGCTGGCCCCAATAAGGCAAAACACTTACCACTATCAAATGAAAAGAAGGCTTCATCAACCCCAAAATGATCTATTCCAGCCTTGATTCGGTACTGACATCCATCTAACAGTATGTAGAAGTGGAAGGACTTCTTTATAAACTCAATTTCGACACAACATTCTACACCTGTGCAGTAATCTGGTATGTGGCATGTTACAGGAACATTGTTAGGTATCTTTGGTAATGTAATGTCTAAAGGACATTCTGGAAAAAAAGGCAAATTTGTATAAGACAAATATCTACATAAAAACTATAACCAATTATATACATGTCAAATTTTTCCCCCTTATCCAAGTTATTTGGAGAAGGACATCCAACACTACTTTTGGACAATTCACTGCCTAATAATTTAGGAGGCTGAAATAATTTTCAAAACAATCTTTCCTTCCAGGCTTGTCACGGTAAAAGCATAGTGGAATTTCTATCTTTTATTTTTATAGTCCTGTTTTGACATGAAAAATGAAGAACAGAAATAATTTCAATGTTTCTTTGCTTTGGGTTTTGTCATGTGTGTAAGGATTCACCATACCCCTTTTTGTCCACTATAATAGCAAAATAGTCCCGTTGTTATAGGGCCAGAAAAGCATATAAAACGTTTAAAGATTTAACTTGAAGCTTTCTCCTTTTTGAGTAAAAAACATGTTATTTCAACCTCTTTCAAGCTACAAAAACAGCTTGTCTTCTGACTGAGCACAGTCTTCAAGATCATAAAAAGAACTGACCTTTATTCCATCCGTCTGTTGACGGAGAGTAAGGGGCACTGCTCCTGCTACAGGATGGATCTTCCATGTATTGTTTAACTCCAGTTGCTTCTATGAATAGATCTGAGACATATTCTGGCATAGCATCAAGAGCTTGGTCTACTTGATTTTTTAAGAAGTCAGTTGCTGATATGTCTGAAAAAGAATATCGATTATTAATTAAAAAGGTGAAGTGAACAGACTGCATTATATTTTGAAATTTTCATAAAAGTTATATTAAAATAAATGTTTTTCACTTGCAAGTTCATAATAATAAATTCTTTGAGTAATGGATTTAGATATCTATAGTTTCTATTTTATGTTGAATACTTGTAAATTGTCAAAATGCATAGTGTGGATTCAGTATTATTAGTGAGGTATCCTAGATTCCATTGGTACAGGTAAACTACGAAATTAAATGTTCAACGAAGTATAATTTTCTATAGGATTGTATGCAGACTGTAGCAAACATCTTCTCTTGGATTTGGTCATATAGAGCCATAGGATTGTATGCAGACTGCAGCAAACATCTTCTTTTGGATTTGGCCATACAGAGCCATAGGATTGTATGCAGACTGCAGCAAACATCTTCTTTTGGATTTGGCCATATAGAGCCAAAGGATTGTATGCAGACTGCAGCAAACATCTTCTTTTGGATTTGGTCATATAGAACCATAGGATTGTATGCAGACTGCAGCAAACATCTTCTTTTGGATTTGGCCATATAGAGTCATATGATTGTATGCAGACTGCAGAAAACATCTTCTTTTGGATTTGGCCATATAGAGCAAAAGTATTGTCAACAGATTTACTTACTAGCTAAAGAGATTTTAGTCTCTAGATTACATATAGGTTATATATTGTCAACAGATTTACTTACTGGCTAAAGAGATTTTAGTCTCTAGATTACATAAAGGTTTTGGCAGCAGTATATCTTTCATAAGCTCCACTGTATAAAGACATGACTGTTTATTATCCACACATAATGAGACTCCAGCATTTAATAAAAACATCTTTTCTGTCTTCAGATCATCAATCTTAAACCTGTAAATGAAAGAAATCAATAATTTTCAGAAAAAAACAGATACAGTGACAGGTAGTAAATACCCTGATAAAATACTACCATACATAAGATGTACTAGAAAAAGTACTCATTCTCTGAATATTACTTTTACATCATTTATATTCTTTTCTAGAGAGCCTTTAAATGAGGATGTGTAAGGATGAATATGAGCAATATGTTGACAACTTTATGGTAAAAAAAACAAAAGAAATAAAAAACTGTAAATGAAATAAGGAATATCAAACAAAAGAGATTAAGGATCTCTTTATATGATTTGTACTTTGACAAAGTGACCAATCATACTACGTCTTATTTTTATATATATATGTTCTTTTTCCAAACTGAACCAATACTAACCAATTTTAAAACTTTTAAAAGTATGAAAAAACAGACAGATAAATTAACATATAAAGAAAAAATCAAATCTTTTTTACCATAAAAAATTTAAGCTACAAAATAAAAAACTCACGTCAATCGAACAACATCAGACAGACTTATAATTTCCTCTGTTCCAAAATCATAATTCAACAATTTCTTGTTGTATGGTAAATTTTCTATTCCAACTGAAAACTCATAATTACAAGCATCCAAACTGATATAAAAATTAACAGCAAGATCAAAGTCAGTTATATCTAAACAGCATGTAACCCCAGTACATGTGTCCATGATGCTACAAGTCAGTGGTATACTGGAACTTATTGCTTGTAACTGTATTGGCAAGGTCACATTGCACTCTGAAAATAGAAATGAAACACGATTGATGATTGAATTTGTATAGACAAAAAACATGAAAAAACATAAAAAAACATAAAAAACCCACTGTGAACGAATTGTTTCCTTTGGAACAGATATTATACTGTATTAAGAGGAGGTATTAAGGCTAAATAAAAAGGAAAATCAAGGAAAAATTATTGTTGAGAAAAAAAATACTATGTTAGATTTGCCTTGATATTATGAAACATTCTGGAATGCATTGTGAAGTGATAGTGTCATCCTCTCTGCATGTTAAAGAACCCTTACAATAACTTCTTAAGAAATCCATAGGTATCCTGTTATAAGGCAAACATACCCTCTTTTCAAGTGGCATTTAAAATTCCAGCTATTTATTAAAAACAACTTTGAGATCACCCCCAGTTTTTGGTGGGTTTTATTTTGCTCAGTCTTTAGTTTTCAATTGTGTTTTATATACTGTTGTTCGTCTTTTCATCGTTTTCTTCTTTTTTAGCCATGGCGTTGTCCGTTTTTCTTTGACTTAGGAGTTTGAATGTTCCTTTGGTCCCACCTCTCTTTTATAAGTATATTTCATTTTGTTTGCATCAAATGATATTTTAAATGTATACATACTGTTGGTCCATCCGTTTACAGATCCAGCAAATGGAGCGACTGTCCTGCTACAAGATGGATTCTTCAAATATGGTGTTAATCCCAGAGCTTCTAGCATTTTGTCACGAACTAGGCCCTTAACAGCTCCAACAATACCATTCTGAGCTTTAAAGTCACTTAATGAGAAATCTGAAAAATAATAAGAGAGTTTAAACATTTTCTTTAATTTCAAACCAGTATTATCATATGTTCAGAAAAAAATCATAAAAAGGAGATGTGGGGTATACCTTAATGAAATAGGAACCCAACATCACAAAAAATTCAAAAGACATATGCATCTAGAGGTCAACATATGGTCTTCAACAATAAAAAAAAAGTCTCTATACTGTATGTCAAACAAGTTGCTGTGTCTAGAAAAGTTGTGAACAAATTTAACAGAGAATATCAGACATCTGAAATCAACACAATAACATTTTTAAATGAGTTTTAGTCAGACTATTACATAAGGAACAAGAATATTTTCACCACTTCACAGTGTACTATTTGACCATGAATATCTTTTTTGTAACTTACCAAGGCTTGTTTGTGTCCAATCACAACCCAGTTTAGGGAGTTTGGTGTTTTCAAATACTGGTACAGAAACCAAACATGGTCCACTCTCCTCAAAACATACACTTAAGTTCATGTTTAACATGTATTTCTTCTCAGCCTGCAAGTCATGAATTGTGTACCTGTAAAGTATAACGATTATTAGTTATCTTTTAACAACACTGTGTTAACCACAAAAGCATATAGTTTAAAATATCCCCTTTGATATAATATAACCATCCATACATAATTTCAGAGTCAAATCTTTCAGTCACCCTTATTTCAATATCCTCAGGAAAATCTGATTATTATTTCATCCATCTTCTCAGGAAAACCCTTAAAGCAGAATCCTATAATAGTTTCTTGTTAGACAACCCTTATTTATGGCAAGTTCATATTTATGACTGACATCTACAAAATTTCCAATATACCAATAAAATACAGAAATCTTTGACATCTGGAGAAGCTTAAGTATGATTGAGGAAACAGTCAGTTATATCAAAAATTTCACCTAATGCTCAAAGACAGTATGTATTCTATAAATTATGAAAAATATTAAAACCAGCAGAAAAATTAACAAAGTAAGTTATGGCATGTCAAAGGATGTAAAGTCATTAGTCAGTCTAACACAAGGCACAATTACTGCCTGTAGCATACCAAATTTTCCAACTCTTCATTAATCTTAACAAAATTTACATACCTATTGGGTTTATTGTTAATTTGTTTTCGGCCTGAATATGCATGAAATATTTGCCACTGGCAGTTCAAGCAAATAAAAATGAATTAATCAATCCAAATTTGGTTGAGAAATAGAGTACCTATTTATAAAAACAATTGACTATTGGTCTTGAGTATGGATCATAAAGTATACTTACTCCATTTTGAGGACTTGTAATATTGACATTGTCTTTTTCTCTCCTGAAAATATACAATGTATGTAAAATATAAATAATAACTTTATTAAAGTCTCTATGAACCTGCTTGGTGGTATCACAAAGTTGCAAAATATAATTAGCAATTCTTTGATATAAATATTTCAACCCAAACTAGCATCTGTTAGTTTAAAATAAAAATATTTAAAATAGCCCCAAAACATTGGTGTATTTTTTCAAGGAAATTAAAAGATTTTAATTAATGATTATTATATTTTATTACATGTATATTTCTAATAATGAAAGTCTCATTTAGCATAACATTCTCTGCTTTACTTAATATTACAATTGATCAAACCAATAATGTTTTCCAAATTTAAATCACAATATGTGAAATTTCCTAAAATGACAATTCTTTAACATAACAAATGGAAAAGAATTCATTGATTCTACTGTGAAACAATGAATCTGAAATACTACTATTCAATCTTGACTATTAAACAATTCAATTATTCTAATTTTCTTTCCGAACATACATACCCCATTCGTAATCTATAATGGTGAAATTAAAGGCTCGTTTCTCTATACCGATACTCAGCTTCCAGTTACAAGCATCTAACAAGGCGTAAATACGGAACGATTTGCCGATCTTTCCTACATCCACACAACAATCAATACCCGTACAATAATCTGGTACATAACAACTGACTGTTCCTCTGATCTTTGGTAAAGTCATATCGGCAGATTTTGGGCAAGCTATAAATAAAAGAATATCATGTGTTGCTTGGTTACTGTCTCAATGACTCTTACTATTCATAGTTACCAATAATTCCATTTCTTTTGATTTTTAAATATTTCATGTAACTTATATGGTGTGAATGAAATTATAACAAATGTCATTTAAATATATGCTTGTTACTCAATTAGTTTAAATTACTGCAATTCATTTAACACCTCAATACATGATAAGCATTTTACTAACTTTCACTACCTAAGAAATTTTCTGTTCAAACAGTGACATCTTTTTAAAGAAGACCAAATGCTTCTTTTGGTAACACATTTCTGTTTTCTGCAATATTTTTACCAGATACAAATATTTTATATGTTTTCTTTTTGTATTGAGACTGATGTGTTCATTGAGTGACAGTTATTAATAAGATTATAAGACTTCATTGTATTTTAAGATTCACTCAATCATACAAACACATTTTTTCTAAAATTCAATATTTTTTTTCATCCTACCATCAGCCTTCCAGCCATCCACTGCTCCAGAATAAATTCCTTCAAATCTGTCACAAGAAGGGTTGTACAAGAACTGGGTCAGTCCAAAATCATCAAATAATTTGTTGGCGAGAGCTGTGGATAAAGACTGCCCTGCTTCTAAACCTTTGTCCTTGACCCAGTCAACCAGAGAGTCTAAAATGAAAAATATATTTTTTAATCTTTAAGTAGTTCATGTAATCATGTAGTCTATGTGCACAGACATGCAGAAACAATTCTCTACTGTAAAGACATTTAATACTTATATGTAATAGTGCTTGCCTACATCAACTGCACAGATTGAGTACTTCTTTTGCTCAGTTGGTATAAATGTAAATTACAATGCCAGGGCATCATGGTTTGATCAAAGTTTAATGTTCATCTCCAAAAGGAAGACCTAACCTCTAATGTTTAAGATGCATCAACAAACAACAAAACTCAAGTCTAATACTGTCTGAATATTTTATAATAATGTTCCCAACTTCAAAATAAAATGAATTATGCTATTTGTGTGTCTTTCGGTTTCTGTCCCATTGATGAATACCTCATATCTCTCTTTATTCATAGCATCATCTTCCATTTTGAAAAGAAAGAAAAAAAAGTTTTTGCTAGGGTCTTTGCATTGTTATACAATGTCTTAAGTGTGAGCTCGTATTGTAAGGAATGTTTTACTGGCACAATTATCATACATAGCTCCATGTCAACCACAAAATTATACAACTGTTGTTCCAGCTTTTTGTATTGTAAATATACCCTGTGTATGTGTATTATGGGAAATTATATCGAATAATAAACATACTCGTATCGCCTGTCCATCCACTCATGTCCAGATCACAAAGCGGTTGTGGAAATTTCTGTTGTACCAAGATGTCAAAGTTGAATTGACACTCTGTGTTCACATCCAAACAAATAGACATGGACATATCCACAATTAACTTCTTCTCGAACAATAACTGGTCAACCGTAAATCTATTAACAGAATGTTTTAATATCTTATAAAGAAAGATTACATTGTATTTTCATAAAATCTCATGTTATTAAGTGTCCACTTATTTTATTTCCTTCTGTTGTTTATTTTTGCTTTTTTTTTCATCATTCTAAATTACTTGAAACATATTTTGTGAGATTTTTTTGGATGTACATATAAATACTTGTTCTTGATATATGTCATCAAAGTATTCTAATATCAATTCTGATTGGACAATTTTGGCTTCAATTCCATCATGTTTGTCATCAGAGTACTCTTCTCATTTAGAGTCATATCCAGCTCACAATTATTAGAACCTTGTTTTCTATTTTCAGTGTCTTTATATTTCTTTCAAATATTTTAGCCCAGCTATCTCTGTTTAACCAACTTTAGAAAAACCTTTTGTTCTTCCACTGAATAGGATAAAAGAGAAGGGTTGTGTCATCACAAAACAAGTGAACTCCATCAGATTTTGATGTGATTTTCCCACATCATAAATCTTGCCAGTGTGTTTGTTGTCTCTGAATTTATTCACAACATGTCTATACTCAGGGTCATTTAAAAGTTGTTACTGATTGGGGGGAGGGCTGGGTTCATCCATTAGAATATATAGTAAGCTTTATATGTATTTCATGGGTAACATGTGCTGTTGTCAACCGAACATTTGTTTTTCAAATTAAAAAAATTTTGCTATGACATAAAATAAAAAATGACAACTTACCTTATTTTGATCACATTCTGCAGTGGAACAACAATTTCTTTGCCTGTTGTAATAAGAAAAAGCTAGTTATGTATTGAAAATAAGGTTAATATTTGACCACTAATAAAAATATTGCCAAATTATACTTACCTTTAACAGAAGATCAGAATTTTACAATTTTATTTCATAATTTTAATTCACGTCACACAAAATAAATTGCTAGCTTATATTTAATTTTTGTCTGCAACCTTTTTAAATGGCAAATGACCAAACAAAATTGACAATTGACAAGCTTATCTTTTATCAAACTTAAAATATAATCGCTGCAGTATACGTAACTTACCCCATAAATCACCAAAATCTAAGATTTTATATTCAAAGGTAAGTTTCTCGATTCCACCTCGAATGATGTAACTACAGGTATCAATATACAGGTAAGCATGTAACGAGATATCCAGGTAGTCGTAATAGAAACAACAATCTAGTCCAGTACAATAGTCTGGTATATAACAGTTCATAGGTACCGTTATGTTAGGAGGACTTATTATGTCCAAGGGACAGGCTAAAACAAAAACATAGTTTTATTAATTTCATCACAAGAAATTATTATTTTAACCTTTATTCTATTTTTTTTCTTTTTTAATACATTTAATTTTTTTTTAAATCATTTTCTCATTACCTGTATAATGTGAGTTTGTAAATTTTCATACAAAAGAAAAATAGCTGTATATAATAAAAAAAAACAATTCTAAAAAAGTCTAAATTTCTGAGTTAAATTTGCAAAACAAATTGAATAAATTTGCCTCTCTTGTAAAAAAGAATGGCTCCCTATAATGTTTCAATATTTAAGTAAAAATATTAAGTATCTGTAAACTAGACTTACTGTTTTTCCATCCATATACTGCAGGTTGATATTGATCAGCATTACGGGAGCATCCTGGATCATCCATCATCTCATCCAGGCCAAGCTGTTGTAGCAATAGCTGGGCAACATTCTTAGCCAATATTCCAGCGAAGTCTGTCAGGTTTATTCCTAACTGAGCTCCCCAGTTAATGGCTGAGAAATCTGCAGAAAAATATTAATGTTTTCTTCAATTTTTTTTTAAATTTCAAATTTATTTCCAACAACAAATATGCAGCTTAATTTAACAGTAAATCATAGAGAAGTATACTTAGTATTCTTAACTAAGTGGATGTAAATCATGTGATATACTGTCACAAATTGAGTATACCTAGTGGTAACATTTCATGCTCTAAATGTATTCAGTGAAGTTATAAAAACACAAATCATTACACAGAAACATAAATAACTATTCTGGAGTCGGTTTCACAAAAACACTTACGACTAAGATACCACGTATGTCATGAACAATTCAGTATACTTACAATTAATCTTGTAAGTTTTTTTTGTGAAACCGACTCCTGTAATTTAGGCTTATGACTTACTGGACAAACTCATTGTAGCTGTCATGTCACAGAATGGTTGAGGAATTTCACTTCCACTCATCATTGGAAAGGTTAAGCATTGGTCTGGTGCGGTGTCATCAAAACATACACTGGCAGTTAAATCCACAATAAATTTCTTCTCATTAGGTGGTTTCTTCATTATAAGTCTGTAAAAATGTCATTGAATTCTTGATAAACTTATAATTCTTTTGCAATGTTTATGTATCAACTTTTTTCATTGTCTAAAATTCACCATTTAATCCACAACTGTCTTGGGCAGCCATTTTGAATTGCTGGGATTCATAAATGTTTAATTCATACAATATAATTGAAAACATAACCCCCCTCAAAAACTTATACACACTATATATTTACCTAACCAATGAAGGACAATTGTAGTCCACATAAGGTAACATCCAGTAACTTTTTGTTTTAATCAAGTTCTGGAATCCTTTATACATGCTTATATATATCAATAAATTGAAAACAAAATTGAAAACAAAATGGATCACTTTATGACAACCAATTAAATGCTTTTGAAAAGAAAACATCTCTATTGGATAATTGTTATTCCAGACAGTATATATTGCAAGTATTGGTGATCTTGACTGACCAGGATTAGATCATGAAATATTTATAAGATATACATGTTGGTCTCAATATTGCATTGGACTGTATAATTCAATATTCTACGCAGGATATAAACCTCATAAAAAAACCTTAATGTCTTTTAAAATGCATAAAATAGAGTTATATTTATCTTATCTTTGCAATACTTACGTTATCTTGACAATATCTTCAATATTTAGCACCCAAGGTTTTCCTGAAAGTAAATATTAGCAATTCATAATATGATATAAATACAAGAAAACAGATCAAAGGTAATGAAATTTATAAAAGGCCTACTGATCATGATTTTAATTAAGTTTTTATGATTTAAATTGATTAAAAAAATCAAAGCAATTAATGAAATCTAATTTTTATAAGTGATAACAATTTTCTTAAAAACTGTAGAATTCCATAACAATTTGTTTTAATGGGTTAAAAAAATGACTAAAATATAATGACATGTTATTAAATAATTCATCTTGCAGATACATACCCCATTCGTAACTGTCAATTCCACCTTCGAACAAAGACAGATTCACACCCATATTGTTGATACCAAATGATATACTATATTCACATGTGTTGATCAGGAAATAAGGGTGAATGGTCAGCCCAATGAATGGTATCTCAGCACAACACTCTATACCACTACAGGTTTCGGTAATCATACATGTCATTGGCCCATCAATTTCAGGCAGCTTGGAAATACTTAATGGACACACTGTAAAGAAAATGTTAACCAATTATAAATATCATCCATCAAAAGCTTAAAAAGGTACAACGAAAAATCTATTTCAGAATCTGAAGCATTCTGGGTAATATTTTAAATGCGACCAAACCACTGTTTTTGGTTAAAAATCTAGTAGACAAACATGATGTTCTGTGGGACACTAATGGTACTCTTTTATTGTTTCATGGAACAGACAGACGAACAAAGGTAAACCAGAATACCCTTTCCTTCCATAAGGAATAAGGAAATTCAACCAATGACCTGGCATTATTTCATTTTTAAGTATGAACAATGAAATTAACCCCAAAGTCCTTCTGATTCTGATTAGGTGAATTGTTTAAGAGGTTGTATTGATATTTTATCAATATAATGGAATTTTAAACAACTGTCATACAAGTGGGAGGTTTAGCTAGCTAAATTATTCACATAGTAAAAGACAAATGCAAAATAACTATTAAAGCATTCATAAAAAGTTTTTATTTGGTCTCTGATGGAAATTTGTTTCATTGGCAATCACACCACATCTCCTTATTTTATATCTATAAATAAATTGATTTAACTTACTATTATTCCATCCCACTACACTAGGGTCATAGATACCACGTTTACGATCACATTTTGTTTTGAAGAAATCTGTTAGCCCAACCTGTTCTAGAAGATATTGTACAGCGCCCTGGGCCAGCTGTTGTCCTGCCTCATACCCAATATCCTTTGCCAATTGAGAGAACGAAACATCTAAAAAAAAGAAGAATGAAAATCATGGAATTTAACATATCTTCAATCTTGATATGCTTATTAAACACAGAAAGTTAATTTCTTTAAGAATTTCTTTATTTTTCTAAATCAATTTAATAGACAAAACTTTTGGTATATCACCTCTGAGAAAAGTGTGATGAAAATTATGGTATGGGCAAACAGGAATAAGGACTCTGAAAGATCCAAAAAGTGATCACATGTTACAACTCATCACTGTCAAGATGCTAACCAACAATGAAATCATTCTGTTGATTAAAAGCGTAACAGAATTGCTTGTTGGACGATTTCAATATATCCAATTCTTTTAGAGTGGGGTAAAATAATGATTAAGATCATGATGAATTATATACTGTAAACCATTGTCAGGTCTATCCCTTTTCAGCCGACTTCACAGCGATTTATTTTCATGGTTTTCTTATTTTTTTCATGTCTCTATATACGGGAAGACCCAATTGTTATATATTTAAATGTATCCAATTTAGTTTTCTTCTCACGAATGATGAAAAATTAAATCGCTTGCGAAAACTATTTGGTTATCAGTATATGAATATAAATGAAAAAGAGGTGACAATGGATTCTAAATTGATTATAAACTAAAATACCAATCAAATCTATGATAACTTACTACTGAGGATATTGGTTAAGTTTCTGGAACAGAGAGGAACTTGTTGGCTCTTCAGTAAGTGGAATCCATCAGGTGTGGGTGCACAGAATGGCTCGTTGTCATCAAATGGAATGCAGATTGTCACTATAGTATCAACGATGAATCCTTCTCCTCCTCCCATTTTACTTATGGTGTACCTGACAATAGATAGATATGTTGGTTTAAAATAAACCAAGATAGCCACAGAGAAGCTAATATCATCCACTGATATACTTTTTTTTCTCCATATCACTATTATTTCAAAGGAGCATAACTCTCCGAAAAATATAATGGATACATGCTTACTTTCTATCTCAACTGAGATATTGCTGATGCAACCCTCTCACATAATTTGTTCATGAAACATCAGAACATGAGCATTCATAATGTTGATTTTCCAAATTTGTTCTACATTTTCAAGGGCACAACTCTCCCAAAAATATTCATTTAGCTCTATGGTATAGCTGATGACACTTGAAATTATGTCTGGGCTGTTTCATGAACAAACCTTCAAAAAACCCTATTACAGGTAAAGTATGCAAAATGTACAAATACTAAAATGTCATGCTGTGATTTACTTTAATGGTACATTTTTACTAATCATAGTGTTTTATACAAAGTACTTACAGAATTTTAACAGGTGCTGGATCACCACCACCAATGGTAAGTTCTTTCTGTGTACCTATGAAACATTATGAAATATTTATATTAATCTACATATTTTGAACAAGTATATAAAACTGTGATGATTTTTTACATATGAAAAAATAAAGACAGAATAATAACATAAGTTTATATCAAAAACATCAAACAGATCATCATTTTGATTTGTAGAAAGGACAAGCTCACTCACAATATAACATGGTTCTTGCCCAGAGTTTAGATATATGTTTTTTCTTAGTCTAGTTATGTACTTATCCTTAGTCTAGACATGTTCTTGCCCTATGTCTTGATATGATCTTGCCCTAAGTCTAGACATGTTCTTGCCCTAAGTCTTGATATGATCTTGCCCTAATCTAGATATGATCTTGCCCTAAGTCTAGATATGTTCTTGCCTAAAGTCTAAACATGTTTTTTCCCTGAGTAAGGCATAATATTTTTTCACTATAAACACATACACATTTTCAATACCATAGTAAGGAAATAAGCTAGCTGAATAAATCTTACCCCAAGCATATTCAAAGAGAGTCTTCTTGTAGGTCCAGGTTCCAAATCCAACATCAATGGTGAAGTCACAAGGACTCATTTTGAACCAGAAACGAACAGAATAAGCTATCACTCTGCCTCCCAAAGCTGGTGGTAATGTAAACTTAACATCTATACAACAGTCCAATCCAAAACAGTTATCGGGCATCTCACAGGTTACAAGATGTTTCACAGAAGCTGGTAGATATGATTTTACATCAATATTCCATGGACAGTCTAGATCAATGGAAAATTGTTTTTACAATTTAAAGAAACCCTAAAGTTGAGCAATAATGTAACATATATGTATATGTATTCAAAAGAAGGTTCAATGAAAACTTGGTAGGTAACTTAAGGTGGTACCCAACACCTTGACTAATATTAATCTGGCTCATTTAATTTTCATAAAATTTTGACAAAATGTTTACTTTGACCCTTTGACAAAAATATAAAAATTTCAAAAAATTTGAACCAACCACTTTATCAGAAAAATTTCATTGGTTATATAGCAGTTTGACAAACACTAACTTTGATCATTGAGAAGCTTAATATTTCCTTAACAATACAACGTGATTAAAACGTTTAGCTAATTTTTACAGAGTTATCTCCCTGTAGTGTTAGGTACCACCTTAAACTAAAAGTTACTACCTTCCCCCCATTCTGTTGTTAGTCAACTATTAAATTGTTACAGTATATTAAGAATTTTTTGTACAAGCCATGAACATCCTTATTTTGTTTCAATTCCCATAAAACACCTTTATCTTAATTTCAGTCAATGTGACATAAAAATTAGAAAAAAATAGTGTTGAATTATTTTTTAATGCCAATCAAAATCATGATTCTGCCAAAAGTCAATTGACCTGATCGATCAGCAAACTCAATCAGAAAGTCATAATTATTCATAAATTTACCAAAAAATCAGAAATAGCACCAGGCAGAATGAAAAAAAACCTGCTTGATTTCAAAATGACAGGAGGATGGTATGAAGAACATTGGTGACATTTTATGTCCCAGCCATTTACTTGTATGGCATTTAATGTTGTAAAACATCAACAAAACAAAATGGTTACTATGCCTACTTGTTGGTCCTGGAGGTACTGTACAGCTTCCTTTCTGGAATATCGTCTAAAACAAAAAATGGAAAAAAAAAGTTGCTTCAAATTTCATCAGAAGCTATACTGTGGATTCATTATTATTCTTGGGGAACCAATTTTCATGGATCTTGTGGGTAAATATTAATTTAAAAGTTTTACGTAGTACACAATTTTATAGGCTTATATTCAGATTTTGGCAAAACCATAAAAATACAAATTTTCCTCAATCCATGAAAATTGGTAACCACAAAATAATTGAATCCACAGTAATACACTTGTATTTCTAAATATATAAAGCTTATTGATAAGATATCTTTAGAGTTAAAAATTCGTAAGGGTTCCATGGAACCCAGTGTCTCGCCTACTTTTGCTGTTAGTCGCAGGCTCAACAAAAATGGGGAAAAATTTATTGAAAATTTTCCTCTAGATACTATCTTTTGATTGTATGAAGCTTCTGTCCAAGTTTGGTAAAAATCCAAGATGGTTTATGAATCTAATAAATGTTTTAAAAACTTTAACTGCAGACTGTATGTAATGTTAACTGGAAGAAAAACTAAGTCCATTTTTAAGTAATATACAGAAAAACAGGAAATAAATTTTTACAAAATTTTCTTATAGATACTAGCTTTTGATCATAAACAAGCTTCTGTCCAAGTTTGGTACAAATCCAGGATAGTTTAAGAAAGTTATTAAAATTTTAAAAACTTTAACCACAAAGTGAATGTAATGTTAACTGGCAGAAAAACTAAGTCTATTTATAAGTAAAATACGGATAAACAATTTTTTTTTTTACAAAATTTACTTCTGGATACTATCTTATGATCATAAACAAGCTCCTGTCCAAGTTTGGTAGAAATCCAGGATAGTTTAAGAAAGTTATTAAAATTTCAAAAACTTTAACCACAGAGAGAATATTTGTGGACCCAACCGCCGCCGCCGTCGACAAAATGTAGGATCGCTATGTCTCGCTTTTGCAACAAAAGTCGCAGGCTCGACAAACATGAATCTAAAAGGCAATTTAATATCCATAAAGACAAATTTTATGTTTTTATAGCACATTTCATTTTTTATTGATGTAAAAGATCACCTATGTTTACCCGTATAGATTTTGCTGCTATCAATTCAATGGAATGATGAAATGACCAAATGACCAAAGCCAAAAAAAACTGCTTTTGCTCCATGATGTCAAACATATAAGTTCTTTCGTGATGCTAAAAAGTTATAGGAAAATGTTCTATTTCTTTCAATACAGGACATAGTTGGTGTATACTACTTACATCTAATTTTAACAACCTGAGAATGAGGTCAAATGCCTCAGCTGTAATAGCTCCTCCCAAAGTTTTAGCAAAGTCTGCCAATGCTCCACCACCTAAAAAACAAAAACAAAACATGAAAACAAATGATAAAATGTCTGAAGGTTTTCATATTTAATGATGTAGTGTCACATTTTCTTACTTCTTATCTAATTACAAACTGAGTAAAAGTTCCCTTATATAAAATATCTTCGAAATCTATTGATGTTTTACTGTTATGGTTAATAAATTAACTTTCTTTTAATTTTTTCTCCCTTTTCTGTTGTATATGAAATAAATTGTATTTACTCCCATGTCCCATCTGTCATTGTGATCATGTGACTAACCTGGTAATGTGAAATTCTCATTACAAAGAGGAATGGGAACTTCATAATCTTGTACGAAATACTCGTCAATGACACAGTCTCCTGCAATACAAATCCTGAGTCCAAAGTTCACAATGAATACTTTCTTTACGTCAGCGTCACGATCTATCTTTATCCTGCAACAGAAATGTCATTACTTTTCACTTCTATTTTTTTTAAATACATTAAAAATATTCTATGAAAACTAAATACTAAAAAGCACATGCTAATTATTACATTGAACTTAAACTACTTGGGAAGGGATTTTTGAACAAATCAAACATACCAACTTTTAAAATTGTTTTGGGGAACAATGTATCTCCAAATGTGTTCTGGAGACAGGGAGTACTAGTGCTCTTAAAAAACGTTTTATCTAAAATGTGTGAATTTTTAAAAGAAAATGGGTGTCGCCTACCATCTTTAAATAAATAAGGAGAAGTGCATGTTTTAGAATTTATAAACCCCAAAAGCACACAGAAAATAAATTGAATAAATACTTACATCACCTTTATCTCAGGTGTTATTTCAAGTACTTCTTCTTTTCCTGAAAAAAATAAATTATTATATTAAAATTTTTGATGTGTAAATAAATTGTTAATTATTGTATATGCACGAGCATCTTAAATCATATAATAAAAATTATCTGAAATCAAATTGTAAAAATCTGAAATTTTAAGAGAATACTAGATATAATAAAAAATTAAACTGGATTTTATCTAGTCTCAATCTTCTTAGTATACAAATATTGTTACTGACCATTAACAGTTTTAAATTAAGCTTACTCCAGCAAACCATCCTGTTAATGTTCAAAAAAACACTTTTGTGTTGTCCTTAAATACAGACATTCCCTTAGTTAAGAAAATAAGGGATGAGTGTGTGGTGCATCACGCTCTGAAAAAGCCATGGTCTAAAAAAAAACATTTTCGTAAATTTCTTTGAAGTATATTTCTTCACTGTGTATCAATACAACATTATCACAACATACCCCATTCATAAGAAATCAGAATAAACTGCCGTTCCCATTTCTCAAAACCAGCATAAAGGATGAAGTGACAGGGATCCAGTTCTACGTAGGCTTTCAATGCTTTGGTGTAGTCTATGGCCTTGATGGTAACATCAGCACAGGCATCAAATCGCATACAGTTTGGAGACATTTGGTAGTACAGATGTTTCTTCAGTGTGGGGTTAGTTATAGCAGGAAGAGTCAGGGTTTTGTTGATAAGTGCTATGTAACAGCCTGAAAAAATAAAGAAACATTGCATTTTGGTATGGAGCATTGATTTTTATCAGACATGATAAGGAAAAAATATACAACTTCAAATTCAACTTTTATGCACAGCTAAAATATCCATTTGAAGAGGATGTATGAAAAATTCATTGAAATCTAGTAACTGGTTTAAGAATTGAAAAAAACAAAGTGTGGACAGACAAAATATTATGACAAACAAATAAACTGTCACAACAATCAGTATATCAAGGAATTAATATTCAGATTTTCTTACTTCTATCATACAGTTCATATCTGTCATTCAGAGCAAGTCTTGTACCAGTGGTGCTTAGATCTGCTTCAATCATCTTTCCTTTCAGTATAGCCAATGTCATATTTTCTGGTCTGGGACAAGGTCCTGTCGCAGAAAGTAAATCCTAAAAAAAAGATATATACGTATATTATACTGGAGAGAAATAGCCTAGCTAATCCTGAAATTTGATTGAGGAAAACAAAATTGCTTACACATAACTGTGGTATATTTAAGTTTAGGTCAACTGAGTTGTAATATCTATGAAATTCCATTTTAAACATTGATAACTTTTTATGAAGGTTCACTTCACATTTTTTTTAACTTTTTACCAGCAATAAACTCTAGCTATTCTTATAAAGTCTTGTATCTCTATTATAAGCACATCTACTTATTTCAATTTTCTATAATTTGGATGAATTACAGGAAATTTACAGATAAAAAAATCTATCTTAAACAATATAGAAAAAGTTGGCATATCAAACTGAAATATTTTTTTCTTTAAAAAAATACTTACTGCAGGTAAACCAAGAGCAGCCAATGCTTCTTCAGCTAGATTGCCTGCCAACTGCTTAGCTGCCTTTTTGCCAGCCTGTTTCAGTCTTTCCAGGACAGCTTCCTTACTAAAGTATGTTGCCCAGTTTACTGCAATTATAAAATAGTACAATATATAAGTCTGAAAAAGGACACATGACTGAACTGTTAATGCACTGGTTCAGTGTAAAATAAGTTGACCATTTATTCTTGTAACTCAAAATAAAATTTCAATCCCAAATTTTACGAGGTATTATCCACAAGAGCGATATTTCATTATCCACATATTTTTACTTTCTCGTTAACATTTACTTAAAGGTCACTTACTTTCAGGCCACGAGTAACTTCCTTTAAGATAACATATTAAGGTCACTTACTGTCAGGCCATGAGTAACTTCCATTAGGATAACATATTGGCAATGGTAAAACAGCTTGATCCAGGAGGTTGACTGTAACCAAACAATTTTCTTCGTCAGGGTAAGATCCTGGTTCACAGAGACCACCTCCAAATGTTGCAACAGTTTCCAAGTCTGTCTTCTCTATCTTTAAGCTACATATATATGAAAATTACATTGTAATTATACTTCTTTTTACTTCATCAAAACAAAGTATTTCTAATTCTTTACTATTACAAAAAAATATCTACCATAGATATCAATCTGTTATTGTACTCTAGTGGGTAATGATCTAACATTCAGGATCAAATGTAAGGTCATAGGGCAAAACATCGTTTTCTTGGTTATTTAGGCTTCATTTTATGACAATTTTCATATAAATCATTCCTCTCCTTCGTAAAAAAATCAAATCAATTTAGGCAAAAACAAAAACATATTTCCACATTTTCCGGCCTTTAGATTCCATGGTATATCTGTCTGAGTTCCAAAGCTTAATTTTTATTATCGTTATTTTTAATTTTAAATATGAATAAAAAAATACTTACAAGACTACAATTTCCAGATCACCAATAACTGGTATGGGGAAGATAATACCAGTATTTATTATTTTCTCTATACCTGTCAATTTAATTGTCATATATTAGAGAAAACTGCAAAACTTCTGCTATTTACCAGTTTATTTTAAAATATTTCAACTTTAATTTTTTTCTACCACCTATGCTTGCAGAACTGCAACCATTTTTCAAACTTTTTAATGGGTATTGTTTTACGTGTACATGTATTTTTTTAATATATGATATTGATCAACTGTAGAAAGACAACAACATCCTAGTTACCAAATGGTACATGTTTTATTCCATTGAATTGTTTTGTGGCTAATGAGGTGTCAACAAATACAGTTTTATATACTGTAAATTCAGAAATTATTGCGAGGTTTTTATTAATGCGAATAATGTGCCTGGGTGTGTATCGCAATAATAAGAACTCGCATTATGATACCTGATAATATATCTGTGTGCAGATTTTCCTAAAATCGCAATTATTAAATTCGCATTTTTGTCCATTCTTCAAAAATTGCAATAATATATGCACGCAATAATTTCTGAATTTACAGTAATGTGAGCTTGTTGAAGTACAATTATTGTTTTTTTTTATTATTATGACATTATTCAAGTATTCACACTTAAATTACTTTCCTTGACACTGTAGTCAAATAGGACATTGTAACCTCATGCCTTGATGGAACTAGAATACATTGCCCAGGAATACATCCAAATCCATTCTATGAAGTGTTTAAAACAACACAATTATAACTTTAATTTCAATAAACATTCATCATTCAACACTGATAATAAATAGTAAGTAAATTTATTGTCCATAATAAAAAAATTATCAACGGTTAAAACCAGATCTTTGGTAGTCTCAGTTGACTTTATCGAACTAAGTGTGTTTTAAAGATTTAAATATGGTATAGACACTTGTTTATTGTTTAAAACTTAAACTTTGACCTCTAGATGAAGATTTGGTTTTATGGTGCTGTTACATTGCTGTCTCATTGACATACTACAAATATTCTTTTGATATGACAAAGAGCTATGTGAAGTGACAAAACATAATTAGTGGCTCAACTGCCTCTGTCACAGGATTAACATACCATCAAAATCTAGTTTAGGAAGCTGTATTTCTCCCTTAAACACATCAAATCCGTAGCTGAACTTGAAAGTACATGGGTTAAAATTAGCATAAGCTTTAACCACTCTGAGAAACATGGATATTTTGACATTCATGCAGCATTCTACAGCCATACAATCACTGGAGAAGATACAGTATACTTTCTTTGGCAATGTGAAAGACATCAATGGACATTCTGCAAAAAAAAAATAATAAAGTTATAAGACCATTATATAAAATTGCAAATATAAAATAGATGAAAAAGGGTTAACTGGTCAAATCAACACTAAGTCACTAACATCTAAGACTTTTTTTTCTTACATTTGGTTTTTCTAAAATATAACATAAAATACATTAAAAATTATAGGTTCGGTGCTTCTTTATTTTAGATGTTTGTGTCTGAGGAATTACTTCCAGTACAAAGCATTGAATAAAGGTAAACATAAAATTAATGATTTGTCAATTGCATTTTGAATACATAGTTATGTCAAATGAATCTCTTTTGTCTTTAAGGAAATACTACAACAATAGACTTGCTACAAGTCCTTTAAACTGTTCTCAATCAACAACTTGTTAAAACATTTCCTATTATGGAATTGTAATACTGTGGATTCATTTATAAGATAAGATAAGACCAGAAAAAATTATCTTAATCGGCATAAGTCAAATATACAACACAAGCTCTAAGGAGCTTTCTCATGGATTTAGGGAAAATAGTATTTCCATGGATATTTAATTTTGTGATTTTGATGAAGTCTGCATATACATCAATAGAACATTTGTACTTAGTTTAACATTTAAATTTGTGGTTTATCTTTACCCATGAAATCACAAATAAATAAATCCCCAGTACCTTTACTAATAATTCTTTTATAATGATTGCCCTGGAATTCTTATATGTTTTGAGCTCTTGCCTTAATAAGTATAAAGGCAATCATTTCTTATTGCAGTATGTTTGTAGATGGAGTAAAGAAAGGTAAATTAGCAATGGACATGTAGCAATTCTATAAACAACAGTTACATACGGTTATCCTGGTCCATAATTCTTTTAATCATTTGGGCTCTAGTTCCATTGATTGGTTTCCCTCTTTCCTGTAGTGTCTGTTTGATTTGTTCATCTGTCAGTTCATGTGGGTTGAAACATGGCTTGTTGTCAATTATTGCCTGCAAAAACAGAATTTACACAATTTTTAAAAAAGATGCTACTTATATCTATATATCATGGTATTTCAATCATATGTCAACTTTTACACCTGATCAAATTTACAATTTGCCATTTCAGAATTCTAATGCATTCTGGGTAATGTTTTCAAAAGTGTAGACCAAAACGTTGTGATTGGCTAACAACTTCCAAAACAATTGAAATTCAACCAATGAGGTGATGTAGTTTTCATTTTGGGGTCCTTTAGATTCTGAAACAGCGAATTACCTTACCATAAAATAGTACTTACTGGCAGGGTATATATTTTAATGGACTTCTTGGGTCCCCTTCATCATAAATCTAAATACAAGATGATATGGGACTGTGCAAGAATTGGTTTCATGCCATGTATTCTCAAATCTTTTTTTATTTTATGTACATGTATTTCTTTGCTGTGTTTGCTATTGGATGGTAAGAAAACAGCAATCATGTACAAACGAGTTTAAAAAAATATAGAAAACTTCTAATATAATGATATTTTATAACTTCTAGACAACCAAACCAGCACAAATAAAATTAAGATAAAACAAATCACAATCCATGTATTAAATTTGGAATTTTGAAATTTCATATAATCACTAACCTGCAAAGTTTTGAGAGCTTGAACAAACTTTGCTCTGCTGTCGGTCATGCCCAATTTGGTTAAAAACTCAATTATTGTCCCCATTTTCAGTCTACGTAAAGAAAACTTCTTCATAAAGCTGTCTGCTTTCGCCATCAGGGATGCAAATGGACCTAAGAAATACATTCAAATAATTAATCAATGATGAACAAATTGATAATAAAATAATACTCAAAATTTAAATCCAATAAATTCCAATAGCGACTTTTGTTGAAAACAATAATGTTTCCTTTCAGCAAGAACTAGTTCTGTATAAAAAAAATTCTTGAAAGAGGTAAAATTTAAACAGCTGCTAGCTAGTTTTCTTCTAACAGGATATTCCTTTTTTTTCAAATAAGTGCTATAACACTTTAATGTACAAATTTAATTCGGACATTCAAAATTAAAAAAAAAACTAAAAGACAATGTGTGATAAAAGTAATCGAATCCACAATTATAAATCAGTTTCCTAACTTAAATTGTCTCCATAGATTAAAGAATTACTTAAAGAGTTGCATAAATATATATCTTCATGTCAATTATTCTTAATACAAATGATGAAAACATCACTATGTACTACCTAACATTGCATATTCAATTGAATTGTACCATAAAATATCGAATGTGTCATAGAGACAGCAACCCATCCAAAGCGCAGATAACAGCCCAAAGCCTTCAATGCAGCAAAACAATCCAGCACCCAGAGGCGGGGTTCAGCTGGCCCCTAAACAATTAAACATACCTTTCTTCCCGTTTTTGGAGTCATCAGGTAAGTTGTTTGCATTAGCCTTAGTTTTGGAATACATTCCATCTGGGTTACCTATAACAAAATATTATTACATCTAAGTTTATAATGTGTGTAAATATACATCTTTTTTATTTATTATGATTGTAAAAACTGTTTATGCATGTGTACTCAAAACAGCACCAAAAAAAAAACAAATTTGAATACAAACGTAACATAATTTCTTCAAAGATTCTGGAAATCTATTTCTTTTATCTTTAAAATAGCAAACATTATGTAGACATCTTGGGAACTTTGTCACTCATAAATATTCTTTGCAATCATCAATAATGATTGTCAGAAATTAAATGTCAGAAGCCCAAAATTCTAATTTTGTATTTCTAAGATTTCAAATGACATGACTGTTGCTTGTTTAATGTTCACTGGCATAAATTACAATGTAAAGTTCACACTGCTGCTTATACTGCAATTTTTTATTTTGTTTTTTTCCTAAATTCAAAAAATGATAAAAGCAGTGGAAACATACTTTTAATGGTGTCTGCTTCTGCCCCTGGGTCTTGACTAGGTGCCGGTGCAGCAGGTGCTGTAACTTTACTTGTGTCTAACTTTGGACTGGTGTTATTTTGAGCCTGTCCACCAAGTCCCACAATTACTCCAGCAGCTATAGTCTCAAACTGAAAATGAACATCAAGTGTTATTAATGTTAACTTGTGTCTTCAGAAGGTGTCAACCCTATTCCTACACAAATCCAAATGTTGTCATCTCACAGAAGCCTCTACCAGTATGTAATTAACTTGACCTTTACAGCTTGTCAATAGAGTTTTACAATAACTTCACCTTTTTAGGTCTTAATCAATTCATTGATAATAAGGGTTCATTTCATTTTATCTGTTCCAAAAGATGCAAGTTCTCATCTGAATAACGGAATTGAAATAAATCTTGCCATGTTATAATGCCTCTAACTGTTGTGAATAAATAACTTAATGCCATCCATTTTTTAGATTAAATTTTTTCAATATGTCCATGCTTTTCATGAGTTTCTCACTCAATACATTGTCACCCTTGTTTATTGTTAAAAAGTAAGTTTGGTCCAAATGGTGGAATCAAAAGGAGAGTGCACTGTATTTACTTACCTTATAAACTAATTTGTAGTCATCACATGTTTGTATCCACTTTGGAACTTCAAAGAATCTTGGAGACAGGAACTTAGTAGGATCGACAGTTCCATTGCCTTTCATCATGGCAAAGTGGATACTGTTGAACGGATAACAAGGTGACTGTTTTGCAGTACCAATGGGAGCTCCTGCAGCAATCTATTAATAACAAAAACATCATGTTATTTGGGTTCAACAGATGACATATGGGGTCATTAATGGACAAACTTATAGCATGTAGACTCAAACCTGAACATTAACTGAAAACTGTAGAGGAATCTTTACTATAATTTATCTTGTAATTTTTTCAGGTAGTTTGAGAAATGAAACTAAAACAATTAAACAAAAAATATTTTGTTTAATGCAGTTTCAATCATACTATTATCAAAAACATAATATAAAGTAGAGGTTACCATGCTTTTTTTTTCAAGCTACATGTTTTGCAGAATTCTGCATATTCTGTAAGGATTATATTTCTAATCTTAAGCACTACTAAGGGCCTTGGTGACCAAGTGGTCTAAGTAGTTCAACTACTGTATCAATATCCTGTCAGCACTGAGGTTGTGAGTTTGAATCTCGCACATGGCAGGTGTGATCAACTTCAATCTTCGTTGACTAAGATCGAAAATTATCCTACAGAAGGTCGATGGGTTTTTCCAACCTCCTCTACCATATAAAAATTGATCGCCACAAAAAAGCCAACAGTGCTGAAAGTGGCGTTAAACACCAATCATTCAATCCATCAATCAAAAGGACTTGTATGTATTCAGATAAAAATTCAAATGATGGAATTTTGAAATACATTTGAGAAGATTGCTCTTAGAAAATGCTTTGAGAAAATATAAGGAATTAAGAATTCATGAGGATGTGTCCCCTTCTATTGTAGGTGGGGGCATATAAATTGTCACCATATTATTTTTTCAGTTTTTCTTAATAACAAAAATACAGTTAAATCTATCATAAAGCTGTATAGCAAAGTTATTTCCTTAAGTAAACTTACCCTGTTCTCAATGTAAAGTTGGTTTGTTTTATGCAGAATAGTTGTATTGACTTTAACACCATTTATAATAATCTTTATTCCCTTTAAGGCAGCTGTGTTTGCCTCAATGATGACCTCATCAGGATTGTCTCCCTTATAAACAAGTCCAGGAAATGGAGCAATCACCTGTAACAAATATTTATAACTGTTAGTTTCAATAATTTACATATTTCACATTAAAACATATTAAATATAATTTCAAGATCACATATATGTTGAGACTATAATATCTGAAACAAACAAAATAATAAAGCATAGCCATAGTGTCTGATGCTATAACTTTTCACTTTTATATACACTCCCCCATAAGTCAAGCACCACCCATATTTTTAATCATAAGAAATTTTCATACCCAAAAATTAAATATATTTGAATAAGAGTCAATTGTGTTGACATTGGTTGAAAAAAATGTAAATCTTGTGCAATATAAAAAATATAAAAATAGGGTTCTTTATGCTTTCTTCGTTGTAAAGGGAACTTTCCATTTTACGTTAAAAACAACATTTAAAATCACAATAAAAAGTTTTAATTTGTTCATCATTTTCATTAATTTCAAATAATGATACAATTTTCAACTTTTCAGAAAAAAAAACAAGTATACATTTAGTGTCAAATAAGGTTAATTATCATCATCAATTAAACATCAAAGGACATACATTATATAAGTTTCTTTCCTATCCTCCAACATTTATTTAAATAGATTATACTTACTATCTTTCCAACATCAATTTCAAGGTCCACCCCTTCTACAGCATATTCTGCTTGGCCACCTTTTTCCATCGTTGAAGGATAAAAACCCTTTCCGCTGCAAGGCCCTGCATCTAATCTGTACAGTCTTGGAAAGTCCTTGTGGCATTTGGGTCCAAAAATTGTGTTAATGATAGACTGTCCAAATTCATATCTGAAATAATGTTAAATTGTGTCATTAATATATGTATTTTATGAAATATTCATATGTGACTTCAGAAAAATACATAAAAATCTAAATATGAGCATATCCTTATTTTATTAAAATATTATTAAACAACCTTATGGAAGATAATGATGTAGTTCAATGATCTTTTGGATTATTTATGTATTATTTTGTATAATATGGTAATTATGACATGTTATGATATCAACCTGACAATTTAGTACAGAAATAGTTAGATTATATAACTGCATTTATTCAATAATTTACAAAATTTTATGAGGATAACAAAATTTGTCTTACTTAATGGTTTAAATGTCAGGTCTTAAACTGAAAACTTCAATTAAAAAGAAATTTTCAAGTACAATTTTTCTGAAACTTCCTATCTTTAATAACAGTGAAAATAATGCCAATAGCTACAGACATTTATATGATAATTCGAAAGATAACTACCACCAGACTATTTCCCATCAATCATCAGTCCTTGCAAGCTTGAAGACCAGTATAGCTGTTTTATCCCTATGCTTTGTTTTCAGATAATGGCAACCATATTAGTTGGCTAACACCCTAAGCTTGTTAGTCAAATCCCTACCTATAAATGTTTCTCCAAAAAGTTAAAACAAAAGTGTTTTAAACAGAACTGACTTAAAACATACCCTTCCTTCAGTATTGAATATGCCTCTTTCACTTTTTTCACTAGACTAAAGAAATCTCCATATTTTTTCATGAATTTATCTGCCATTCCTCTCAGATCATCAAACGGTTCCAAAAGTTCATCGATAATGTTAGTTAAATTATCAATGATCTGTTCTTTTATTTGTTGCTGTAAATAAAAGAATAAAAATATTAAATAAGCTATATGATAATAAAAGCTTCTAAATACAGATGGACATATATAGATGATGATGATGGATGGCTATTAAACGTCCAGCGGCTAATTAAATGCATATTCAGGACGAGAACATGTTTACGCAATATGAATATAAGCTCTCCTTTAATATAGACTGTCATGCTGAGCCAGATTTGTTACATGCTAGTTCACAAGGTGACAGTTCATAGGAAGATATTTCAACCTATGCCAACACATTACTGATAATTCTGAAATTATTGCATGAATTTAGTATTACGATTGCTGAACAATTTACACTAATGTGATTTAAATTATTCCAATTTCAGGAAAAACTGCATATAAATGATGCTATCAAAATTTAAAATACAAAGTTTTGTTTTTATGACACCCATCTTGTCACAATTTTTCAATAATCAAACCATTGCAAAAATTTCTGAATTTACTGTATTCTGACTCGGGGTCGACCAGTCTTTGCTCTTTCTCCATTTAAATGAGCTTGTTCACAAGGTTAGTGTGAAGGAAGTCATGTCTTGGCTTAACTACTAAATGTAATGTGCTTTTACAGAGATAATGCAAATATCAATTTTCAAGTCTCCATTTTTCTCCCACTCTTGAGGCAAGCACTATTATGAGACCATTGAGACAGTCAACAGTATTGCAAATACAATTTCTTTGATATCAGCTTTATTGCTGACTCAAAATATACCAAACCCCAGAAAATCACTTCATAGGACTGATAGGTCTAACTTACCTGCGAAACTTTGCCTTTAGTGAATTTTGCAACAGGATCGTCTCCTTCAATAACAGTAGTTGCTATCCAGTTTGGTCCACCTTGAGCCAAGGCTTTTACGGCTTGTTGTGAAAGAGCCCAAATTTCCTCAAAAACTGTTGTAATATCCCACCAGTATGGTTTTTCATCTGCAAAATAAAACATATTTTAGTCACAAATGACATCTGATTCAACCAACAACTGTATTTGACTCACAGACCTTTTAATAATCTCCCAGTTCCAAAAACTGGATTCACCTGAGCCATGCTGCTAAAAGTTAACAGGAAGTAATATGACCCAGAAAAGCAAATTTGGTTATTTTTATGTTTTCAGTGTCTTCAACATTGTTACAAACCTTGACCTTAGTTACAAACCTTGACCTTAGTTACAAACCTTGACCTTAGTTTAACTGTGAATAAAGATAAAAGGAGGATAGACTAAATTATTTTATTCTCATTCTGTATTTTACAGGAACTTTTTTTGTATATAAACTTACCTTTCAAAAAGAAGCAGGCTTCTTGCGTTTTATTCTTGGCATCAAGTAAGGCCTTTATAGACATAAAAATTCTGAAAAAAAAAAAATGCAAATGAGGAGCAGAAACGTTATTATGGTCTTTTATTTAAAAACAACATTTGACACAATTTAAATGTCTTCACCAATATTGCAATTTTTTAAAAGGTCAACTAATAAAAGTATGATAAGAATCTAGCCAAATCCCTTTTTTTACTTGTATCAATATTTCATAGAACTTTATGTATCAATATTTCTTAGAACTTTATGCATTGCATTACTTTCATGACTTGTTAAGATAGTTCTACAGCCACACAATTATTAGCAGTTATGTATTGAATTTGAGTATACTCACTGTACAACGCCTTTGCCAATCTTAACTAAAGCTGTCTTAGGATCTTTCATTATGACCTTGAAACCATCAATGATATCAACGATACTTTCATAGATTAATTTGGCATTCTGTGGAATTATAACAGTGATAGTCTGCACCAATGTCTGAAAGATAAAAATATATCATAAAAAAAACATTTCAGGCTTTAAATATATTTATTTGTAGAAATGACACGGGTAAACAATTCTGTTTCTTTTAAAAAATTAATCAAATAGTAAATAAAACGAAGTTACTGCAACTATCTTTCCTCACCTTGACATTGCTTCTGGTTTCAAGTAGGATCATCTATATATAACTTAAAATCAACTTACATTATAAAAGTTCATGATATCTGTTTTAACATCATTAAAGACTGTTGTTACTTTCACAATCAGATTTCTGAGTGGTCTTAAAAATGGAGGTAACTCTTCCTCATCGAGCTGTCCTAACATTTTCATCACATTGGCTGCTTTGTCTCTAAGACCCCAAACCTGTTAAAAATAATTAAGACAAACATAAGAATTCTCCAATACAATCAAATAAACTAGACATAATGTAAGAAAGACTTGAATTTAAGATGAAGATATAGTACCTAATATCTGTATGGTCTATCGTTATCATCATAAACCATATTGACCAAATTTTCTAAAGATACAATCTCTGAAATCTGGACCTTAAAAAAAACTAAATCAGTCATTGATAATTGAGATCAGAGTGCCCTAATTTTTAAATGAGTCTGTTTTATTTTAACACTTGCCCACTGACAAAATATCATTTCTATATGGCAATGATCTAAACCTTTAATCAAAACTTTTAAAAAAATCAGTAATTTATAAAATGTAGGTCATTGCGACTTAATTTACATACATTCCTTCATTGATATCAAAACCATATGCAAAAAACAAAACATCCTTCTCCCTATTTCTACAAGACTGTAGCAAACATCCTTCCCCCTTTCTACCCAACTCTGCAGCAATCATCCTTCCCCCTTTCTACCCAACTCTGCAGCAATCAATTTTTCCCGATTTCGTTGATGTATTTATATAGGGGGAGACAAGTTAGACATATTAAGGTCAAATTATATTCCCTTAATTTTTGTACTTGAGAAAGTAAATAAATATCTTGCACAATTACAGTATTTTTGTTTTTTAGTTAACTCCATTTTGAATATTTACCTTGCCAGGTAACTCCTTCAAGGCATCTATGAATTCATTAACAATGTCTTTGATGCTTATTTGACCACCAATGAGGTCTTTAAACAACCTCACTCCTGTTTCGATACCATCAACAATCTCTTTCACTTTCTTGTCAAACTGAGTGGCCAATTGAGCTATCTTCTTCATGTCATTTTCCTAAAAGTAAAACAACAATAAAATCTCCTTGACAAGTCATGCTTATACCAATATATAATATTAGGGGACAATAATTATTGTTGTTCTGAACATTTTAAATTGGAAAAAAACATAATAACCAAATTGCACAAAATACTATAGAATAGAAATTGAATATCTGAATATATCCATTCAGTTTTATACACGTTTTTTTCAATGAATACTGTAAATTCAGAAATTATTGCGATGTTTTTATTATTGCGAAAAATGCGACAGGGTTATCATCGCAATAATTAAAACTCGCAGTTTGAAATTTTTAGATGAATCAAACAGGATTTTTCTAAATATTGCAAAAATTAAAATCGCATTTTAGTCTAAAATGACAAAATCGCAATAATAAATGCACGCAATAATTTCTGAATTTACAGTATACAAGTTTTTCAGGGAAAATATTAAACTGTTGTCAAAGTTAACATGTTTTAAAATAACTGAGGTCAAACTTAACACGTTTAAGCAATTTGCATAAAAAAAAATGAAAAGATGACATCAAAACAGTGTGAATACAGATGCCTACATATAACTCTATAAAGTACAATGTCCAACAAATCCCTTGTATATGTTTCACAGATGAACTTTAAAAAAAAAATGCCTCTTATCCTTTTCAATTTGATTCTCTTTCAAATATTTATCATATTTATAACTACCGGTGATAAAATATACATTTTGTTAACCTTAAAATAAACAATTGTTTAACTGACAATGTTTGATAAACCATCAAAATACTGGGGTTTTTTTTTATCCAACATACTTGTAAAATATTCAGATTGTACTGGGTGCCTCCTTTAAAACAAAGTCTGGCTACAAAGAAGTCCAAGTTGAAGTCCAAAATTCCAAGTAGTACTCTGGCATAGGCCTCATCGTGAACATTTATTCTCAAATGACCACTTAACGGCTCTACAAAAGATATTACATTAATGTTTAAAAAATACATATTTTCTATGAAATCTGACCTAAACTTTGTATAGAACAACTATTTCTTCATTAAAAAAAAACTTTAGAAACCTATAAATTGAATATTTTAGGTGGGTAAAATTCAAATTTCCCAAACCAATATTTTCCCCTAACAATGCGGCCTTTTCGTTTTTTTAAATTACACCTAGTGAACATGAGGATGAAAATAACTAATTCAATACAAATCTAATTAATTTGTTGCTCTTTGACCTTGCTTGCTCCTAAAATTCCATAAAAAAAATTAATTATAATTATATCACCTTTTTTTCAAAACTGGAAATTCTAATATAGATTTAGAAGATGTTATAATATTTCAAGCTGTTTATCATTCATCTTAAATTGAGGGAAAAAACTTTAATACTGCTCACTCACCATGCTCACAACCATTTTATGTAGAAAAAAACAAAATATTAAGAACAACAAATTTTTTGGTATGACTATTCAATGTCATTTGATGTGATGCACATTTCAAATGGATAAGCATATCTCACAAATACATTTGTATTGTTTATATGAGAGAGAGGGAGAGAGAGAGAGAGAGAGAGAGAGAGAGAGAGAGAGAGAGAGAGAGAGAGAGAGAGAGAGAAAACAGAAGATGTTTGGAGTTTCAGTAGTTGGAAAAACTTTACAACAAGAAAAACTTCACCAAAAATTGTTGCTCACTAAATTCATTTTTTAAAAATCATTTTTAATGTTTAAAGAAATTGATTAGCAGCCTTCAATATGCAAATGTGCATGCAGGTACAATAATTTATAAATTTTGTCAGTCATTTTGTTTACTTTCTTGTAAAGAATGAAAAAAAATTCTTGCTATTACAATAATGATTATAACTTTGGCTTCATTCATTTTCAAACATTCAAAATGCCCAATTGGCTTGTTTTCAGGTATTTATTAGATCATGATATAATTGAGTATTTCCATATATTTTAAGTCATCCCTCAATGTCAAATACTCCTAAGAGTATGTGATATCTGCAGTACCAGAGGTCTTTAAACAAAGAGGTGTGTAAATGCTATATTTCTAGCCAAAATAAAAATGGTGAGAACTTACCAATTTTCAGATCCAGCATGTTATACATGATAATACCAAATGCAGCACCTATAGATTCAGATCCCAACATTTTTCTCCAATCAACACTTGGAGCCTCAAGTCTAAAGTTTATCTTAGGAAACTTTTCCAGAAAACCCAAGTCTCGTTTTTCTCTGCGATGAGGTGCTATTTCCATAATTCCAGACTCATATGGATCAATAATACCAGTTCCATTAACTTCTTCTCGCCTGGATAAAAATATAATTTTTTTTTTAAAAAACACTGAAATTCAGTAATCTATATAGGCACTTTTTGATTTAATTGGACAATTTCAGTAATAAACCAACTAATTTTAATGCCAGTACCAAGTCAGGAATATGGCAGTTGTTTTTTCACTTGTTCCGTTGATTGATGGACAGTCTTAATGGACTTCCCCTTTTTTTAACTTGCCTGGAGGTCAGCACTTTTGCTATACTTTTTTTCAAAGTCCTTCTTTCTTAAACTTACGCTTTTAAAGGTGTTATAATCCTTGCTTGAGGATGTGCCTGATACTGCAATAAAGCCTCGTAACGGACCTCATCATTTTCATCATACATGGCAGCTTTATACATCTCATCAGCAGCCTGAAAAGAAAATGTGATGACTTATTGCCGTACTTTTTTATGTATGTCAAGGTAATGACAAAAACAGTTTTATATGTCCATAACATAGATGGAATTTAGTTTGTTACACTTTGTTAAACTTTTATAAGTTTGAAAATCATCTTAAAAATAATTTGGATCATGACTTTAGAACTGTTTCTAAAAAGAGAGACAACTAAAATTTATTATTAGTGAATGTTAAGACTTAAAATAATTCAATTCGTTCTGTACAGGAAGTAACTCTTGATATCCATTTTTTATGAAAAGCATAGGTTTCATAGAAAAAAACTTTGACACTGAAACAAATGAAAACTTAAATTAAACAATATATTGATGTTTTCTTCAACATTTTCTTGACCATTTAAGCTAAGTTTACGCAAATTACAGTATATGTACAAAATTGGAGATTTTTTTAATGTCTTTTTGTAAAACCTGCATAAAACTCACCATTTCATGTTCATATTTCCTAAGAGCATGAACTCCAGCTCTTTTGATCCAAGCTGAGTTAGTTGAGTTGATATGTGATACAATATATTCAAAAGAGAAGTCCATTCTGGCATTTCCAAGTGTTTCTAACAGAATCACTCTCCAATGGTCGTAATCAATCTGCTCCTGTTCACTCTGAATTGCTCTTTTCTTTCTGTATTCAAATGGATCTAACAAAATATACAAAAAATATTTATGTGAAAAAATTGAAGCAGATTTAATCAATTTAACCCCTATTGTAGGGATATCCTCTGAAAAAGGGATGGTTGTTATGAAAGAACTCAGGAATTATCATTTCTTGCATTTAAGAAAAAACAAATATAGATAGGTTCAAAACACAAAATAAAGATATTACCATGTATTCCTAGCCATTGATGAACTCGTACAGTTATGCTGATAGCTTCCTCTTCTCGACCCACTTTTGATAACTTATGTGACACTGAGCCAAGACAGAGCAAGACCCTTTCATGGAGATCCTCTTTGTACATTTCTTCTGGGTGGTTATCTTTGTTAAATACAAGGTCTTCCATTGCAGCTATGATATTCTAAAATAAGAATGAATCAAGCTACAATTTATACTTTTCTAAAATAAATAAAATCATATCTGGGGTATATGTCAATGAGACAGCAGCCCAACGACACAAGAAAACAAAAGAAATCTAGAGGTCAATATAGTTTTTAAATAATAGACAGGTGCCTATTCAATATTTGTAACTCTTAATCACCTCTAGTCTTAAAGGTCATGAATAACTTTACAGCAATTACTGTGGATTCATTATTATTTGTGGATTTGGTGGAAAAATGTGAAACACAAATTTAAATGTTCAACGAAGCACAAATTTTCTATAGGCTTGTATGCAAAATTTTATTAAACCGTGAAATCAAATATCCACAAAAAGACAATGTTTTCTTAATCCATGAAACTTCGTACCCACGAAATATACGATTCCAACATATCAAAGACCATCCATCAACACAAAGTTTTCACAATAGTACAAGAAATATAGCGTATATCATAACACAACTTTTATGTAAAGTATTTTTTTCAGAAATTATATAAGAATGATAATAAACAATGTCCATGCATTTTCTGTAAATCCTGTCTAAAAATAAATATTTATGAATTCATTTTATTGTTAGACTGAGGTTTGATATAATCAGATTAATATTCACTAATTGCATTTAAAGCAGTCAATCTACAGGTTTAGTTTCGACAGATTTCAGCTTTACACAACATTTTTATCACTTTAATGTTATGAATAGTTTTTTACAGTTCTTTAAAATATAGCTAATTTATTATAAACTTTGTGTATTAAGTTCAATACATACATCATGTGGTGGATTGTCTTTTCCTACAATGTGTGTCAGCAGCCTTAAGATAAGTGTAGGCTTAGGATCAGGACTCTTTAGAATATAATCTGCCAGGAGGTTCTCACTGAAGTTTGTATAGATGACTCCAAAGGCATCCAACATGATGTTCATTGCTCCTACATACCTTGAACGACTGAAAAATAAGCCAATTTAAATAAAACAAAAGCAAATAATTCATTTGAACCAAACTTATGTTGGTAAGGACAATTCTCAGTTTCATGCTTAAATGGGTTTTTAAATAGTTATTTCTTCTGGTTGTAATTCAAAAACTAATCACAACAGTAAAGCACAGGAAAATTCATCAAAACTAATTCTACATTAATATTTTGAAGTAAAACTGTTTTAATGAAAATTTTTAATAAACTTAAAATTTACACTGCTATCTCTATATCACAATACAATTAACTTTGAGGAGGAATGTGACTTACTCTGATTTCAGTTCTACGAAGTAGTAGTTAGCAAGCTTCACAAGTTCGTCTTCAGGTATTGATTTCAGTACATCGACTATCTTGAAGAAACAAGCATTTGCTACCAATGTACGACCTGTAAATAAATAGAACATTTTTACATCTAATCTGTTGGAGGTTTACTAGCTGATATCTTTGCCTGGGAGAACATGATTCATTTATTAGTTGAATTTGACATTGTTTAAATGAGATTTATTATGATTATTTTTTCTGTCGTTATGATATATTTACCATTTTCAGGCTGGGTCCACATACAGGTTATATTCCCTTTGATGTACTGCCAAGCTTTAGCCCTGTCAAGCATGGGTATTTTTCTTGTCATCTGAAAAAAGATAAGATAAAATTCCAATACATGTATTAGACCATTGGAGCTGATTTTTTTTTTAAATTAAAGTATCACTGTATTACTTGTTCAATGATTTCCTTAAATTAATTGATTGATTGTTGTCAATACCAAGTAACAAATATTTCAAGCATTTTCAGAGAAAAAACAAAAAAAAAGCTAGACTGCAAAAAGCTGATGTTTAACCTTGCAACCATCAACCTGAGTCAATCTAGAGTCAATGAAAAGGTTGTTAATTTGCAGAGAAGGGTACGCTTAAAACTCTAGGGATTATATTTTATGTCCCTATTCAAACCATATGATGAGCATCTCCAAAAATAGTTTATATTTCTCAAATATCATGTGACTCTACAACATTGTTGTTGCTATTTCCATATTTGTGTCCATATATATCATTTCAGTATTGATCATCTTTCTTGAATTATTTAGCATCAAAGGCTCAGGTGATAAAGAACTTGCCATATGAGTTGATTGCTAATACTCTTTGAATGTTGTATGACCTCCAGATATATACATCTTAGAAAAACTTATGATGTTGGGTTGCTGTCTTACAGAAGTTAACTTATATCTCTCTTCAGTCATACTGTGGATTCATTTATTTTCATTGAGAAGCAAGAGCTACACTATCCAGACATTCGTTGAACGTTTTATGATAAATAAGCATGATATACAATATAAGGTTCTGACCTTGGTTACATGGATTGTTGATTCTTCTAATCCAAGCATTGGTTTAGTGACAGCATCTCTTTCAAACCTTCTTGTCAGATATGATAGACTTCCTTTACTGATGGCTTTCATCTCAGGAAATTCTACAAAATCGAATTATTTACACATATTAAGAATTTCACCTCTGAACTTAAAAAGTTAATTGAAATTTAAGTAGTTCTCTTTTTTCGCTCTTTTTTTAAATATTACATAACTTATTTTAAGTGAATGATAAAACAAAGAAAATCATATCTTTCAATCAACAGAAATAAAAATAGATTATTGAAGGAACTTCGATAAACTGGTTAAAATGTATAAATTCTCAGAGAAGTTTATTAAACTTTCTCTAATTCTTCGTCAATATATCCCTTTCTGCACCCATTGTATAAAAAAAATTTAATCAATGTATGGTTCCTTTGATCTCAGTTCTTCATTGGTTAAAATCAAATTATGACTTCGAATTTTCTTGCTTTCCTCTGAATTTCCTATTGTGACGGCATGAAAAAAGGCAACCATGCCTGATGACGTCACATAGAAAGAGCACATCTTTTTGCAGATCAGTCGAAAAAATGAATAAATTTGCCTGCGTATTGTTTGAAAATCATTAGAGAAACAGATTCCACCACCAAATCTCGTGTAATCGATATTTATCCACTCTCGACAGTTAAATTTTAAATATTTGAAAAATTTAACTGTCTTGAGTGGATAAATATCGTATCACACTCGATGCAGTGGTAGAATCTATATATAAAGCTTATGACAACAAATATGTATATGCATTAGTGAGGCAAGAAAAATATATCTTGAGACTCCCTTTTCATAATTTTGTTTGCCAGACAAGTTTTACATAAAAAAAAAAATTATCAATCTAAAAAGACTTGCTTTTTACCATATTTTGTAGATTTCTCTGAAAGGATGAAATAATTTGAATATAATATATATGCAAAATTGAATAAATGAAGCTCACAAAAGAATATTTTAAAATGAGGAGAGCAAATGTGTGAGGGGAGAAAATGTTCTTATATTTTGTACATATGTATATAAAAACTTTGGCAAGGCAACAATGTGTAACCTTAACCAAATTATTTCAACTAAACTACAATTCATTAATGTATAGGTAAACCCTAATTGTAAGTAGGTTTTTTAAATAATAATTCATAACAGTCATCTCTTAATTTTTAATTTCAATACATACCCATGGAACTGAATTCATTGACTGCTTTAATTTTCCTCATTCCATGCAATGCATTAAACCTAGAAGTGAAAAAATAGATCTTATACTTTTTTCTTGTAATTCTGTTAGTAATATATATTTGGTTTGCCATATTTAAACCTATTCACTAGTTTAATTTGATGGTTTGCCTCATTTCCAGTGGCAAGTATTTCAATCATTTTCAGAATAACTCATTGGATTCATTATTATTTGTGGAGTTACAAATTTTATGGACTTCATGGACATAGGTAAACCAGGAATTAAAATGCTCAATAAAGTATTAATCTATATAGGCTTTAAAGGTATTTTTGGCAAATCCACAAAATGAAAATGGGGTTATAATGATATGAAAAAGACCATGTCTTAATCTGTATCTAAATTAAATCATGAAGACCGAAGGCTCAGAAAGAAATGAATCCATACTACCATAATTCTAACTTATTTTCTGACTTAAGACATCCCATGATTTATAAAACAAGTACTTACTTTGCAGAAGGTCTAGTAGGTGATACGAAATCTTCTTCTATTAAGACACTGTGTATAACTTCAAGGTCTTTGTGGTAATGCATCACCTGTAACAACCAACAATATTTTTTTCAAAGGTATGTTTAAAGCCTATGGTAAATTGCTGAGATTTCCAAGATGTTAGGAACAGGATACTATTTTCCCCTATGCCAGGATGCTTATCTTGATGCAATAAGTGACAGAAACAAGATGTAGTTTTACCTACCCTTTGCCAGGAAGCTTTTTGAATTATTTAGAAAGATCATTGAAAATGTCATTCAAACTACTGCAAAATGCAAATACATGTATTTACAAAATACTGTAAATTCAGAAATTATTGCGAGTTTTTTATTATTTCGAATAATGCGACTGGGTGAATATCGCAATAATAAGAACTCTCATTTTGATATCTGATACATATATATGTATGGAGATTTTCCTGAAATCGCAATAATTAATCTCGTATTTCTGTCCATTCTCCAATAATCGCACTAATAAATGCATGCAATAATTTCTGAATTTACAGTATTTATATTTCAGTTGAATGCTGCAACTTTCCTGTTATATATTTTATAATTCTTATCTCCAGACCACTTTGATATGACTATGTGGTTGAATCTTAGTAAGTTAGTAAATCAGGGCATTCAATCATCTGACCTGAACAATATTACTAGTATCTGAGGTCTATTGGTATTTCTTAACCAACACAAACCCTTGCCGTAGTGCCAAACAAAATTACTTAACTACAGTCTTTGAACAAGTGCTGTTAAAGCAAAGATTTCTTTAAAACTTCTCCAAAAATGACTTTTCCCTTTATTTACCTACTTAATTTTTTTCTGAGTATGAAATGGGAACAATATTATATGTGCACATGTATCTTCTTTTTGTCTAAGCTTAAAAGTTCTAAAATGACACTCACCTTTTGGTATTTTCCACCAGCGTTTTTAACCAGTGGCTCGTGTCGTACTTTAGTAAACTGCAGTCCTGTACTTGTTTCTTTAACAGTGTATGTGGCATTGTGAGGTCCTATAAATAGAACATAACAACATAATCATATTTTATCAAAATAAAGAATAAAGTCAGTAAATATTTCACTGTATGTACAATGAAAAATAAAATGATCTTTACAAACTTCACTAGCAAGTCTAGTGAACAATACATCCAAAATCTATTTTTGATCTCTAAGGTTTTACGCAATTATGTAAAGCATTGTATGTAAAAAATCAACAAGAAGTAGGTTTTCTAATTCTTTTTGACAGTTAAAAGACAATCTTGATGATCACAGGACTCAGCAAACATAATAAGGATGTTTAGGCAGACACATGGATTCATGAAATGACACATCCCGACAGAAAATTGTGCATCTGGAGCTTGTGTAGTCACCTTTAATAACAAGAACCCCAATGATTAGGATATCAGCAGAATAAATCTGCCTTTGAAGATCAGAACTGGTTGTAAAATGATGAATTCATCAATCAGAACTGGTTGTAAAATGATGAATTCATCAATCAGAACTGGTCGTAAAATGATGAATTACACATCAATATTCAATTTTCAGAACTTATTGTAGTATTTGATCATTATTATTTACCTTCATGGCCAAGTTCTTGTGTTTGGTAAGTAAAACCTGCATGTGACTGACTTCCAGATATCTGTAAACAACATAATAGCATATTCAAATGTTTCAAAATTAGACAGATCATACATCTTACTCAAGAAATGTCTATAGATTGACTTCAACATAGAAAACATACTGAGTATATACAGTGTAAAGAAATGAAAGCAGATTTTAAACTCAGTCTCAGATCAACATACACAGTCCTCACTACAGAGCTGTTTATATGACTCTGAAGACTTGATGTCATTTGTTTTTAGGAAAATGTTTAAAATAACTTAAATTTTTGTGGTCAGTTCATGACAAAATTAAAAAGATTCAACATTTTATTTTCTATCCTAAACTTTTGTAATAAAATAATAGCAAAACAATATGGCGGATAAACATGATTAAGGGTTCCATCTTAGAATTCACCAATTTGAACAAGGAGCAACACAGAAATGAGTCCATAAATTTATCCTTTCATGTCATAGTGAGTGGTGGAGAAAATAAGATCAATTCCTCATATTATTATGTTATCCTTCAAAAATTATAATTAATGCATCAGATTAATAGACCATCTTGGAATTCATCAACCAAGAAGATGAGTTCAGCTTGAATTTCATGAGTACAGGAATCTTAGACTTGACATAGTAAGAATGTTAATTACACGTGGCATAAATATTCCAAGATGAAAGCCTTGTAAGCTTCCTGACAAGGTCAAAGGGGGTCAAAAATATATAACATTTATAATTACTTCTCCTTCTTCATGAAGTCTTGATGCCAGAAGAGCAGCAAATCCTTTCTTAGTTGCCAAGACAAAATCATCACCTTCTTCTGGATGGTACACACGTAAAATTTTTCCGTCAGATGTAATCTCAAAAGAGAACCTAAAAAGAAAAGCAATTAGAATTACTGGCTAAGGTTTAGAGCAAAAGGTGTTTTATTTTACTCTACATGTAGCCTGAGTCTAGGGCACTAAGGACACATACATGTATTCCCCCATCAACATGTTCAAGGTTAATCAACATGTTCAAGGTTACAGGAACTTAACATCATGTAATGTATTGTATTAAGCAATAGAACATATTCAGGCAATATTTAGAATTGGAGTTATCTTCCTTTGTTCATAATTGTAGAGAGAATGAATAGATCCCTACTTTCTGCAACTGTTAAATGTAATTTTCAATAAAATAGTACAAACTTACAAATATACATCATTTTGGAGAAATAATATTTATAAATTGCCTAAAATGGTCACGGATATAATCTCAAGAATTATAAAAGGGGGGTTCCTAACCCAGGATAATGGGGGGGGTTTCCAACTATATGTCCCCATTCAAATGCATTGGTCGTCATAAAAAAGGGGGGGTTCCAACCACCAGAACCCCCCCCTCCTGGATCCACCACTGAAAAATGTATCTTAACAGACAATATTTGTATTCACACAAACCCATATATATAACAATCAGAAAAGGTTCAATACAAAGTACATTGCATTATAATACATAAAATATATATATATGACTGTCATATTCCACACACATGATCAAGTAATCAGTTCTCTGTCATTTTGGGTCTCACAAAGGAGGGGATAAATCAGCAAATTAATCTGAATCGACACAGAAATTCCCGGTTCTCAACTGAACATAATATGCATGTCAGCATCGTACTTGATTAGCCTAAATACAAATAATGGAGATGCACAAATATAAAAGTACCAATTTCGTATGAGGAAGAGATATTACAGAAAATATAGCAATTGAAATCTTCTTCAACTGTGTTGCACTTCTGCAGAAGAAAACAAATTTAAAACTGCCTCCTCATCTTCTGTTTATGATGCTAAACTAAATTTAGACTTTTTTAACGAAACGAAACAAAGCGTGTCACCCCTTCTTTTAAGTATACGCAGGAACATATAGACATACTGTTCCAAGGTATACGCGAAATAAAAAAAAATAATTAAAGGATCAAATCTTTCGAGGATTGTGTACTTCAGAGGGTGCAAAGAGCTTACGACTAATATAATCGGTAAAATGGGGTTTTTCTTTTTCTCTCTCTGTATCTGTACTTAAGGTGGATAGGGGGGGGGGGGGGGGGGTCTTCATTGATATCCATAGATTTTTTTAATAATTTGTGAAAATGTAGTTTGCAAAGTTGAAAAATAATGAATCAAACAAAAATATTCTGTTTTTTGTAAAATACAGCCGTAAATATGATAAAATACATAATTTTCTATAGCCTTACACGGAAAGTCTTGCACGTGAATTACATACTACTCTCGAAATTTGCACATATCATTAAAGATTAGGACCAATTGTTATCTGCTATTTCAAAATCCAAGATGGAGGAAGACACCCTAGCTACGTTCTTAACATAACTCACCATTTACTCAAGTCCATATCATGTCCAGGCGCATCTGCAATAGGAATATACATATAAGTGCGTATGGCAAGCGGTCTGAATGGTTTTAAATCTTTCAATACGTGCACAATCAGCATTTTCGATAAAAAATTTTATGGAGACATGAACAGAATGCAGTGCTACCTAACTGAATGTAACTTATTGAAAACATCGAATGTAAAACAAATATTGTTTTGTCAAAGATGTATTTTTATGTTAAGGTCTCTTTTATTTCATCTTTTTATTTATATTTTGTTGTTTTGCGGGTTTTGCGTGTTTGTTTGTTTTTGTTTTTTTAATTCCAAGAAGGAGAGGCCTTACAATATCTTACCTGGATCATTTGCATAAAAGGTAAACGAATAAATTCGTAACAGAATCTCCTGGTAGCCATACTTTTCATCAATATTAGTAAAACTGATCTGTAAGTAAAAGAAAACAAATGATAAAACATCTCAAATCATACACTTTATTCAGAGACATATAATACAATTATCTACTAGTATTATATGTCTCTGCTTTAATCTTTTATCTTGTAGAACGGTTTCTATGTAAAATGATGTTAGGCCTATACATAGCGCCGGTCGCTGATTATGTGAATGTCATGACGTCATTAGTAGAGATTAAGAGTATAAAAAAAGTTTGAACACCAATCAGAAACCATAAAGAAAGAAAGACCAGCAACACCACAGCAAAATAAAAAAACAAACAAAGAAAAGCAAAATTATAGAAAATGTTTTTATAATACTAAGATTTTGATAATTAAGAACTTATTTCCAATTTTCCAATTCAATTCTTCGTTTTAACAACTATTTTTGTGGCAAAACCATTCTGAGGTTGATAATGATAGCGATGAATTTGTTTGTAAACGCCCAGTGGCAAATATAACACGCATATTAGGACGTGAACATGTTACTGTTAAGTGCTATGAAAATGAACCATTCTTTGAATCTGCCGGGGAATAATAACATATATTATGTCCCAGTTTGAATGTACTAGACCGACAAACTGAGTCGGGTTTTAACGAGCTAGTTCACAAAGCACTTGACGATTCGCAAGAAGACATGTCACCCTATATAGACATATTACTCTGTCTCAGAGTTCATTAGTCTATGCTCTAACTCAAAAGTACCGCGTGCTAAGCTAGAAAGTAACAAATACCCATTTATAGTGTGGTTTGTCCGGGTCGGGGATCGAACCCACGACTTCCTGCACTCGAGAGGGACACACTACTCGATAACACCGAGACAACAACAAATATAAAGGTCTGAATTTGGGATTCCCTTTATCTCGCCTTCTATTGACATCTGTCACATGCTAGACAACACAATCGTCTTACAACGTTCAGCGGTCAATATTACAGTGTAATGGGATTTTCATGACAATATATTCAACCCTTCATCAATGTTAATTTTTATTCTATTTATATTGTCACTTTTTTCTTTTTCTTTTATCCTTTACGCTATTCTTCAGTGAAGATACTAGTTATGAGGTTTATCAGTTTCAGCCATTTGTTTACACACCACCACAGCATATATTAAAAAATACTATCTGCATTATATGTTAATTTCCATTACATTTGATTTCTTTTTCTATGATATTATGTTATATGATTGTACATTTCTGTCCATTGTAATTAATTTTGCCGTTCAAAAGGAGAGGAATTTGTATAAGTGACCTGTCACTTGTTTTCCAATCCATGTATTGTATTGATGTACGTATTTATTTATCTGTTTCTAAATAAAATATTGTTTACACTACCAGCACAGCACCTAAAACTATAAATCAGACTTAGATCTAATTTGTTTAGATGGCATTGGCAACTATTTTACATGATCATCCAATCCTCTTAGGACATTACTACAGTATCTTTAAATGCTTATAACATATTTATTTATTTATTCTTTACGTAAAATCAGTCATGTGTTAACATCTTATTTAACAATATTCACGACTGAATAGATTGAACATTTTAACATAAAAAAAACAAATTTAATACTTTCTTGTTGTGATTTGTATTTCAAAATGACACTATATATTTATGATCTATATGCGTAATATAAATGCATTTAAAATACATCAATTAATTGGAGTACACACGTACTAAAAACAATATTCTGAATAAACGTAGGATGCGTTTCAATAGATTTGATGGAAATGACGAAGGAAAACCCAAACCTATATAGTATACTAAAAAAAATCGAATAGATATGTAAGTAAAATCATAATATGGTCCACTGGTTAAAGGCTCAATAAATAGAAATATACATGTTAATCATTTTATTGCGTTACGCAGACATAAATTTACGAGTCAACGATTTCAAATAAATAAATGATTTTTTACACAGTCCTCGAATAAAATATTTGATTCAAGACGTTGATCACTCAGTGCATTGTTCAAATTTAATAATTATAGATCGGGAAATTCCAGATACAATGAACCAAATTTAGGACGTTAACTATTTTTTTTTTAAGATGAATCTCATATATTTTCGGGTAAGTTTCAATGTCTTTAAATCACGATACAACCATTAGGCGATAGGCCGTGATTAATTTCAGATCGACACTGAAAACTACACGTAGCCCACGGTTACCCGCCCTATTGCCAGACTGTAAACCGGGAGATATTGATGACAAAATTATGTTGACAAAAGTTATCATTTTTTTGAGACCAGTATTACTGTCATGAACTCTATTAGCGACAACATATAAATCCTCTTGTATATACAGCGGCTAACATATGGGTATAAAAACACAACTTCACTAAACTGTTAGAGCTCAAGTCTGAGATACGGATCTTCACCAGAAGTGCGTTGGAATAAGCTAATTTATCAGAATTAAGGACGAACCAATTATTTCTAGATGCAACGTATTTAAAAAAAAATACAATACAAATACTAATTTCTGGTTGAACGGTCAGGAAATGACACCATGACTGCGTGCACACTGTCTAATACCACCAGAAATACATTAACATTAATATTTATTATTAACTCTCGAGGCAATCCTTGTGGCATTAAAAATATGTATTAAACTGTTTCTCATGTCCGGTTTCGACTTTAATGTTTGAAATATTTTCGACATAACAGTTTCATTAAAAAAGAAAAATAGTTTAATTGGTTTTCGTTCATTTTTTTTTACTTCGATTTAAATGAGGAGATCTGGTATGATTACCAACGAGTCAACTATACGACAGAGTTCAAATGACGTGGGTGGAAGCAACTATATAGGTCATCGTAAGGCCTTCAACAATGAGCAATCCCATACCGTATAGTCACACGGCAAAATGTGAAACAATTCAAATGAATTCGGTGTAATGTTGCCTCAAATTTGTATAGAACACTAATTATCATGGATTAACAAGTAGAAAATTTAGATGTAGTAGATGGTATGGACATCAATCCTTCATATTGTTTACCCCCTATGCTCCTGTTCGTTCGTTAACGATACTGACAACGTGCTTAATTGTATATACCTGTTATCCTTTAACCCATCTTTTGAAAAAGAACATCTTGGAAATAATTCTTAAAAACAATTTGGATTATTCCGTGACTACCCTCAACTAATACCCTATGTCCCCCTCTCCCCCAAACAAAAAGAGTGAACACACATATAATGTCGTCAGTTCTGGTGGATATTTTAACAGTAGTATATGTTAGCGATTCAGACAGGTCACTGGCGATCCTTGCTTTTGGCTTTGACAAATGGAAAATGTCATGTGTCACATGCGACAGATGTTTTATATTTTAACCAAATTATAGGGTTATTCATTTAGGAGTTGCCGCTGTAGAAACCATGTCATTTATTTCTTTTAATTTTATATTCAAATTAATTAATTAAGAAACCAAATATACGTTTTTGAAACTGTATATGTTCTTCAAATTACATATTCATTGACACGATGAAATTTATCAATTCAGGTGAATTGAGAGGTAGTGAAGTACTACTAAACGTCGTTTTGAAAAAGTTAATTGACGAAACGCATGTTACATAATATTCCGCAATTTGTATACTACAAAGAACTCATTTAACTTGACAGGTGACATTGTTAATATATACCATACAGATAAAGATCCCCACGGCGTATTGTTTCAATTCAATCTTATGCATTGTTTGGTGCAAATTGATATTAGTTATATTTTATGATTTTTTATGATAAAAAAGGAAATCGGTGAAGTGACGATATTTTCCCGAAATTGTTTAACTTTTAATTACCACGTACACTTTTTAGTCACCCAATTACTTGACGATCCGGTTGTCGAAGACTGATTTATCTATTTCTGTTAATTTATATTATTAAGGAGAAAGTTTTTTTTATATAATCTACCTTTAGCTTAGCATATTTAGGTGACATATTCACATTGAAGAACTTTAGTAAGCAAGCTCACAATACACCCCTATCAATAAACTTAATTTCTAGCACGTAGCAGCTTATTGATGGAATGAAAGTTTTCCTAAACAAAAGAGGGTAAGAAAACGACCATTTGACTAATTTTTTTTTTTACGATTTGACTAATTTTTTTCTTTTGCGGGGGGGGGGGGGGATGCAGGAGGATTTGTTTTTCAGATTGACTGTTGACCAAAAGGACACAAAGAGTTTGTCCAACTTTCTTTAAATTCCAGAAAGTTTGACAGATTTTATGGTGTCTAAAAAATGTAGCCCGACTCTGTATCTCAAATTATCCTGCAATTGAGTGTCTTATCATACACTAACAGCCCAACAGATATCGCTAGCCTGTATTTGTATACTATACAGATATCGCTTAATGCTCCGCCAACTGCCGGACTATTTTTGTGTATTGCTGTTGATGAGTGTTGTATGAACTTTCGTGACCTCAGAATGTGTATTGCAATCGCATTCCAATGACGTATTGCTCCCTCTGTGAATGTTCCAGTCTCCCATCCGCAAACGTTTTCTGCTCATAGACAAACATGAACAGTAGGATTAACTCTATTTTCTACGGCGCCAATCTTCAAGTTCAAAACTTGAATGTGTAAATGTGTAACTAACACTCAAAATCAACCATGCAACAATGTCTTAATTCAGAAGCGTAGGATAAATCAAACAATTTTGTCTTATACCGGACAATGTTTTGTTAATTCTTTTTACTGTTGAAATTAGTTGTTATGTTATAATAAATACTAATTAACTTTGAGCTGGGAACAGTATATCTTATATCTATGTCAATATATATGTTCCTGCTTTGAGCGATGTATTACTGTCGACCATGCGAGATTCTTTCCGGCGTACTGGTCATCAGCTGATTGTGTGATTTTTTTTTTATATTACTACGCAGGCCTCAAAGGATTTTAAATCGAAAATAAATGCAATAAATGTGAGTTTTTCTGTCTTTCAAAGCAAAAACAATGTACAAAATTAATTGCAGGACAATAACTGTTAAGTGTCTTTAAATATCAGCTAAAGCTCCCATTACACCTGTTTCTTAGCCTCGTACAAATACAGCTGATATTTAAAGACACTAAACAGTTAATGTCTATGTTAACTGCATTTCAGACTGAAATATGTAAATATGCACGTGTGTGAACAGAAAACTTTCTTAACTTGAGGACTAACTTTCACCAGTATTATTTTTATACACTCGTTTACGGGACGTATTATGGTATACCGTTGTCCGTCTGTCCGTCCGTCGTCAACATGTGTAGCACAATAAATCAAAAAGACTTAAAACAATTTCCATGAAACTTTGGTGAATTGTTTTTATCTATTGACAAAAGCTCCCTTTCGATTTTTATAAATTTTAGATTTTACTGTGACGTTTCCGAGTTATGGGATTTTATTCATATAAAGGGGGAATTTTCTAGTTTTTGAACGATAACTCAAAAATGCTTTGAGCAGTTTTCATGAAAATTTGGTGACTGGTTTATATCTATTGAAATAAGCTCCCTTAAGTTTTTTTTTATAAATTTCTGATATGAAACGGAGGAGTTATGGAACTTTATTATAAACTTGCATATTTTTTTTTCTAAAATGATAAATATTCATTTGTCTGAATTAAACAAACCATTAAATTCGTATGTATTTGTATTTTTTACGGCAATATTCCGGTATTTCTCTCTATGTACAAAGTCATCCAAAGCTTTACAGGTCATGATATTATGATGATATTCGTCACCGATATCACTTGAGTTGTCATGCAATAGATTAATTGATTCATTTGTGTTTAACGCCACTTTCAACACTTTCATCACTTTTGTGCTTTTTCGTGGCGGTCAGTTTTTATTGGTGAAGGAAGCCTGAGTGCCCGGAGAGAACAACCGACCTTCGGTAGGAAAACTAACAATCCTAGTCAATTAAGACTGGAGTCGAGTGCGCCTGTCCCGTGCGAGGTTCGAACTCACAACCTCAGTGTTGACTGGCTAGTGATACAGTAGTTCGACTACTTTTCTCTTGATAAAACTACTTAGACCTTTCGGCCACCGAGGTCCCGTCAGGCAATAGAAGTTCCTTTATAGTATTTGTTCCAAATGGTAGAAATATTATGCAACATTATTTCAACTTGAAGAAATATTACAGTTATAGTTTTAAAAGGAATAAAGAGAATAAAGATCTATCTATCTATAGACTATTTGTTCCAATAGAAACAGACATTATAGTATTATTTATAACAAAGTTTCCAAAAGGAACTTCAATCAGGGGGGACAAATATACGTTGACAGAGTCGCAATAAACTCACAGCATAAAAAGCTTATGAAATATATCAAAACGATAACATTAGAGGCAACCACTTGTATAAACAACTTTTCTTAATAATCTTATTGTTTATTAATGATTGATCCCTCAGAAATTGGTGGTTTTCGTTAGGATCAAACAAGCAACTTATTTAGTTTCTGGAAAAGTCACTAACCAAGAGTTGCCTCTAATGATCTTAATAAATGCAATTTTGAGTATCTTAACTAAAATACAAAAATAACATGTCTTTGCAATGTTATTGTATATCCCATTTGGGCTATTAAAACCAAACAGGATATAATGACTGCATGGTTAACTTATCATGTAAAACTAAAATCGACAATTTATAGCAATATATAAACCATATTATGGACAGTTTTGAGTTATGTGTCACTTCAATTTTCAAACAGACATAAAAGTTTATCTTAAATAAATTTAAGACGTTAAAATTTCGGTGAAAAAATTAAGGCAAATATTATAAGACCCTTATTGCATCCTGTACACATGTAAACAAACATATGATTAAGAACACTTACCTTTGCTTTTATGTTAAAATTTCCGTAATCTGTTAATTGTGCATTGGACTCAAATTTATATTCATATTCATATCCAGGCTTAAATCTGATAAATTTGGCTTCAGATGGAACAAAAAACCACAATATTACACAAACTAATCCATACAAGGACCACTGGTGGTCCATCTCTTTTTGTTGGACCCAAATATTTTTTTTTCTTCAATTTCTGTAATGTTCTTCTTTTTTTTTCAATAAATTTCTGAAATGTTCTCACGTCTTGTTCTTACGGGTTAAGACCCGGTTTCAGACTGTCATTGGCGTGAACATTATTATATAGCCTTTTAACTTCGTTAAATCTAGTCATGCATGCATTTGTTTTCTTTTATTGTGTATTGGGTATAGGTATAGTAATTGATAAGATAAGTTAAGCGTAACAACTTTTAATCCATATCTATTGATGTTTTCACCTACAGGCACATTATGTGTTGATTAATAGTTTTTACCGCTTTTTTGCAAAGTGTAATTCAAATCCTATTAAAAGCATGGATTTTTAGGAATTGGAAAGTCATTCATTTATGAAGGCAATTATACTTGAATTAAAACCTTTTTTTAATCTATTTATTTATGTAATTAAAAAAGATAAATTGTTATGAACCGTATATTGTGTGGAGCAAGAGAAATATAACAACAAACAAACAAATGAATCAATTTTTTTTTAACTCTACAGCAAAACAAACTCGACACCACTACATAATTTTGAATTAGGACAAAAGTAAGAAAATTGGTTGACCCCCAAAAAACCTTTAGTAACTATTTTCGAGTATAAAATCAATTTGGAGAAGGTTTATTTTTAACGTTGTTGTATTTTGGTCTTGAACTGCATCAACAGGAAAATTACCCTCTTAGCGAAAACTGAAAATTAGAAATGAACTGTGGTAAAAGTTTGGTTTTTTGTGACATCTTCAATATGTAATTTCTAGTAGTTTTTTTGTAACATCTTTAATATGTAATTTCTAGTAGGTTTTTTGTTACATCTTTAATATGTAATTTCTAGTAGGTTTTTTGTGACATCTTTAATATGTAATTTCTAGTAGTTTTTTTTGTAACATCTTTAATATGTAATTTCTAGTAGGTTTTTTGTAACATCTTTAATATGTAATTTCTAGTAGGTTTTTTGTAACATCTTTAATATGTAATTTCTAGTAGGTTTTTTGTAACATCTTTAATATGTAATTTCTAGTAGGTTTTAGTGTAACGTCTTTAATATGTAATTTCTAGTAGGTTTTTTGTAACGTCTTTAATATGTAATTTCTTGTAGGTTTTTTGTAACGTCTTTAATATGTAATTTCTAGTAGGTTTTTTGTAACGTCTTTAATATGTAATTTCTAGTAGGTTTTTTGTAACGTCTTTAATATGTAATTTCTAGTAGGTTTTTTGTAGCATCTTTAATATTTTGATCCGGTGAGTGAAACAAATATAAAGGAATCGGCCATACGCCTTTTATGATTCGAAATTTCGATTTTAAATTTTGAATCCATTGTGTTTTCAATTGAGTTACATTAGATTTATTTATTTTAGAGAGGCGAAAGATACCAAAGGGACATTCGAACTCATAAGTCGAAAATAAACTGACAACGCCATGGCTAAAAAAGAAAAAGACTAACAGATAAACAACAGTACACAAAACACAACATAAAAAACCAAAGACCGAGCAACACGAACCCCACCAAAAACTAAAGACTGAGCAACAAGAAACCCATCAAAAACTTACGACTGAGCAACACGAACCCAACCAAACACTGAGGGTGATTTTAGGTGCTCCGGAAGGGTAAGCAGATCCTGCTTAACATGTGTCATCCGTCGTGTTGCTCGTGTAAACACAAACCCTGTGATAAGTCTAATTCGGTAGGTTACATTCTGAGAAATGTTGAGAAGTTGAGAATGACAGAATATCCTGTTGCTTTATCTTCTTTTTAAGTGTGTACAGAAGTGATCGTCAAACCATCTGGCTTTATGTATTCTGTGTTAAGGAAGCTTCCATTCAAATTTATGCTTACATGAAAAAATGCACACTTATTGAAGGTTTGAGAGCAAATTTCCTCCTGTGTACTGCATTAAAATGCAAATATATAATTTAACATTTACCAAACTTGAAGCTTTAATCATATTTAACACAATACTTTTTCTTAAAACTTCATTTTACTCTTTCGTTAAATTGCACTATTCTATAGTTATTTAAATCATGAGTGGATACCTATTATTCTATTTAAAAAAAAACAGAAAAAATATTTTTTATTAAACTGCTTCATATGTGAAATTAATGTTTTTTTTTTAATTTATCGTTAAACTTTTATCTTTTTAATGTTCTTAATCCGTAGGGGAAATATTTGTCTATAATTATGTCCTATATAGTCTCTCATAATTCTTAATAGAATGGCGCTTGTATATGTTTTAGTATTTAAGCTAAGGATATTTTACTGTTAGTTTTAATATATTATATGTTTTATATATGTTTTCCAATATTTTATGTTATACGCAATGTTTTATATATATATTGGAATGTATAATGTTATGCAAGTGGTGAGACTTTAATAAAATATTGAATCTGAATCTGTCCTGCCATATTATATGTCTTACTTACACAAACACAATTAAAATGGAAACTTGACAATGTTCTGACAAAAATAAATCATTTAATTAATACTTACGTAATAATTAAATAATCTATTAGACAGTCACTTAGAACATGAGTGTTTTACACGACTTAATTGTCATAATCTTGGACAAAGGAGCGGATTTCAATCTTAACTCTGTTTATTCAATTACTTATTCTGTATGACAGTTTGGACAATAACTTACTAATAAGTGTCGGTCACTGATTACTCTTTTAACTATAATTTGTTATTTCTATATTTGGCATCTGTTTATCTGCTTAATTGCTTGTGCTTATATATATTGTTATCGTTGTTATGTTACACAACATTTAGTTTGGAGTTTGTTGTTCGTTTTGTCGGACTGCAAATGTTATGCAGGTAAATGGGAGAGGGATCGCTACTTTATCGAGTTGTCTCCCCTTTCCCTCCAAAACGTTAAAAACTAGACCAGGAACATATATATATATATATATATATTAGATATATTGTTCCCAGACTAGACTAAATAACGGGGGACGGACATCTTTTCTCTTGAGGACTATTCTCGCTTTCGTGCATTTGGGGATTCTAGCATCTTTCTGGGAATCTGGGGAATTTTAGCTTCTTTCGGTGACTCTGGGGAATCTAGCATTTGTTCGGTTATTCGATCTGTGACCAGTGGAATTCTAGCTAACTCCTATCTTGTCTAAGTAATTTCTTCTGTAAACGTGTCCATCTTCTCGGACATTTGTACTTTCGAGGCCTGGCGCTGGTGAATAAAATACAATGTTGTTTTAATGAGTTATTCCAAACAGCAATCTAAATTGAAGTGTGATATGTGATCTAATTTATTTAATAGAAAACTTTATTTTAACTTATTTATGTTAATGAAATCTCTATTATAAATTTAAGCTAAGTTTTAAATATCAAACTTATATTACTAAATCAGATGATAAGGTATAAGGACATCATTCGTAAATATAGCTCAACATGCAGACTTCTTATACGTTCAGGTATTTCACATCCAATTTTTTATGGAAATATTCTTTATAAAGCACAAAAACGTCAGTATTCACCTCTGAAACTAACAAAACCTTTAAATAGACTTATTAAGAAGGGATATAGTTACGATACTGTTGTCAGGTCATTAAAGATTGCATATTTTGGCGTTAATATTGATTCACTTATAGGGTCTTTGCATCGGCACTAAACACATTTATTTAAAAACCAGTTGTTGGCATGACACAGGTTATGTTCTTCTCATATATGTTATGATGGTATGATACTAAACCCCTAACGGGAAGGATTGTGCCTGATATTCATATGATGAAGACATAATCTTTCAATCAGTTTAATTGAAGTCTGGAGCTGGCATGTCAGTTAACTGCTAGTAGTCTGTTGTTATTTATGTATTATTGTCATTTTGTTTATTTTCTTTGGTTACATCTTCTGACATCAGACTCGGACTTCTCTTGAACTGAATTTTAATGTGCGTATTGTTATGCGTTTACTTTTCTACATTGGCTAGAGGTATAGGGGGAGGGTTGAGATCTCATAAACATGTTTAACCCTGCCGCATTTTTGCGCCTGTCCCAAGTCAGGAGCCTCTAGCCTTTGTTAGTCTTGTATTATTTTTAATTTTAGTTTCTTGTGTACAATTTGGAGTTTAGTGTGGCGTTCATTGTCGCTGAACTAGTGTATATATTTGTTTGGGGGCCAGCTGGGGGACGCCTCCGGGTGCGGGAATTTCTCGCTGCATTGAAGACCTGTTGGTGGCCTTCTGCTGTTGTCTGTTCTGTGGTCGGGTTGTTGTCTCTTTGACACATTCCCCATTTCCATTCTCAATTTTACTTTAAAATTCAATTGAAAATAGTTTACACTTACAATTTACATACCTGGTGAATAAAATACAATGATGTTTTAATGATTTATTCCAAACAACAATCTAAATTGAAGTGTGATATGTGATGTTGGGAGTTTGCGGTCTTCCCTTTTTAAACCCAACATCACATGCTGATTGGAATTGTTTTATTCACCTATGAAATCCGGCGAGGGACGTTTGCGCTTTTTCATAGAACATTTGCGCTTTTTTTAATGGACATTTGCGCTTCAATTCATAGGACATTTGCGATTTTTAAATATGGACATTTGCGCTTTTTGTATAGGACATTTGCGCTTTTACAATATATAGTATATATCATGGAAGTATTATATTGACATATACATTTCTTTTCCTTTGCTTTTCTCTATAACTTTCAACTCTATGTTTAAGACTGTGTCAATGTGAACTAACTAACGACAAATATAAGTTGAATTTATAATTATATACGTATCTCATTAGAATTACAGGTAGACAACTAAAGATAAGAAGCGCAAATGTCCGGTCAATTTACTACAGGTGTAGATTCAGATTCAGATTCAATAGTTTATTAAAGTCTCACCACATACATACAAGTATAAACACATTATAATATCAAGTACACAATATAAAAATTTAGAATGCATCAGCCATTCTTAAAAGAACTATGAGAGACTGTTATGTACAATTATAAAACAACAGAATTAAAACATAATTTTGTTATTTACACAAAACATAAAAGTGCAATATCACCATGTACATTCAAGGATAAAACCTGTTACATGTACATAAAAAAATAACAATGATTTTTTTAATAGTATAAGATACTATTTCGTCGCAATAAAATAT